TTTGACTGAATAAGTGCAGTCTGACAAAGGCTTGTGTAAAAAAAAGGCTATTTATGCAACTACTCAACATTATATACCCTTCAAAAGAGCATAGAGGGGAGCTCAGGCTTACACAGTGCATTATATACCCAAGAGGCCAGAGCCCACTCTGTCTGCTGTGTATTATTCCTACAGAGAGAGAGAGAGAGTATAAAGTAGAGAGAAAGTCTCATGGGTGATTGGCCAGTCAATCCTTTTGACAAGATGACTCATTGAACTTTTTATAGAGGGTAGTCCCATAATACAATGCTGTCTTTTTCTAATGCACTGTAGCCGGGTCCTAAAGAAGAAGAAGAAGAAAGTCTTTGATGTGCAGAGTTCTCCCCATGACAGGCCTGGCTTTGACTTTAGTTACGCTGCTCAACTTCAGCTTAACATTTACACTGACATATATGACTATGATATCCTTATATAAGCAAAATCATAAGCGCTGAACAGTAAAAGGTTAAAGGTCAAATCAGAAGAGGCTCGGACTGCATTGTTCTTATCCCGTGTGTCTGATGAGAGAAAATCAACAAAGGGAATCCAGAGCTGAGGGGAAAAGGTAAGAAGGATTATTTAGATGCTCAGGGTGATGATTCACTGCCAGTAAATGTGATTTTGTTAACAGTGTGCCATGGAGTGTGTGTCAAATATCCCAGAGATGTATGGCAACTTAATTTCTATATATCTACAGGGGGTTGCTGGCATATTGAACACATTTCCCTTCTTCTCTATCCTCTATCTGTCTATGTCATTAACTTTGAATTATCATGTCCCATTAAAGTCTCTCACCACAGTCTTTCCTGGGAGTCCCTGAGCTCCCTCATCCCATAGACTCCTCTAGATCGCTGCCAAAGATCTGCCTGCTTTTCAGCAGCTTCAACTACAAGCATTAGTCTCAACATTTTAACCACTGTTACACAGCTAATGACCTGTTGACTTTGATTTCCCATAAATTAAGCTAAGATCAGTCTATTATCAACATGCTGCTCCTGTAAATAGTACACATACTTGTTCCATTATCTCTGGCATTGTAAACAAGTGTCTGTTTGTAATATTGCTGATGTTGTTGTTTGTCTCTATCTACTCCTGTCTCTCTGCCTCTCCCTCTAACCCCTCTCTTAACCAGCGCAATAGTGGCATATGACTGTCTTACATGAGTCTGGTCTTACTCAAGGTTTCTGCCTGTTAAAAGGAAGTTTTTCTCTCCTCTGCAAGTTGCTAAACTTGGGATTGGAGTTGGCTTGATCTTATTAGTCTTATCCCAGCTTTACGTTGGGTTTGTATAAATATGCAGTATAAGGTATAAACCTGCTTTTTCATTGAGCATCTTAACATTTGTTGTAAATTGCTGCTACATAAAAAGATTGATTGATTGAATGAATGAATGTGCATTTGTGTTTTCTGTTCAACATATTGTTTTCATTTGTCTGTCCCTTATAATGTGAAACAAATCACCGATGTCTCATAGACCAAAACCGACCCTGTATGTTACCTCAATGCAGCACCATACTTAAACAGAAAAAGAACTGATTGACCGACTAAAGACCCTTATAAAAATTAAATGATTGAAATTTAGTCAGCACATTAAACATTATTTTTATTCAGTAAAGCTCCTGTGAGGAACTTTTTGTTAGATTTGGTTTTGGTGCCCCCTGTGGGTACAGTGAGTCACTAAGTCACTAAAAGGAACCAATTTTATTTTCAGTCAGTTTCATGACCAACTAAAAACTTCTCATAGGAGATTTAAATTCAATTCCTGCAAGAAGGAGAATTATAGCGACATTATCTTTTCACCATCCCACAGCCTCGACTGTTACCTCTCAATCTGTCATTTTACATTCTTCTTTTTTCAAATCTTCTTTTGCGTTTCTATTATTCCTTTACCCTAATTCTTCATTTAAATTCATACTTTGCCTCAAAGCACTTCAAGCTGCAAGGCAGATCCCCCCATAAACAACTGCACAATAGATTCTGTCGATGAGGCTTCTCATCGTGTTTTTCTTTCTCTCTTCGTCATAGCGCTTCTATTCTCTTCAAAATTTCAAATGCAGTTTTTCCTCTGCAAAATGCAGGGACCAAAACTATGAATCTGTATCTGAAAAAAGACATCTGTTTGGTTGTCATACCATTTATTTTCTTTCTAATTTCAACCATTCACACTGTTCACAGAAGCAATTACTGCAGTCATGAAATTCAGGCTCAAAGATGAGCCGGCAAAATGAAAAAAAAGGAGAAGAGAAGAGAGGAGAAAATGTAAAAGAAAAAAGCTCAACAGAACTGAGCATGAGATATTCCCACTATCAGGGCACATTTCTAATTTCAAACGGGCAACATTACTATATGATGAGGCGGGCTCTGTGTGATCTTAAAGTTCAAACAAACAGTGTAAGAGACGACAAAGTGAGTCCCAGCCTCTCTGTCAGTGGTTTCCCTCCAGGCTGAACATTGCTTTCTCTTCACAGATTAGAGTCTGACTCCTCCTGGTCTGAAGCTTTGGAAGGGAATGGCTCATTTTCACAGACGGTGGTTTTCCTGCCCTGGGCCATAAGAATAACGTATGCAATTTCTGAAAAGCTGAGTGCTGTTTTCACTACATAATTGATGCACTGTGCGGTGGATGCAATGCTCCAACTGACTCCTTTCAAAAACCCTGATGTTTGAATATCAGATGTTTTCTTTGCTCATACTTATATGCACACAAAACACCACACAGGGACATGTATCTGAATTGATGGGTAAGATTTTTACTTATTCAGAACACATATGGGCTCTTTCAAATCAATATCAACGGTATTTTGTTTTTCTCAAGCTATGACTGAGACTGTGATGTATATCTATCAAACAGCTTTATTAAAGAAAGATAAGCATTCAATAAAACATACAGACTTCATCAGGCAACTCAAGACATATTATAAAAACCTTAAAGGTTACAGAATGAAGAGAAATTATGGTTTCTTTCTGACATCTTTCTTTACTCACGTGGTACAAAGAGCATCAAAGTTAGCAGAGAGAAAACTTGGAGTTGACACAGGACAATAGACACCACAGACTGACTTTTTTACTCCCTGTAGTTAGCAAAGCTAGTACAACTTAAATACAAAAGTATGATCTTTTTCCAAAACTAGAAAACAGACTTTAGAGCCATAACTTCACCAGAGTGCATTATACTACACTTCAAATGTAAACCAGCTCATCCTTCAAACACAGAACATGGCATTGAGGAGTTGTAGCTATTTTATGAAAAAGTTTGAGAACTAATGTTCATGTTTAAAAAATCTGTGTAATGGCACCATAGACTGTATATAGAATGGACAGCGTCTGCCTCCTCGCAGGGTGAAGCCACTCCAGAACAGCACCCTCTGGTGACGGGCTGCAGTATAGGTCATAAATCCCGCCTCCTCCAGCCATCCTGATGGGGCTGTGGACAAACTTTAGAAATTAATTACACAGAATAGAAATTTTCTCCCCCCTGCTTGTGATGTTGACATGTAGTTACTTTAAGACTGGTTTGTGTTCAAGTCATTTTTTTTCTGTACAACTTCAGCCTATGGGCGTACAAAGATTGCGCAGTTCACTCGGGGGATACGCTGTTTGAGCCGAGCATCATCATAGCAACTCTCTGCGACTCTCCCACCGACTGCACAATGTTTCAGGAAGTGGAGAAAAAAATGCAGAATTACTGAGAGCTTTTCGGCTTCAAATCCGTATACTGGCGGAAGGTGGAACCAAGTTGTCTATAGTATATACAGTCTATGTATGGCACTCAAGACTGAGACTTGAACCTGAGTCCAGTTTGAATCCTAATTCCAGGACTCATGATTAGACTTGTCGGTCATGGCTAGGAATCAAACTTGAGCTGTGACTGCAGTCAGACTCAAAAGATGGAGAGGAGGACTCTGAGTTTATTGATTAAAGACTATTCTATTGTATCTGATAGCATGTTATTAACCCAAAGAAAACTTTCACACTGTGTTTGAAAGGAACAGTACCTTTGAAATCAATTAATCAAATCTCGGAGAGTCCTTGGACAAATCTCATTCAGTAAAGGCCTATAATACACTAGTACTTATGAGATAGTGGGTGTGAATCACCGTCACGGAATGGGCAACATAGATCAAGCTCAACAGGCACTAGTCTTATACATCAGCTATTGGCTTCATCTCAGTCCAAAAGCAATTCTGTTTAAGGGAGTTATATAACTTTTGCTGCTATTCCACTTACCATTTATATGTGACATTAATCTCAGCAATGATGAGTCTCACTAAGTTTTCATAATACACAATAATGTAACACTACTGCCTAATACTTGTGAGATGGATCTGACTGATGACAGACGTAAAAATTAGCTGATACCATCTGCTTTGCAAGGTTATCATGTATTGCCCATTAAAGGACACAAGCCATGGGTAATGTGCTTTAAATGCTATAGGGAATTGCCAAGAAAAACTGTGGAGGACAGCAAAAAGTACTGGCAGAAGTTCAGATATGTGGAAAAGTCCCAGTGCATCAAGGGGTTACATTTAGCAGTGACCTTCCTGTGTACTGGAGTGTGCTGGAGTGTACGTGCTTAAAGCAGAGTTTTAATGTGTAAGGCCTCAGTAATTTTGGTTTCAGTGGCTGGCAAGTGTGCTTATCTGCATCCACATTCATGAGTTATCCTGCTCAGTAAAGAGAGGCACCCTCTAAATGTCAGCCTCCAAAGTGACTTAAGTGTTGGCTGCAAGAGTTGTTTGGTTAGTTGAAATTCTGGTAAAAGGTGGGTGGGTTGGAGGTACTTTTAAGTGTTTGGATACTGCAGATCCCGCTGCCCTAAAAACTAAAGAGGTCTTGAACACCAAGGATCTGGAGTTTGATTTGGACTCCTTGCCTTTGGTGCCAGGTAACTGGTGGGTGGAGTTCTGCTGCAGCTGGAAGTATAAGGTCAGTCATACAGCTGGTGATCTATTGCGGGTTGTGTTCTTTGCTGGTCTTGCTGATGGGTTTTGCCTGAGGATCAGATACAGACACACTTAAAGAAACCATATGAAGGAGGAAGGCCATTGCTAAAAGAGAAGAGACGCAGGTGTCAGGGGCAGATTTAAATTTTGTTACACATCTGTCACGGGTTCATTCTGGACAAAAAATGATGGTGCAGTCGAAACTCTAGTGTGGTGGGTTTTTATTCACACTAAAATATTTACAGTGCAGGATAACAACAAAAAATAGTCAAATAAACAAAATAAACACAGCAGAATCTCAGTAGAACTTACACTTGTACACTTGTATACGAAGAGCTCCCCTCAGAGTAAGCGAAGCGCTCTTTAAATACCCCTCAGCCCCTCCCCTGGGCAAATTCGTAAACCGATTAGAGGAGTTACAGGCACAACAAGCTAAATAGAGCGCAAAATTCATCAATAAATGAGACATTTTAACATGAGCAAAAGAGCACTGAGAGCCCTCCATACATCTATGACCTTAATCAATGACAACACATTAAATCAGGCCAAAATGCCACAAATAAACTATAATGGAGGGGACTGGTGGTCACATGACCCCCGAAAGCATGCCACTTTGCACTGTTTACTGAGGGAACAGTAAGTGCCCCGGTTTGGCTTGGAAGATGGCAGCAGATAAGTGGTTGTGTCTGTGTTTGTATGGCGTGTAGTTGTGGAGTGTGGACCCTCAAAAGCCTAAAGCGGGGAGAAATAATTCCAGATAAAAAGGGAAACGGTTGATTGGAGTGCAGAACTGTGGGACACAGGTGCGGGAAAACAGTTAAACATTTTGACGGAGCGTGGCTCCAGGGGGAATGAGTGCGCTCTGTGCGCACTCCCAGGCCAAGAGAGAGGGACCTGTGCCAGTCGGGGAACGACGGGGCGTTAAACGCTATGATTTGCCTAATCAAAGAGGGACTCATGTTGCAATCAGCTGATTTTGGTGTTTGTTGTGATTTAATGGACTTTGTGCAGCTTCTTTTGAAACTGAGTGTACCACATTTTCTGTCGGTTCGTTGAATTCTGACTTTTGACAAATAGTCTATCTTTATTTAGGTTTACAAAGACTTAATCCAGGAAAACGTTGCTCATATGTTGCTGCTATGTTGTGTTATTTTATGACAAATCTATAAGTTATGGTCTCTTGGTGTCTATAGATAACACAATTTTATGTTTTTTTTTATTGTTGATGAGACACTTGACTGAGACTTGCCGCTGCATTTGGGGACTTAACGCTTGACTTGGACTTGCTTAAAAATGTTTTATGCCAATTTCTGTGTTGGAAAGTCAACTAGAAATAATTTATACAGATCAGACAACTCAGAGTTTTACCCATGAGCTAGCTAAATTTTACACTTGGTTAAGTTCACCACTTATGTTGTCTTTAAAGTGATTGCATGACATCCTTTAGTCCCTCTGAGTTTTCAAAGATCAAAATTTCCCTGCATAATCTCAGTTTTGCATGATATGAAAACCAAAATCAGAAACAGGAATCAGAAAGCTTTAACAGGCTGCAGCCAGTGAAAATCGCTGCTGCTGATATATCATTTATGACAATTTTGTCAGAAATATTACTGAAACAAACCAACTAAAACAAAACAGCTACCAAAACTGATGATGATGATGCTAATGATGATGATTCTGATGCTGATGGTATTGACTGCCATGATGGTGATGATGCCCCTGACGGCTGAAACAGAGATCAGAGCCAGATGGCTTTAAAACACACAGAAAGCTCTTGTTGTGCCGCTCCGCTCTGTTGAGCAGGACTAGGGATGTTAGAGAGGGATTGGCAGGGGAGCTGGAGGAGAAGCAGATTTGCTTTGTTTTTAGTTAAATTCCCTCGACTGTTTCCTCACTGCCAATAGCACTGGCTGTCTGGGTAATTAGTGCACATTTCACATTGGGAGAATAACGTCCTGTTGTGTGTTTTTTTTTCCCTTCAGGAGAGTGTGACAGCACCATTTGTGTGAAGTCAAAAAGGTGGTTTCTTGCTTTTTTATTTTGCATGCACATTTTATGAAAGTAAAAAAACAAACAAACAAATAAACAACATTTACCACATGAACAGGAGGTTTTGATATTGTCTCTTTGAACATCCATCTATTTAATGGCTTCAGCTCTGCAATCATGGAGACAAGCAGCAAAGAAAGACAAGTGAGGAGAGACGCAAGGAAATGGAAAAGACCTCAGTTTGAAAATAGTCTGAGGCACACTTCATCTCTAGTGGAAGCTTTTATCGCTCCAGTTATTATTTATGACAGCATATCGCCGAAAATAATCTTTAAGCGCAGGTGTTGATACGAAAGATACAAAAGCAGTGTAAATCTAGCAGAAAATAGCTGTCGGTGTGTGGATTGTTTTCGAAAAATATTGACAAACACAATTTTTTTTCATCATAACCCAATATACTAGAAAAAGCTTTCCAGTCCAGGTTGATTTAGTGACCCCTTTGGTTGCTGGTAGTAAAAATAAGGTGTTTTTCCCCCTCAAACATTCAGAATTAAAGGTTAGAAATACACCCCCTGAGCGGCTACTCTGTCAGATATTCAAATAAAGCACCAGCAGAGCTTTTGTTGTATTGCACTACACCACAGGCTGTTCTGGTTAATTTCAATTACTGCTTATTTTGAACCACGCCATTAGCAATCAAAATATGCTTTCATGCTGTGCAGAGTAAGGGTAGTTTTCCACACAACAGCAGGGAACAGTTCAAGGATTTGGAGGTGTACAGCCGACCAAGTGTGAACCATCATGTCCCGATGGCGGCTCCTTTTTTATTAAAAACTGACTGATGATGCCAAAAATTGAACATGTTTTTTTTTTTTTGTGAATGCCAACCTCAGCCTCAAAAACTTTGTGCTCCTAAAAGCTGCACCATCTTTTTGCCAGTCAAAAGCCTTTAATGTGAAAGGAGATGTTGGATTAAACCTGCTCATGGTGTTTCCTGTTGCTTGGAAACAGAGCCTCCATTTCTGCTTCTGTCTCTTATTGTGGTCCTGAATGATAAATGGACTGCACTTATATTTCCTTTTTTAGTCTTACCATTCAAAGTACTTAATGTTGCTGCTACATTTACTTTTTAAACATACATACGTTCACCATGACGGCGCAGTCTTGTATGTCAGTCACCACACTGCCAATCAGACCCAATCTATTTACATATACCCACTGATAATGTGCCCTTAAGACTGATTTAGAGGTCAGTATATGGGTTGCAGGAAAAACTGAATAGTGTCAAAATCCCAATTCTTTTTTCCAACAATTCTGAACCAACTTGAAAAGTCCAAAATTATATTTTTAAATCATGTTTTTTTTTTTTTTTTTTTTTTTTAGCTCTGCCAGGAGCCAACTTGCTCAACAAACCTGCTGTTGGCACTGTTTGACATTAACAGGCTTCCATAGTGCAGAGTTGCAGCAAGGGGTGTGTCTGCCCTGCTCGGCCAGATGTTCTGCTAACTTACTGCAGCTAATGTGCCTACACTGTAAAAATAAAAAAAGCTGTAAAACATCAAATTTTGAAGGCAACTTACTACACTAGATTTTGGGGTTTTGAGACCAACTCGAGTTTTTATGTTTCGAGGAAAAGTTAAGCCAAAAAATAATCCTTAGTTGAAGTAACTAACAATTCCTGATTTATAAAACTTGGATTTTTAGGTCTTACAAATTAAATGTTTCACACCTTGAATGTTGTCCTGACTAATTATTGTTTGTTCAGATAATTAGTGTTTGATAATTCTAAAAACCTAGAATTTTAAGTTCGATGGAGCACAAGAAGATCTAGCCTAGGTTTGTAGGTTCGGGGCCATTCCATCAAAAATGATCAAAATGAAAAACTTATTTTGGACAGTGAAACCAAAAGTTTGGTGATGGATTTTTTTGTATGGCTTTAGTTGGTTGCAGGCAATAGTAGGGATGATTTTAAGTGAGCAGGTGGTTATTCTCCATGTCAGGGTTTCGTCCCACACTTACTTATTAAATGCATTTACATGAAAGTATCATAAAGGTGTTCATTTCATAAAATCCTGAGAGTTATAACTGTATTGTCAGTTTTTGTCCCCTTCCCTAAATTAACATCTGTCTGGTGATTTATTTCAAGTGAACAGAGATGCTAATTTAGTACAATTTCAATGTCAGGTAAGAAAAAAAAACAGATCTTGAGTTTGTTTGAACTGACATGTGGGAGACATTAAGGTGTCAACCTTTAAAAAACAGAGAGATGAAAACAAATGTTTCATGAACTTTTTACTTTGCTGCTGCTATATATAAACATGAATCCAAAAATAGTCCTTTCCCCTCAAAAACTGTCTGTTTAACATAAAATTTTAAGAGCCAGGGGATACAGAGAGGAGGTAGATATGGAGAGAAAGGAGAAAATAAAGACATGATGACTGACTAAGGAGTAAAAGAACAACATAAGAGACAGAAATGCAAGGCAAAGAGACAAGTGTTTTTTTTTAGTTTTTTTTTACAGAAGTCATCTTTTATTGCCACGTAAGAAAGTCGTATATAGAACAATGGTGATATACTGTCAGATGGCAAATCAACAACAAAGGAAGAACAAAAATATCCCTGTCATCCCTCCCCAAAAGAAAGTAAACAGACAAATTCATAGCAACACTATGGTAATATATTTCTTGGACAAAACATTTGCTATATCTCTTTTTCTAATATCTGAATGGTACCAAAATACAGCTTTGTCATAACTGAATTTCACAAATCATAGAGTCAGTAAACAGTAAAAGGACAAATGGGGGCATCACGGTGCATATTATAAGCTACTGTGCAAACAATAGCGGGAAATGGGCTCTACCATAGAAAATATGCTTTACTAGTCACGCATAAATGCAGTGTGGGGGCCATATGTATCATATACACATATGCATAAATACCACAAACTGGTCTCCACGTCAAAAATAGAAAACTGGTTTCATATCATTTTGTATGTAATGCGTGATTAACACCAAAATGAGTTAATCAATGAGTTATTCTATAAAAGGATATGCTCGCTAATGGATAGTAGTCAGATCGCAAATAGCTTATTGATTCTTCATAGGTAACGGAAAATCCCTCTGCTTTGGATCAATGCAGAGGTCGACAACCTGCGTTTTCACATTGATGTCCTTCTGTTTATTCTAATAGTAGTATATTAAGTATAGGTTAATGATCAAAATCAAACATATAAAGCACACCATAGGAGCAAAACCCTTTTGAAAACAGATGTTGAGCATTACCGGACAACAAATACTGCATCTCCTCTGTCTGAGTGCATATTTAGACAGCTCTTTATTGGTGAAAACATTGCGCATAAAGACTGATGCTATACAAAGTCGTAAACATAGCTGACGAGAACCCTTTGATAATATAGAGATGTGTTGATGCTGCTTTTTATAGGCTGTAGGGTGTACAGCTAACAAGTCCAGAAAATAGCAACAGAAAAGGATAGAAAAGACAAAGAATGGCAGAAAATCTGGTAAAAATGTTACTTGTGTTTGAGCCCTTTAGTGTCGTCCCATTAAACTGTACATATCCCACCACTCTGTCATGAGCAACACAGCTCTCTTTTCACGAAAGCACTCTCGAGTTTACTGCATTTCATCTGTTGTGATTCAAATAAAAGGCTTCCTCACGACATCCCCCACCATGAAATGAATATAAACAAACTGCTGCATTGTCTTGATTCATACCGACATGGAGAACAATCCATACTTCACACCTTTAGCTTTAATTGGACATGGAGTGTAAAGAAAAAACTCAGCCTAACAGGGGCTGACAGAAAACATGTTGCAGTGTGTGTTAGTAATGGCTGATGTGTCTGAAGGAATCAATGATGGATCAGGGAATCTGCTGAGAAGCTGAATTAATGATCAATAAGAGTCTGTAACGATACCGTACAACGAGGAGAAATCACTGGACAGAGGAGTGTTTATATGTTTGTGTGTGTGTTTGTGTGTGTGTGAGCCAACAGTCATCTCTGATTCACAGTTGTTTCTTTTTTCCCAAATGGAGCTGTTAGCGCTCGTGCCATGCTACGCTACGCTAACACTTAGTATCAATAATTCAAAGCTTCCCAACTATCCAGTGTTGATATAAAGTCCCATTTCCGTCTTTGTGCGCCACCATAGATCGAGTCCCTGTTGCGGCGCCAAAAGTTTTTTCCCCACACTTCACTTCTGTGATTAAAGACCACAGTGAGAAGAACCAAGAACCCCTCCCCCAGGCCACTGGTCCCAGTACAGCTCCAAATCCGTCTCTTATTGAATATTCCTTGAAGATATTCCTCTGTGTGGTTTTCTCCTGGCGGTTCAGGCTGCGCTGCTGAACAAGTGAGTTGGATTTTTGTCTAATGGGGTTACACTCTCTCTCTCTGTCTCTCTCTCTCTTTCAGCTAAACCAAGAAGGAAGATGTTGTCCCATAATTCTTGTTATCACACTTCCCAAAACCACCTCCCGTCTGTCTCTCAGGCAAGATTATGTGGGCTAGATAGAAGTTTTGGTACTCCTGTTTCTAAGTGGGTAGGTGTTGGAGTTTGGTTTTTATTCATTTTTACGAGTCTTGATCCGTTTCAGTAAAAAAAACTCCCTTGCTCAGCCACCACCCTCCCAGTTTCCACCCTTGTTTTGACACCTGACAGGCGACACATTTGAGTGAGAGCATGACTTGAGAAAACTAGACTCCAAACAGAAATTAGCACAGTGGTTACAGTTTTTCTGAGGTGTTTTTGAGCCAGAGATGAGAAAAACAATGAGAGGGGGGTGACTTTTTTGTCATTTAAGTAGAAAATGAAGTTTAAATGCTGAGAATGAAGTCAAAATTTAACTAAAAAAGCGATTAAATCGAGAGGAAAATGACTGAAAGGAAACTGTTACAAAGTTCCCTGAAGTTTGCACAAAGCAAAATGACAATCAGTAAACATAAGCTGGTTAATTGTATATCACACACTGATATGATAAGCATTTTATTTATCATAAACAATGTCAATAAGCATTAAATTATGAATAATTGATGTGATTCACGGGTGACAGGTGCTGTTTTTACACAGAGGAGGGGCTGCTATATCACGGAAACCTGCTCACTTTACAACAATAAGCAAGGTTTTACAGGATTTTTAGGAACTTTAAGGTAAAAAAGGAGACTATGTAGATGCAACTTTTATGAAAATCCGTATTGGCCCATACAGAATTAGCTTGAGCTGGCATCCTGACTATGAGGTGAAATGTTAATAGTGATGGATGATGGACTGCACAGATGGGCAGATGGCATGTTGCATTTCTACATGCTAGCCATGTTAAGTAGATTAGATTTGTTAATTAGATTTAGAAGCTCTTTTTTCTCAACTAACACAAAGAGCCCTAGAACTAGCCTCTGCAGCCGAGGATCGGTCACCTACGGTCACGAGCTGTAGGTAGTGACGGAAAGAACAAGATTACGAGTGCAAACAGCCAAAATTGTTTTCCTCTGCAGGGCGGCTGGGCTCTCTCTTAGAGATAGGGTCAGAAGCTCGGTCATTCAGGGGGCTCGGAGTACAGCTGCTGTTCTTCCGCATTGAGAGGGGTCAAATGAGGAGGCTTGGGCATCTCATCAGAATGCTTCCCGGGCGCCTTGCCGATGAGGCATTCAGGGCATGTCCCACCGGTAGGAGACCGTCCGGAAGACCCAGGACAAACTGGAGAGACTATGTATCTCAGCTGGCCTGGCCTGGGAACGCCTTGGGGTCCCCCAGGAAGAGCTGGATGAAGTGGCTGGGAAGAGGGAAGTCTGGGCTTCTCTGCTCAGGCTGCTGCCCTCGTGACCCAACCCCAGGTAAGTGGTTGAAGATGGATGGATGGGTGGGTGGATGGATGGAACACAAAGAGCGAAGGATGTTGGGTGTTAAGGAGTGTTTCAACACACAAACAGGTTTATGCAGATGTGTGACATCAACAGGCAGCTAACATTGACTTAATTCTTGTAATTAAATCTTGACTGGTTCAAAATTTTAACTCCATTCACAAATTTGTTGAAGTTAAAAAAAGTGGCTCTGAGTTGGAGAAAACTTCTGACTGTTGCTGGCTGGGGTCTGTACTAAAGGGGTACCCCTAAAGACTCTGGTATCTAGAGTAGTTGTAGGTTATTGTCTTTTCATTGAACCTGTTCCATTGTTATTGACAAAGTTGATACCAGGAGTGTCGCACCTTCTTGATTTTGACTTGTTTATGATAGAGATACGACTGACAGGCGAGGTGATGTTCTATCGTTAGTGCAGAAACTTTGACACAGCTGATGGTGAGGACTTTTTTGTGCTGAGGGCACTGAGTTCTTAACTGTAGTGGTTTTGTTTAACAAACTAATGCTGTGGGTGGATGAAGCCCTCAAGCATACTAATCTCCTTATTCCTTTTGAAGATTTTGGCCTTATTGAAATGCAGACAACAACCAGAATCAAGGCCCTTTCAAACCCTTGAGAAGTGGCTCTTCGTTGTAAAAGTCCATGGCATTTTGGTATAAGTGCAGCATAATGGGAGCTAGACCAGGCAGGCATTTTGGGCTTCACTGATTTCACAATTGACATGAATCCTTCTTGCAATCACCTGACAATCCTGTCCTCCAAGTTTTGGGGTCTAGTCAATCAAGATTCCCAGCTTTCCCCTTTGGTTGGCATGTTTGAGACATTTTTTCAGTCCTCCCCAAACTTCGGCTTTCTTAGTCTTCGATGTCAGCTCTTTTTATCTTTGTGTAGTGGAGTTCACTGGGAACTAGATTGTTCACCCGCCGGCAGTTAATGTGAACTGAGCTGAGACAGTCGAGTTGAGTTTAAACAAGGATGAGTTTTTGCAGATTTATGTAAAATTAATCCATGAGATGCCACTGGGGGGGTTAGATACCAAGCATAATGTCCTGCCACTGTAGTGACGGTTTCAGGGCATTGAAATGTGAGTTGTCTGAATGTTCGACAGCTAAAGGTCAGAGTCGGCTGAAATTACTATCCATAGTGGTCACACCAGTTAATGTTTGAATTGGGGTCTTTATCTGTCCAGAGGAGTATTTAACTATTTAAATGTAGCTACCAGCTTTTAAGAGCGATTCCTGCTACTGAAAACATAAGTAACTATAATCAAAATGTAAAAAAAAAATAAAACTCAGTCCAAAGGCCAAATCATATTCAGCAGAAAAATCCCATAAATTCTCACCGGATGCCTTAATCGTGCTCCTGCCTCTATTTCCAATCATTATTCCAGTGAACCGTTGCACCCTCTGACCCCAGTCTGATTCTGAAAGTATGGCCAATTGCACCTCCACTCATCGTTTGACTTCTACTCACTCAGAAGAAGAAATAATAATAAAGAAAATCTTTTGAAGGTTAGCTGAAAGTGCACTTTCAGGCTAATCAAGACCGGTGTGGTTTTTGAGCATTAAACTCACACTGTGGGGCCATTGCTCATCTCATAGCTCATTTGGCGGCTCAGTGGAAGGTACTAGACACTAAGAAGTGGCGCTGACTAGAGACATTATACTCCAAGAATATTGCTGCTGCAGGAGGGCCAGCTGGGTCGGGCGATTGAGTAGTTAATGGTTTTACAAATGGCCCGGTCATGTCAAAAAGTAGCATTGGAAAAATCATCGGTCTAAGCAAAAGGATTGTTTTTGATATGATGGTTCCTGTTTGGATCCCGTGGTGGACTGTCAAAATAGCTGTAAATACAGTTTATAGATGACACTATAGTGTTGATTCACACTTTACCCTATTAAGGGCCTGTGTCCACTAGCCGTGCAACTGCTGCAGTACAGTGCCCCAAGTGCAAAATCATCAGCATCAGTTATTTTGGCACAGTCATAAAAAGTTTAACTTCCTTGTGCTCACTTGTGTCACTTCTTCAACAAACAATCAAATTCAAAAAGGAGTTGATTGTACACTATCAACTTTATCAGCAACAATGACAAAGAGGAAGCTCATCAGACTTGTATTTCCAAAGGGTATGATTTTCACATTTGAGCTGATGCTAATGCCTTTCACTATTTATTTCCTGTGTTTTTATGTTTCTTTTAAAACTTCCTAGAATTTTAAATATTAAAGAAATAGGAAAACTTAGAAACGACTTTATAGTCAGATGTGCCAAGAGATAACTTTCGTCACCTAGCAACAACACATGGCGGTGAGACTATCTCTGAAAAGTGATAAACTTGTGGTCAAACTTCACAGGTTCTTGCGCTTATTTCGATTGTTTTGCAGTGAGAAAGGTGTCAAATCCAACAAGCCAAACTCATTGACTCTAATTTCTTACAAAAAAAACAAAAAAACAAACAAACAAAAAAAACAATAAAATCAAACACAGAACAGTGCTTGAAACTGCAGAAAAAAGAAAGAAAGATGTAGACAAAAGCAACTTCTTTCCTTGGAAATGCTTTCAGCCACTGAATGTACTGAGAGCCTTATTTGTTACAGTATGTTCTGCCAGTGCCAATAAAAAAAAATAAAAAAAACAATTTATCAATGAATCGTGTTGTCAAAATGCAGAGAAACAGGACCCACCGAACATCTTTCAATAACTGATGAGGGCTTCCTGATTCTGGGCGCCTGCTGGCTCTGTCACTAAACTGGCTGTTCTCGCCCGCTGACTATCTGTGTCCTTTTGTCTCTGCTCTGGCATTTTTTTGTCTGAGTGACTCTTCTGATGAAAAATGTCAGACACAAATGCCTCCTGAAGCCACTCATCTGTGGCCTTGACCCTGACGACAGTGACCCGGGCCGGCGTCGCCTGCTTCCTGCTTTCTACCAGGTTTATTTAGGTTGTTAGGGATGAGCGTTTCTTTGTTGTTGTTCACCAAATTTTCCACCACGCTGCCTGCTCACCAATTGTTCCAGTGGTTGCTTTTGTGGAGCTGGATGGAGCAGTATAGGGGGGCAAGGAGGGTTCACATTTCCACATTTCCGCCTCACAGGATTAAGTTATATGGGTCTGATAATGCACATCCTGAGGAGACGGTGACCTGCTTCTCAACTGTGATATAAACAAAACCACCAGCTGTCAAAAAAATAAATACAGGGAGGAAGAAAAAGAGCAACATTTGCAAAAGGATTCCACCCGACGCAAAAAGGTTTATGGGATTGTGAACTCCATTTATATATAATTCACTTTGTTTGTCTGACTTCTTCAGAGGAAATATGCAAAAGTTGGATTCACACACACACAAATGTAGAAAAAGTTATAAAGAGTGAATTGTGCACAGTGTTCAAGAGGACACAAATCAGTACAAAATTGCAAACTGAATTACATTTTTTGGCACACAGAATCAATCACTTCTATTTCCTGCTAGAACAATGCACAGGAGAAACCAATCATGCCTTTCCAAGGTGGGGGTGAATTATTGTTATTCACTGTCTCATCATGACTGCACTTGACTATCAAAGAACAGATTTATCACAGTCCTGTTTTCATTCCCCGCAGATATTCCTGCTCTGAAGGTCTTGGGAGGGAGCAAAAGAGAAGAAAAAATGGTGTAAAGAAGTGAAGAAAAGATGAAAGGAGGAGAGAAAGGCTATGTATATCTTTATATATAAAAAGCATAATGTCAGTAGTCGCTACAAAGGGCCAATGTCTGGAGTTTCACAGTCTTTCATGTACAACAGGCGAAGTAACAGTACTGACTCTTTGTCTCCCTGCTGTGATGACGCCTGCCGCTCGGCACTGTGGGAGCAGAGGGAAAGCAGAGTCCACCCTGTAGTGTGTTACATGCTTGTTTGTGTGTGTGTGTTTGTGTGTGTGTGTGCTTTTGTTAGCTGTAGGTGTATAGGCGACACTTTTTAACGCTCTGATGACTTCTTCAATCCCGTTCCGCGTCCTCAGTTTAGTCTCACGTTTCCAGTCGTGTGACCTTGAAGGTAGCACGGGATTCACAGCGTGAGGCAGAAACATCCACAGCTCCTGCTGACCCTCTTGTCTTACGCTCAACTGGCTTATTTGTTTCATCTTTTGATTTGAATGCTGTGGTAGTAAGCCCCACTTTTTGCAACTTAGATCTGCATACAGTCTGGTTACCGACAAGAACAGAGTGCAGCTCTGCTGGAGCTTGGAATAAAAGGTGTCACACTGAAATCTAGTGTCTTTCTCTCCACACAGATTGTCGCGTGCACCTCTTTGCCTGATATTTACATGCTTTCAAACCCACTGTCAGCTCTCAGTATGCTTATAAGAGTCTCACTGCCCTTTTTCTATGCTGTGCCAGTGCTGCACTGAATTTTACAGCACGAAAGTAGACTAACTTTAACAAGAAATATCTTTTACACTACCTCAGAGATGGTTTACACAACCCAATAATAACCCATCCTCACTGTATCCAGGGTTCGCTGGGATTTTCATTTAAAAGTTGCTAAGTATTGTCTGATCACAATCTGATTACATAAGGATGCATCTTAATAGCAAGTGTGAGCAGAGTCTTAGAGGTGGAAGCAGTGCTTTAGATAACAAGGTCAGAACTGTGGCTGCAGCTGCTAATAAGTCTCACATCATTACACAACAAGCAAGTACGCTCTAAGCAACCCTTAGAAGATGTGGCCTATTTGTCAGATTTAAGGATTTATTTTTATGTTTGAGTCATGTAACCCAGATAGTTTTTTGTTTTTTTTCTGAGCTTTCCTTTTTTCAGTTGGAGTACAGTGAGTGATTTAATCAAGCCTACTTTCTGGTGGCAGTGTACTTCACATCTGCAAAAACGTGATATTTTGAGTCCTGTTACACCCACTTTCACGGTAGTTTCTTGCTTTTGTCTAGGATTACAGAACGTCTTATGCAATGGTCTAGGCATACATAAAATGTTGAAAGCTTAACCTTACACTTGGTCCATCTAATGAAATATGTTAGATATATAGTTGCTAAATTTACACTTACTTTACAGTATCTAAGCTGTCTGCGCTAAAAATAAACTAATATGTGGATAAAACCTAAATTTTATTATGTATGTCATCTTTTTAACTCAATCTCTGACATTTTGTTGCTTGGCAGACTTACGGTAAAAATTGCCTTTAACATCGGCCCTGTATAAGCTATGTCTTAACTGTATGTTTAGTCTGGTTGGTTTGTAACTCGGGTTGTGTCATTGTTTGGTTGCACCATGCAGACATGAGGCCACAATTAACCTATAGTGTGTGACGTCCAAACCAACCACAATAATTACATTTTAACATCAATTGGCCAATCACTGATGAGCTCTTGTCTTGATGTTGATGGCTAAAGGCTCAAAATAACGGCCCCTTACTCCCATTTATCGATAAGGTAAAGTTTCATTAACAAGAGTAGTAGTACAGCTCAAATCCATCACACATTTTTGATGATGTAATCTATCAGCTGTTAAAAACCTCTTCTTTTCCAAATAGTCCAAATGATATACTTTTTTTCAGTACAATGCATCAATGAAAGCTGGTATTTTACAATGGACTTTACACCTTCTCAGGTGTAAGATAAAAGTCAAAAGGAGCTACATCAGCTGGTGCAACCCAAAAAATGCTAGAGTGAAAAATCAGTCCTAAATGGAAAATTACATTCAAGACAGATTACATTTTAACTTAAGCATAGCTGCTGCAGGACGTTAATATGCCTGGGAAACTATTGAACTGACAACAGTTAGCTGTTTCCCTTTGTTTCTAGTTTTTGTGCAAAGCTAAGTAAACTGATTTGTGGTTTGTCTGGCTTTCTAGACAAGAAAGCTTTATTTCTAAATGTTACAAACCTTTTATAAATAATTTCTTATTATTTGAAAGCCTTTGTTCCCCAAACTGTCCCCACATTAAGTGAAATATGTGAGAATCTTTCCTTAGCTGCCGTTTACACAAATTCAAAATTTTCTCTAAGAATTTTGTGATGATTTAGTCTGATTTATAAATTTGACAAACTGAGTCTTTGAAAGTCATACCAGCACTCTCTAACTTTTTCCAAAATGATCAATCCCGCTCCTTTAAAACACGCCAAACCCTGGTATGTGTTTTTTCTACAGTATATAACTCTGTGTGTGTATGACAGGATGTGTCTGCGTGTGCTTGAATGAATGGATTTGTATGTGAGGATCATGTGTAGAGGATCCTCCAGTTGCTGTGGCATCATCCAGATGCTGCCTCCCTGCCTCCTTATCCCTCCTCTGGGCCAGCTGTCACCACACAGACGAGATCAGAAGAGAACAATGCCAGTGTGACAGCCTCCATTCTCTGTGTTGGAGCCGCATGGAAAAGGGCGACCTTCAGCTGCGGAGCTTATGAAGACGCTTCTGAATAGCCGCAGCACAAAGCCCTGCAGGTCTGCAGTCCAACACCCTGCGCTCTCATCATGTGTCTTTTTCAAAGCCCTCGGGAGATTAAGGGGTTTAACCATAAAGGAATGTAATACCTTTCAAACAATCCAATGCTTTTCTCGGCGGATGAGTAGAGCTCTTGATGCAAGATTCGTCAGGAAACTTACTGCGTTTCTTCTTCCCATGATGCTTTACACTTGACTCCTCCTATTGCTTTTCAAGATGGGTTCATAAAAGCAAGTCCATTGTATTAGTTGCAGTTTCCCAGCTTTGTGTTGTTGCTCTGCTATGCTCAAGTATTGTAACCATTACTGGGTAGATATTAGCTGTGAGACAACACTCTAATACCCCCAAAAGTGTACAGACATACTGCTCTGTAGGCTCCTTGAAGTTGTGGTTGCAGATGCCATCAACATGGACGCCATCTTCTTCGTAACAAAGGTCTGTTCAGTGATTTGATTGGTGAACTCAGTGAAACGGGGACCATGTAGACTCTGTGTCACTATCCCAGCACATTCACCAGCATACCAGTGAGCCACACAAACACACAAAAATCTGCATCTTTGACCACCACATGAGTAGGTGTCTCAACTCAGAGATCACATGGACAACCCCTGATTATACATCCTTTCCCCTCCTCCTCTCTTTCTTTCTCTCTCACACAGTCACCTCTGTCTTGCTGTTGGTCACAAAGTAGGGCTGTGTGGGGAGGAAGTGTTGGCTGTGGCTGTGGACTCTGGTGCTGTGAAGCTGGTTGGGCTCCAGCACTGTGCACTGAGGCCTCTTGTGCCCATAAGTCTTCCTCCGGCCCACTGTCTCAGTCCCATCCCAACCTTTCAGCCCCATCCCATGCCCGGTCGCGATCGTGTTGGAGCTATACGCCAGTTGGCGGCCCATTGTAGCAGAGCTTGCGCCAATGGTGGCATTGGCCGTCCTGGTGATACCCAGGGATGTGCCACCTGGCATGGTCCCTGCCATGTGAGCCAGGGAGGTAGCTCTGAGTCCTGGCTGCTTGCTACTGTGGCTGTGAGTGTGAGAGCTGTGAGTGTGAGAGCTGTGGGAGCTATGGGAGCTGTGGGGAATGTGGCCATGGCTGCCTTTGTGTTTCTGGCCATTGGACTTGAGTCCCCCTCCCCCTACTCCACCTCCACCAGCTAAGTGCCGTTCTGTTGGGAGAGTTGAGACCCTGGGCATCTCTAGGGTTGAAACCCTGGGCATCTCCGTGACATAGGTGGCTACTGGCTCAGGAGTTAGTGGACCCAAGGAGGTCATTGGGGTTATGGAGGACATTGGAGCTAGGGATGTCATGGGAGTCATGGATGTCATGGGAGTCAAGGACATCATGGGTGTCATTGATGTCATGGGAGTCATTGAGGTCATGGGAGTCAAAGAGGTCATAGGGGTCATTGAGGTCATGGGAGTCATGGAGGTCATATGTGTCATAGATGACATAGGTATCATAGATGTCATTGGTGCCATGGGGGTCATCTGAGTGATGGTGGGGTTCATGGGGTTGGAGGTCATTGTGTTTGTAGCCATAGGGTTGGTAGTCATCTGCGGGGTCATCGATGGCATGTTGCCCATATTGGGTCTGGAGTTGCCCATTGGCTGGAGAGGAAGCCCACCCTTGGTTGGCAGCTCCACCATCAGCCGACGCTTGTAGATTTCACCGTTGTATTTGGCAGCTGGTGTAAGACAAAGAGAGAAAACAACAGCGCTAATGAAAATGTTAGGAGAAACAAAAGAGCCGCTAGGGAGCAAAGCTGAAATCTTGGAATAAATGTTTTGATAGCTCAATGAGTTCTCCCTTTTCAGACTCTTATTTGTTAAAACAAAACCCCAGCTCTGTTTTTCTGCTGTGGAAGAGAAACCAGAGAAACTGTTTTCAAAACTGACTCATAAAACACGAGGACAGGCAGAAGTTTAGATAGAAAGCATCCCATCCATTTTTACTCCCACAGCCTGCAAAGGTCCAACCAACACATAATCTCTGACTTTGTTAGTCATGCCAGTGTATCCCCATCTACTGAAACTGACCACACAGAGGGTCAGGGCTTCTACAAACGCCTCCATGTAGTGGCCCAGAATTTCTCCTCCACCTGTCCTCTTCTAGTTTTGCGAGGCCATGCAAAATTTTATTTTTGTGTGGTAGGGAGGTGTTCACGATGTTCAAAAAGGGTGTGAGACCATTCAAAAATTCCTTAGATTCCAAGAAAACTCAAAAGTTGGTGCTGAACCCTATAAGTAGGGGATTACACTACGGTAGACATTCACAGTGAAAGAATTTATCAGGTTTTCTCTTACAGGTTTCTTGGCATACACTTTGATTATCTGCAGTCTACAGCAAAGACTGTATTTCCTATATAGACTGAGAGTATACATGTCATCATGACTTATTATACCAGGCTGTGCTGGAGAGTATAATCAGGTGTGGGAGGTTGACATGGTATGGCAACCTCTCTGCACAGGGAAAAATCTAAGCTCATCCGTTGAGTCCAGCTGGCCATAAAGGTCATTGGAAGGACTGAAAACCTCTCTCTGCAGTCAATATATGAGCAGTCTGATCTAAAGTCTGACCCTTCACTCTGAATATAAGCTCCTACCTGGCTGGTGATAAAAGATCCCCCAATGTAAACTGAACTGCTTTGAAAACTCCTTTGTGCTCATCTGGATATAAATATTAAATACTGTTTCTTGAAGCTTTGGGGCTTTAGTGCTGATTGTATCATAATGTGTTTATCCTTTCAGTTTTATCTTCTCTTACAGTGCTGTCCTCTTGCGCAATATGTGTTGCTTGTTTGCACTTGTGGCTTTGGCATGTGTTCTCTGTTTGCATGGGGCTTATTGCTTGTTGTTAATATTGTTTCATTCATTTTTTTTACTTATTGGCAGTATTGTTGATGCAGTTGACATGTACAGCACAGAGCCCAAGACAAATTTCCCCATAGGGACAAAATTGTATGGTATCGTATTGAATCAAGTTTAATCAAAGCATATTGAATCAATTTGTATTGGATTGGATCATATCGTATCGAATCGTATTGTATCGTATCTGCTTTAATCCAGCAGCTTTCTGTTTTAGGCATTTTTTTAATTGTATCATTTGTATTTTAGCAGTGTATTTGGTGTTAATGCAGCTGCTTTAGCCTATTGCTACATGTTTTTTTTATTTTATTTGCAGTACATCGCCACCAATCTCTGTGTTTTTGACTTTTGCATGTGTTTTTTTAGAAATCATATCATTCTGCATAATAGCACCTGTCTCCTAATGGGAATTGTTTGAGCCATTGCTCAGATTATTTTCTGCTCTTTTTTGGCCACTGTACTGTCAAAGCCTCACTTAATTCTTGTATGGCCTTATATCTCAGAGTATTCTTAGATGTTTCACAGCTTTGGTTTACTGTCAATCATTTAAGAAAACTTTTCATGCAAAGATGAGGGAAACTGAGATGACTTGTGAATGACTTGTGAATGGCTTATTGTACTACTCACAAGAACTCTTTGTCCAACTTTCCCAAGATGCTCCACTTTTCTTCACAAGTAAAAATCTTACCTCTGCTAACCATATGCACAAATAACGATACTCACCTGTCTTGTTGTCATACCTGGTTAACTGTCTTATAAACTTAAGCCACATGCATGCAATCTGACTTTAAGAAAAAAGCTGGTTTGCCTGATAAACGACTTAAAAAATATAGTCCAGAAAATGAGTGAAAGGGTTCATTTTAAAAACAATATATTTTTATTTTGTCCAAATGAATCAACAGAGCCTCACCTTGCTTCATGTGCAGGTGTAAACTCTTCTAATATCTACTGTATATCTGCACAGGTGTGTGTGTGTGTTCCTTTAGCACAGCAGTCAGGTTTACGTCCTCACATTATTTCTCCCCTCTGTCAGTCACTGTCACCAGGCTACAGTTTCCCTTACTGAGGAGAAATGTGACCTTTTCCTCATCCAAACCACATTTAGACATGCCATTACTCTTTGGTTCTTGTTGCCTCCACGTCCTTGAAGATAAAGTTAACATACTCAGCGAGTTAGCTTAGCAGCTGTAACTATTAATCTAGTTTATCGCTCTATGAACAGGGAAGAGAAACGAGCGTGCGGCCCTGTGAGCGGGCTGCAGAGGGGCTTTTCAGAGAGGAGGGGGTGCTAAGGGAACGCAGCGCCTCACCAGCTGAGTCGTCGCTAGACCGCCCCTGGGGATCAAACTTGCTCAGGTGACAGGTGAATCAATCCGGCGGCAGTCAGCTCCACAGTGCACACATCCAGCGGTGTACGTGAGTGGAAATGGAAAGCACCGCTGTTACGCCGTGTGGGCTCGGCATGCCTCAGCCAGAGAAAGGCCAGCGTCCCACTGAGACCGACACTTATTATGCATCAGGAAATAAAATCAAGCATTGCTTCTCTGAAGTCTCCCAGTGCAAATAACACTGAGACCTTGTTAGGGTAAAATGTCAGGTTGATTTCTATTAGTCATATGCTGCTGTGCCAGAAGATATGGAAGTGTCTATGAATTTAAAGCAGAAAAAAACATGTCTTTGAACAGTTAAATATATGCTTTTGTTATCAGGATATTCTTCATTTCAGATGTTTTAGTGAGAAACTGAAATTAAGGGCCAGTTATTGAGACTAATAATCTGTAACTGGTCACCAATTAAATCAAATTTTGCTTAGTTGCAGGCGTGTCTCTCTTTCTGGGCATCACCATTTTGCCTAACCCAATGTCCCGCCAACTCCTACTGCCACTTTTACCAAAGTTAGAAATCTGAGCACTTGTACGACTAGTTCAGACATGAACAAACTGCGAAAGGTCTACGTGTTAAGAGATAAGAACTTCAGAATGACAGGTCAACCCTCTTAAGTCTAACTGCATTTCTAATTTTACGGTAAATGCCTATTTCAAATATCAGGACTCAATGGTATCAGCCCTTTAAGTCCAATATTAGTTGACTCCTCACTCCTATCATCTATTCTTTCTTTTTCACTGGAGACATGGACCTTCCTGTGTGTGTCAGAGTGTCTTTCTTACGTCAAGTCTTCAATTAGCCCCATGGCTGTCAATACTGGACAAACGTTGGTGGTCTTGGGTCAAAATGACATCTCTGACATTGTCAATCAGGCTATGAATGTGTCTACAGGGCAAGTAGGGACACATAAATCAAGCAGCCAAGGCTTATGATACTGCTCCAAATATTCCATTAACTGGTTCAGTCTTGATCTTACCTAGAAAAAAGTAGGTCATCAAGCTCAGTAACTCTGACATTAATTGCTTTAGCCTTGGGTTGTCTCTGGTAAACTTTTTTCTCAGATCAGCATACAGTTTTATTAGTGCTGATGCTAGCATAGACTACTGCTGCTTTGTGTTTCTTTATACATGTTCATAGCAATGATATAACTAAAAAGTTTTGTCAAAACTCAAAGAACTTAAGAGGGTTGAAATTCAGAAAGGAAAAAACAAAATCTGACTTCTGAAGAAGGTACATTTGATGATTTTTTTAAGTTAAAACATTACTGTATGCCTTTCTTTCCACCACAGTAAAGCTACTGTATTTGCCTCCCTGATTGCCCGAGACAGCAAGTACCAGAGTATGGAGATATATCATTTTCATGTTTGAGGCTTGTGGCTGCAATGTGGCTTGTCATGCCAGAAATCAGAATCCTGTATGTTGTATTAAAGTCACAAAAACTAGCATTTAGGCATTGTCACTGTGAATATGTTGCCATCCCGTCACAAACAGCATCCTCAAGATCAGAGGTGTCAAGCTCAGTCACAGAGGTGGCCAAAATTTGTCGATTGAATTTTTGAATTTTCTGAAACGGAGCATGTTTCATCAGAAATACAAATTTGACGGACCAGAAAACAACTTTTTCCTCAATAATTACATTATTTTTTGTCTCCTTGGCATCTTTTCTTGGCTGCAAGTTCATGAATGTTTGTGGTGTGCATCAGTGAGACGAATCCTTTTGTGTAGTTGTGGCCATTTTTATCACGGAACAAAGAATGTAGAGCCAGCTACCAAACATGTAGAGCATTCGATCAGCGGAGTTTGAGTATCGTGTCAGGGATGGGTAGCGGGAACTGTGAGGGCTCCACAGAGTCATACTGTGCCCTGAGTGTGCCATTACACTGCAGTTCTATCAGCTCCATCAGCATGTTTCTATGAATTTTGTCCACGTCTGCTGCAAATGGATTTCTGAGCAGTTCAAAATTAAATTTCTGCACTTTCAAGGCGGTAAATCACGATGTGAACTCAGTGCGAAGTGTGCTCAGTATATCAGCAGAATGAGTGTCTGAATACACAGCAGTGGAGACTTGGTTTGAGATTTTTTGGCAACATGGAAAGTGACTCAAGTTGCCTTTCTGCATCTGCATCTCCCACAATTGCAGCTAGACCTGAAAAGCTCTTACTCTGTCATAAATGTCTATAACCAATATTTTGTCTTGCGGTGCCGTCTTATGATGTCAGCCACATTAGCTACACAAACAGGTATTAAGCACCCCATCTGTTTTTAAGGTCCCTGTTTTCAGAGTCTACTTTTCTGTTTGGCCGTTAATTTTAAGGACTAACTTAAATGTTAGCGTAAAAGCACTGACATATGTATTCATCCGCTGACCAACTATCTGTGTGTCATTAGTGCAGCTGGAGGAGGGATACAGTAGATTGATATAATCTCCATGTCTCCAAGAAACTTTATATTCTTAATAACTTCATAATGATGACAATCTTTTGCTGAACTTGGTTTGAGTTCTGAATATAAAACAGGGTAATAAACTTAAGTGTGGAGCATGCAAGCTTTAATGGCAGAGGTTAAGTGAAGTAGTTTCTTGGTAATATGGGTTTACACTTTGCAGAGTAGTAGTAAATGTATTTATTTTTGCACAAAAGTCTTTACAAAAGTAGTTATTTTCACTCTGACTTTACCCAGACTATGTCTTCCAACCCCTTTCTAAAGTTTACACAAGAAGTCAGAGCGAGCTGATGAGAGAAAGGCAACAGGGAATATTTGGCAAACACGGGTGAGAGTAAATATGTGCCATGCAACTGGTGTGGGTCCATATTCACACAGTCAGTCCAGGTTCATACCCTCAGTCTTAGATCATACAATCTGTTCAGGTTCATACAGTCTGTCAAAGTAGATACATGCAGTCCAGGTTCATGAATTAAGTCCAGGTCATAGATCTGTATATAGAATGGACAGTGTCTCCCTCCTCACTGGGTGAAGCCACTCCGAGAATAGCACCCTCTGTTGACGGGCTGCAGTAAAGGTCATAAATCCCACCTCTGCCAGCAAAGCTTAAGGAGCTGTGGACAAACTTTAGAAATTTATTACACAGAACATACATTTTTCTCCCCCCTGCTTGTGATGTTGACATGTAGTTACATTAAGACTGGTTTGTGCTCAAGTCCTATTTTTTCTGTGAAGCTCCATTTTTGAAAGTTATTGGGGGGTTCATGTTTTCTTTGATTGACACTTGATACAGCCTATTGGCGTTCAGGGATTGCGTAGCTCACCCGGGGGATATGCTGTTTGAGCCGAGCGTCATCACAGCGACTCTCCTGCCGAATGTGCACAATGCTACTGCGCAGTGCTGGTTTCAGGAAATGAAGAAAAATCCCGGAAATTTGGCCTCAAATCCGTATACAGGCGGAACCAAGTTGTCCATAGTACATACAGTCTATGGTCCAGGTTCATACAGTCAGTCCAGGTTCAGGCAGTCATTCTAAGTTGATCCAATCAGTCCAAGTTCATACCCTTAGTCTGCGATCATGCAATCTGCTCAGGGTCATACAGTCAGTCTAGATTTAGACAGTTAGTTCCAGTTCAGTCAGTCCAGGTTTAGTGTCAGCAGTTTGCAGTGTAAGAGCCATCCTGTCCATAGTTACTATAATGAGGACTTGACTTGGACATGGATACATGCAATAATGACCTGACTTGGTCACAAGTAATGGGCAGTCTTTTTCAGACTTGACTTGGACTCAAACACTGAGGACTCAACCCTTAACTCTAACTCTTACTCAATGCTGCTAACTAGCCAACCTAACAAGCTTGATTAAAAAAAAAGGATTTGTTCTTTTGACTTGGTCCATAATTGGTCATTAGTGCATGGAGGAGACTTTGTCCTCTCAGCTCAGCCACAGGTCTGCAACCAGGGACTTTTCTTAGTTGGTCTCTTTTTTTGTCTTGGCTGCAGAGTTCGATAAAGTAACCTTATATAGATGCACAGGGGGGCAGAGGAGATGGCTATTGATTGGCAGAAGTGTGGCTTATCAGCCTAACGCTGGACCATTGGGAAAGTGGCAGAAGCAATTAAAGAAAAGGAGGGTAAGGCAGTTGAGGTGGTGTTGATCTGAGCCCAGGTTGTATTTCTCAGGGGGTCAAAAACAGGCAGTGGGAGCCCAGACAGAAGAAAGAAAACAAGAAAAAGTCCATTTATGTAGCTCTAGATTAGCAGGGCTCACAGAGAGGGGATTTCAAAGAGAGCTACCTGTGACATTTTGGATTTGTTTTCTGTCATTCCGCCCTTCATCAGCTCTTACTTCACACACTTGATCACAGGTTGTGTGTGCATGTGTGTGTGTGTTACATTTCTATCATCTTTCTCAGAGATGCATGCACATACCCTGGGTTTGCTGTGCTGCATATACAGTATCTCTGACAGCTTTCCAATCATTTCATAGGAGCTCCTCTGAATACCACTTGTGGAATAGAAATCTGTCAGTCAAGTGTGAGCCCAAGGGTGGAGGATTGAGTGGGGGCTGCTTTCAATTACAGAAATGGAATCAGATATGAGCCACCATAAGGGAGGATGGAGATTAGCAGTGCAATGATTCTTTAAGGAGCGATATGCAGCCTGATGGATTGAAGGGTGGGAGGAAGGAGATGGTGTGAGTGGGAGAGGGTAGACAAAGGAAGTGAAAGAGAAAAGGTGAGGGGAAATGCAGAGGAGAGGGCAGAAGGCGGATGATAAAAGGAGTTGATATGAAAGAGGGGAGAGGGAGATGGGAAACGAAGGAGGAGGAAAAGGTGAGAGGAAGTGATGGAGGTAGGGACAAATCAGGGGGAGAAAAATGAGCTCAGACATTAAAGGTTAAAGGAGCAAACAGAGGGAAGGAAAATGGTCTGGGAGAAGTGGTTAAGCGAATATGAGAGCCATTTCAGATATAGAAAAGCAGGGAGGACGAGGTGGACTCAACCTGCACTGAAAGGTTTCAGAGTTATTTCTACTTCACTGCCTGGACCCAATTCAGGCTTCGCAAGGAGAGATTCTCTGACTCCAAAATGCACAAATATACCTCACTGTAACAAAATTACACTGGTAGTTTTGCACATTTTATTCCATTAACTTGAAAAAGTGTACACTTTACAGAGCTTCTGACTATTTTTCCCAAGCCAACCACAGCTTTGTAGATTGATTTGATTCCCTCCAGGCATCCACGGATTTTATAACAAGTCAGTGCATTATAAAAAATCAACCTGCAGAGACTTATTACAGCCTTAGAATTACAATTACAGAGAACATGTAGTCTGTGGAGGCGACTGCCGGATCTCTCTGCATTTGGACAATAGTTTCCCCTCCTTTCTGATGATAGTTTTTTTGTAGCCTTGCATCCTCGATGTCTCTGGGAGCGATTGCATCACAAGGAGAAGTGAAAATACACTTGACCATACACTACAGGTCTCACTAGGATGGCTCTAGAGGGCGCACCAGAGAGTTTAGGACATATAAGGTTTGTGGGATGTGAGCAAGAAAAATGTCAGTGGTCATGAAGGTTAATTTTATATTTAGTCTACATCTCAGCTGACAGAGCACAGCGTTGGCACCACCCTCTCTCAGTATTTCCATCATTTTCCTTGTGCATCAGTTCGAATCTTGTGTCCATACTGTTCTGCGGAGGGTTTCAAACTGAACTCTCTCTCATCAGCTATGTTGGCAGGCATGCTTTTAGTGGCTATGACACAGCAGATAAATGTAGATAACTCTGAACTATCAGCTTATTTGAACTTTCAGCCGTTGTTGACCCTGCTGCTGTCGTTGACATTGACTACTCTGACATTGACACTATCTGTTCTGTTCATGTTCATACTGCCTCTACCTCATTTATGTTTGAGTATGTGCAAAACTGACTCACCAAACCAACACTTGAAACACATAGCAGCATCTATGCAGTCCTGTAGATAACAGAAAGTGTATTACTACAGCCTCGGAGCTACCCCCAGTGACTGGGTTCAGTAAACGCCTGCTTCCACAGAAACAGATGGAACATGGGTCAAACTAAAAAAGTAAAATACACAACACATACATTTTACTCAAACACACTTTCTGTCATTATAGTCAGTTCTTATTGTGATTAGTCATGTCCACGAGTTTAATTTTCTCAGAAGTTGAGTTTTACTTGTTTTTTTAAGCCTCTAAAGCACATCAAATTCAAATAGTTGTATTATACACATTTTTCCCCCAAACTTTTTTTTCTGGATTTGGTATACAAACTTGTCATATTACTTTAGACTAATCTTCTTTTTACAAATCCCTCCTTCAAAACCTCATAATGCAATCATATGTCACCTGGGTAAGTTTGCTGAATTGCTCTAAAGTCTGGCTGTGCTCACTCAGCTGCTCAGGGTAAGGAGGATGGCAGCCTTGCAGCAGCTGGGATTGATGGAGTTGTTTCAAGCTGCAGTGAAAGGTTCCTTATTCTGTTTGGTTTGATGCATAATGCTGATGTGCTTGGCCATGAAGGTTGCAATCCCCACCTTCCAATAAATTATGCTCTAAAATAAATTGCATTTAGCTCCACCTCTGTCCAAAGATTCAGTAAAATGCAGCCAAACGTAGGATGTATTTGCACATATGAAAATGGGCACAAGAAAATAACCACCTGGATACTTCTTTATGTTGTTTAATATATCTAAGCTGCTAATTTAAAGCTTTAAAAAGAGTTTATTAGACAGTCTAATAATATTTGTGCACTATTAATTTCATTCAAAGTTAACAGTATTTTATAAGACCCCCAAGACTTGATATCAGAGTTGATATGCTCAAAACAAACAAAACAACAACAAAACATCTGACTCTCTCGGTTTGTCTACTATCATGTTGTAAACACTGCACTGGGGCGTTTATATCATTTTCTCCCTCTCCATACTCATCTCCCACCCACCGTTCCTCTCCAAAACAGGGAGGATTTCACACTATGAGTGTTTGTCTGTGAACAAGCATCTTTGGAAAATTTAGGGGGCAGAGCTCTTGAAATTTCCTGGAAAATGTCAGTAGAGCATGTTAAAGAGCATGTCAAAGAAATTAATGACAGTGCAGTAATAGCTGCAGGTCATGTAACACCCAAAGCTCTCTGTTTGAGTATTTATTTAAGAGTTTTCTTTTTCGTAGAGCAGATTTCTAACAATAGATTCGGGGCGATGGGGTATGAAGTGTTCATAAAATGCTTTCCCCTCATCTGTCAAAACCAATTATCAAGCGATCTCAAATGCTTCTAAATGCTTGGCTTCTTTGCAAAAATAACTGTAGTGTGTACTTCCTGCATTGTGCTCTCAGTTCAGTAACACTTTCTATGTCCCACTTAGATAAAATTACTCTAACAACTGCTGGCATTTGTAATTTAATTTACATCTATGTGTTCCTCAACACGCCTGACCGCAGGAGATAAAAAGGCCGTCTACGCTCACTGAAAATCTGAGTTTAAGATCACTTGCTAGGGTGACGTTCAAAATATATAATGTGAAGTTTACAAAAGTGTGATGTAGAAATTTGAAGCCTCCGGAACACACTGGCAATGAAGTGTTCAGTAAACACTTTATATATGAAAACAAGATATCTGCATTTATATTCATATTATTCATAGATTCTGTTTTTTAAACAAGGAAAGGTAGTTTATATAAACAGTTACTTTTCTTACCAGGTAATAGAGTCAGTATTGGTGGAGAATAGTGATATGTCAGTCGCGAACGAACCCAGTTCAAAGAGCCGACTCCTTTAACATAAACGATGTGAATCCATTTTATATTTTTTCTCTTTTTTCTCTTTTTTTTACCCCCAACAGACCGTGGAACAAAAACTACATGGCAGAATGATGGGATTTCTATCTGCTTTGTGTAGCAGAGTGGTTCTACAAGTAAGTCAGTGGGTGTTACAAGGGTCTGTAAATGCAATAAAACAATTGGCTACAGCAGTTTACTGATATTAGAGATGTAATTTTTACCTATGAATACTTCAGTACAAAGGGTGTATTGAATTATTTAAGGTGTATGTGTACATAAACATACATATCATAGGCCAAACAATGCTGAATTTGGCTGAATTTGAAAATGTATAAGTGGTAAAATGAAGAGCCGTTTTGAAGCCGAAAGAGCCAGCTCTTCTTGTTGAGCTGAGCCGAATGATCTGGCTCACTAAAAAGAGCTGTAATTCCCATCACTAGTAGAGAAAACACATGAGTCACAAAACTTTGAAGATTTAAGAAAACTTAAAATCGCTTCGATGTGATTTTTAAAAAACGTGAATGCAACACCAAGCAGTGCTTAATAGTAAATGTGCATCTTTAAACACTATTCCTAAAACCCCAATAGCCACTTTGTACCTCCTCCTCTCTGTGCCCCCTTCATTTAGACATTAACTACATTTCCCAAAATGCCATCCTCAGTCTTCAGAGCCTGTTGCATCCATCTGTTCGTTAAATATGTGGCGAGGTGAAAGGAAAGCTGCAGTCTAACGTCAGACAGTTGAGAAACAGAAACAGCTGAAATGAACTGTCAGAGAAAGAAATGATAGATTCTTTCTCTCTTTGTTGAATATTGGCCTGATGTGGTGAGTCGACAAAAAAGTCCCTTCGTTCTTAGACCCCAGAGACTGTCAAGAGATGTCTGCTGTTGACATTTGAGATAACTGAGCTATTTTCTGCACTCACAGTTGTTGCTGTGCTGAAAATATCACCTGATCTGAACAGTATCTCACACTGAGCCGTCAAGGAATTATAAAAATACACTAAACAATGCAGATGTTAGCGTAACATGCTCATGATGACAGTGTTAATCACTGTTTTCATTGATGCTCTCATGAGCTGGCTTTTCTTTAATATCTAAGATGACGTGACCGATTATTGCTTATTATTCATCTGTTTCTTTGTTTTCCATGCTGCTGGCAGTTAAATTAACTGTTACAATAATTATACCACATCTCCTGGCTTCCAGCGCAAAGCGGTGCACAGCATAAACAGTCCTGATCATTTATTACTGTAACATGGTTTTGGGATGAGTCAGAGTCAGCTACATGCAGTGTAGTGGAGGAAATACAGATCACATTTACAACACAGAGAATGGTCAGACTTACATTTATGTTGCTGAATAAAATATTCAACATTTTCAGGCCAGGAACGCAGAAACAGACATTTTCCTTACAGAGGCGGCATTAGATTTCTCTGCTGTCATTTTAAAGGACTTATTCCAATAATAATGCCTGAGTTATAATGTGTTTCATTGTCAAGTCAGTGACATATTTTCTCTTGTCTTATCAGTGTTGTTTGAATGAATCTGAACACCTTTAAAGTAGCAACCACAGCATCATTGGTGTCAAAAATCTCTGTTATGTCAAGAGCGGTGCTTGTAGGGCTGGGCGATATGGCCCCAAATTAATATCACGATATATTGAGCAGTTCACCTCAATAGTGATAAATGGACAATAACTACTCCAAAAGCTGCTTATCCCCTCCAACATTAACTTTGTCTACTTCAGCCGCCACTCCTGCAACCACAACTTTTGAACTGTCCTCCATCTCCTCACCTGTCTTTCCCTCTTTGTTACAGACTGGATGGTGTGGAGTCACTTCTCTGACGTAGGACAGCATCTTAACGGGACATGAGACCATAGCCTACCTACACACATCCAAAACTAACTTTTTATTTATTTATTATTTTTTGAAACTGAATATACTGATATGGGCAAAATGACATCGGTTATTGTTGTAAATTTTGGTATCTGTAATTTTCGGTATATCCCCCAGCCCTAGGTGCTTGTGTTGAATCAGGGATGTTGTAAGAGAGCAGGAACTTTCTTTATATTTAAGTGCAGCACATTCTCATTTTTTAATGCCTTTAATCGTGACTTTGGGTATCATCTTCTTTTAAGGTCCTTAAAAGGAGTGTATAGAGTTTTTAAGTGGTTGACAAACACACTGTACAGCCTTCAAAAGCAAACAACACCACCAGCAACAAGTCTGAAAAGTTCAGTGGAGTATTTTTAATGCTCATACATGCTGGTTAGTTGCCAGCATGTATGAGACAATAAGAGGTATCACTTTGTCAACATGTGGTGCCAAATTCAACACAAACCATATCTAAAAGAATTAAACAGCTGTATGATGGGGATTTTACCTGTTTATTAATTAGTCGGCCATTTAAATCACTAGTCAGGTATTTAAGTAATCCGGACCGAAGGGATTTTTCTGGAAGTGAATGAAAGTCTTGTTTGCTTTTGGAGGTCATAAAGAGGCGTAACTGTTCATTTCACTCTGTTTCATAACCAGTCAACAATTCCTTACAGGAGCCTTAAGTTAAAGAGATAAAATTATTGAGCCCCTTGGTTCATTTCTGTAAGTTTGCTTGTTGGTTATTTTTGTTTTTCTGTCTTGTCTTACCATGGAGTTTGTTTTATTTTTTTGTTGCCCTTTTTGCTTATGACATTTCTATTGTTTGCACTGGGAATTTGCAATAACATATTATAAAATCAGTTTAAGAACCAGTCCCAGAGATCTCACACCGGTCAGTCTCTAGATAGTTCCAGGCCTGAGTGGGATGAATTCACAATCAAGCCAGAGGAGGAAATGCTGACAGACACATACTGAAAAATTCACAAGTCAATATGAAATGAATTCAGGTTATGAAATAGTAATGCTACTGCCAATAAGTTACAGGCACAGTGAGGCACATTCAAATCAGCCGTCCTGGCAACAGAGCTCATTGAATTTGGTGGCATGCATTAAGCTGTCAAACAGCTCGGTAAGCAGGCTGTTCCCGTTTCACAGCGCGTCCGGCGTTCAATAACACCTGTCAGATCTGCCTGCAGGACTGCTGTAGTAAAATCACATCGCTACTGGAGACCTTAAATCAAAGCTGCCCTTTGTGTTTGGATCACAAAATGTTCAGTAAAATGAAAAATAAAAATCAAGCCCAGGTTTTTCTTCCCTCAAAATACCCTGCCAGCTCTAGATGCCAAAGACGGTGACTCCGCTAACAAGAAAAAAGGAAACCCCTGAGATTGATGATGCATCCTGTCCAAACGCAGTCAAAGTCGACACTTAAAATCAACAACCATTTTTCAGAACAAATAGCATAAGATAAAGCACTCCTCTCATCTTAAAGACTTCCCCCTGCTCCTCTATGTCTTAAAATTTAAATATGTGAAGATAACAAGAGAAGATGACAGACACTCACCCACGGCCTTCAGGGAGGCGTACTTGTTGATTTCCTTGTTTGGCTGCTGCTGTTGCTGCTGTTGTTGCTGCTGTTCGTAGACATGAGCCAGCTGGCTGAGGGCAGGGTACGGGTGCTGCTGGCCCATGTTTGAACCCGCTGCCACATTGTTGTTGATCTGACCCCCCTCTGTGGGCAAAGACACATGACAGGACAGGGTTACAATGAGGTCTCAGAAGCACCTTGGGCATCTTGACAGGGCACTCACGAAACACCTGCGTCTTTTAAACTGCATCTACTTTGGCTGCTTGAAATGTTATCCACGCTACACAATTCTTCTCTGGACACATTTACATCCATTCATGTCAGACCATCAGCTGATGGACTCCTGCCATCAATCCACAGCTGCAGCCATTTGTATGTTGTACAGCAAATACACATTTGGACAGAATCCAGAGTCTATATGGACTCTGATAAGCCGCATCTGTGGTCTATTATCACGCATGCCAGTTCATTTATGTCACAGGAGCTTAAATGTTCAGCCTGAATAAACATCCTAGTATACTAAGCTGACATCTTTTATGTATATTTGATGGCAGCTATCTGCATATTGAGGTAAAACTGCAACAGAAAGGAGTGTTGTTCCTCTTTTTTAGAGATATTGTGCCAAAACTGACAGCTCAAAGCTTTAGCATTTGAGTTTTAATACTGAATGGGGTGTAAAAATGACTTTATAATGAGAGAAGTCTATCAAAATGCCAACAAGACAGAAGACCATGTCCAGGTGCTGCTGTATTAAGAGGGTTAATATCACGTCTTTAATGTGAAAACGGAAATTAAATGTTACATATAATGTGATTCATGATGATAATGGAGAAGGATAATGTTTAGACCTTGACATGAGGATTTTAAGTGCGAAGTTAATTTGACCCTTTGAGCAATAAGCTTATTGCACGAGAACAAAACCAACCGGATGCTGGGAAGTCTGCTGTGTGTTTTCCTCTGCTTTGCAATTCAGAGTGCTGATATCACAGATTTTAGATGCAGGCTGATATAATCCGATATTCGTTTTTTTTGCTGATATCGGACTGATATCTGACATCAATATCGTATTGGGACACCCAAATCTCAGACATTGATTGAAAGTATTCTTTTGGTCATCAATGAAAGTTAAAAGAGCTTTTTCACCGTAAAGATAACAGGATCAGAAAACAGAAGTTTTCATGTTTTTTGGACATTAGCCACTATTGTTTCTGCTTGCCATAGCCAGAATGGGGAGCAAGTGGATTGTTTTGTGACTCTTTAAAAAGTAACACCCACAAGTCGTGTCCAACTTTATATTTTGGGAAAAGCAGCCAGAACCTCTGTTAGACAGAGGCGTTTCACAGAAGATAAATCCTTTTTTTTTTTTCTGAGCTGTAAATCATGCATTGACGTAGAGGTTGAAATGAGTTGTACATTAGGTCTCCTTTGAAATGTGTGTCAATTTTTCCATTTAAAATGTTGCTTTTTCAAAAAGTATTCTAGCTACATTTGAACATTCTTGACTCAGCTGCATGGTTGTTTTATTATTATTTGTAGGTTTATTAATTTTCCCTGATTTAATAGGAATAATTATTTACCATCTGTGTATGCTGCTTAAAGTAACAGGTGGATTACATCAAGAGCAGCATTCTGGTTGTAAAATTGAAAAAGTGTGCATTGAATATAGGAGCCTCCATTTAAAATCATTGCACATACAGCTTGAAATTACTGGCTGTAAATTGCATCACCTCTTAATCACCAGTGTGCTTATGATTTACAGGAAACCCAGTACTTTCTGTTCTGATTATGATAAGCAAGCAATCAGTGCTATGTGCTTTTAAAAGCAGCCATGTGCCGCATGGCCATAATTGATTTGTGAACGATCAGCTTCCCTAACTGCATCTCTGGAAAACGCTGCACATGTGGTTATGATGGGCAAAAACTTGGCAGAGTTGTTAAAGAGCAGCATAAAGAAGTGTGTGTGGCAGTGTGACTCTCAAGCATAGCCGAATATTAAAATGAATGTGGGAATTTGGAGGATTTTCTCGTTGTTTTCTCGCTGCACTGAGACTTACAGATAATTCCTGTTACTGAAAGTGAAGGTATCATTGTAAGTGAAAACATTCCGTTTAAATCCCAAAACTGCAACTTGATCATTTAAAAACATTATGAAGCACAGAGCAAGAGGCAAAAAGAGTGCTTAGTACATAAAGGGAGGGGAGTGAGGAAAGCTAGGGAATTAAGAAGGTGAGAAAAAAAAAGATATTAAGTAAGAAAACACAAGAAAAGGCTGTGGACAGTAAACAAAGAAAATCTCAAACTCCTTCTCCCCTCTATTCTGCTTTGGCCCGCTTGGTACCCATGCACAGAGCTCTTTGTTGCTCCACAGCAAACAGAAAGGGGAAATTGTGTGGTCACCACCTGACAATATTGATTTCCCCCACCGTTTTCACCCTGTTTCAGCTCGCCGAGGCATTGTTGAGCCAGGAGGTGTGCTCAGAGGCCTTAAACCTGCCGGGTCTGACTGTCAAAGAAAAGCAAGTTGTGTTGTTTCTAATTAATCACTGAGCTCCGGCACTGGCTCAAACCAAGCACATACAGACACAAGGACACACAGATGGACACACACTGACTGACAAGGTAAGGAGAGTGGAGACAATTAAAAAGAACATCAGAGTGAGAAACAGCGTGAAGCCGTGAAGAGGAAAGAATGAGAGACTCCCCAATGTGGGGAAATGTCCCATGGTGCTTGAAGAAAAGACACATAAGTGCATGTGAAGGACTGGTTCATTTAAGGCTAAATGAATTCAGCAAACTTAAGGAGTGTCTAAGAAAGGTCTGTCCAGATAGGACTGAGGCTATTTTCTCTCATACGTTTAATAGAATTTCTGGGAAAACAAAATTCACTCCAGCGGCAATAAAAGCCAGACCACCGCCGGACCAAAATGGCCGACACAAGGTCACCAATTTTCTCATTTCATAATGGATTCTGTCTGGTTGTGTAGCACAATTATAGGATTCAATATCCTATCAAAGCACAGGTGTACAGCCTTCATTTCAGGTGCTCTGCCATGAAATAGGTTGCAGGGGTGTGAATGTGTGATCAGTTATGGATTCACAAAATTGAAAACAACGCTAAACCAGAGGAGGCAACCTCGCATTGTCCTGTGAAAGTAATGACATTTTGAGTTACATTTTCAGCTCTCAGTAAAATCTGATCGGTGGAACTACACAAAACATAATTAGACCCATGTCTGCTCTCCCAGATTTACTAGCTGTTCAGGCTGATCAAATTTTGTCCTATACAAATATCCGATTGTATCTGTAGGACAGTTTACTCTGCTTTTTGCTTGACTGAGAAGCAGAGGTCAAAAGTTCAGCAGAGGCCTTGTAAAGCTTTGCAGAATTTGCACAGAGTACTAAAATCCACAGACTATGTAAACAGTAGCCACGTTTACATGGATATTATTTATTACATAAATGTTATTGATCCAATGGGTATGGGTGCAAATTCAAATAATCTGATCATGTGCGTATACATGCACCAAGCTTTATTCAGTTTAGAAGCATTTGGACACGCGCAGTTGTTTGATTTTGCTAAAACAACCACAGAAGAAGAGTTGTATCGATGCCTGTGCTGTCAACAAACCAACAAACGCAGTAGTGGCTCACTCGATCCAATTCAGGTGTTTTTCCCCTGTGAAATGTTGTCACTAGATGGCGCCCTTAATTACTTATTTTACTGTTCTGTCAAAGGTTGCAGTATGTTTGCAGATGTGACATCATTACGCTGTTTGTACGCTTTGTTATGTTACCATAGGAGCAGACACAGCACCTGCGGATGTGTTTATAATGAAACCTCCTGAAGAACGAGTCAGGTTAGAGAGTCATGATCGAACAAAGTGTTTACATGGACACAATTTGGAATAACGATCAGCATAAACCACCCCTCTCTATCGGAATAGAATTTCTTTGTGATTGAGCCAAATTGGATCAGAATCTTCCGATATTATTGGCATATTACTGGCAGCTATTGATGCATGTCAGTGATATTACCAATCTGCTCCTAAAGCGAGGTTCAGTGGTGACCGCCACACTGGAAATGCTGCAGCTCTCTGATGGATTAAAGAAATGCAGTGCCAGTACTGATGCATAGATTTATTTCAGGACCAGGAGCAAGCCTGTCCAGATTTTGCCCTCTATCCCCCCTGCCGAACCAGCACCTGTTAAAATGTGTTGGATTTGCGTCATCCTCTAAGAAAGCACACCAAGTTTGAAAGGACCAAATTCAAAAGCACCTCATGGAGGCTTTAAGAACAGTGATTCATACAAGAAGTACCAGCCATGCAGCGAAGGTTGGGACTTACAATAGGTGTGCAGGTAGATTTATCGGACTCTGAAGCTATTTTTGAGGGGAACATTTTGTGCAGTTTTTAAGATTATAACACTAAATTTTTGCAATCCAGTTTATGAGACATTCACTGGTTGTCAGGCGGTCTTTGCTCAGGTATACAGTCCGAGATCGACTGCTGTTTACTCCTTCTGATTCACTCTGTGCCACAGTCTTGTCCTCTGTTTACTCTAATACACCTCCATTTCAGATTGAAAAAAACAATCTCTGCTCCTCCACTCCTGTTTGCTTACACAGTGCCATAATTATTTCAGGTTCGTAGAGTGCTGACTCCTCTCACACACTCACTTGACAAGTGACAGGATGATAGGAATTTGAGCCAAAACACATGTAATTGCTCAAGTCGTCTTATGCAATCAAGAGGGACAACAAAATAAATCCCTGCATTCTGCTCCCTCCATCCTGCTGTGATATAACCCACATGTTTTTGCTCCAGGATTAATATTTGTTAAAACCTCTCATCTGTGCTTTCTCTTATTAATGGAAAAGATCACACACAGCGAGTGAAAACAAACAGAGCCCCCCTCCTGACATCCTCACACTGTGAACCCATTCACCAGCATGACTGACAGCTGCCACAGGATTCCCGTCAGGATGATGAAAGAGGAAGTCTTCTGCTGTGGTTACCGTGTCTTACAGAGCTGAAACACTAACTCTCTCAGACCGACACTTGCCTTTTAAACATCTCCAGGATACGCTAATGTAATTTCTGGTACTGGTACATGAATAAACGAAAACAAGAAAGCACAAGATAAAGGGAAATCACGGGAAATCTAGTAAACGTAGTCGAGAATCAGACTGACAAACCAAACTGCGTCCTTACAAAGCTTCAGCTACAAAAGTGGCACATAGAAACAGATCAAAAACCAGAATTTAATATATATTTGGCAGTCAAAATATCCCCATGGGAGCTCCAGACTGTAAAGTTTTGCATAAACAAGAAAGAGGGGAACTGAAGAGTGTCTGTTGGTAAGATGCATAAGCAATTTGGCAGGTTATGCATTGGGTGAAAGGTTACAAGGTCAACAAAATCAATATATCCAATCTATCTGAGAACCCATTGTATAAACAGTATTGTGTGTATGAAATTTTAAGACAAAACATTCATCTAAAAAACTGAAAGACAGCTCTAAAACAGAGGCGTGTCTTCCTAAATGGTATAGAACATAAAGAGATAGATCTGATCCCATACTCTGCAGTTCATGCTGGATGTGTTTTATGTTAATACCAAGAGGGAGAAAATCCTTGACAGCAAATTCCTTCATTTGATCTTTAATTTCCGTAAAGGCTTTTCAAATGAAAAATTCAAAAGGTCTTTGGAATTCTTTATGCAATCTCACTGAATTCAGAATAAAAGACCAGCCATGGATGACAGGGTTCTTAGAAACAGCAGTTTAATTAATGAATTCACTGTTTTTTTCCCCCCTGCAGTCTGTGATACAGTCTTCTGATTCTCAAGGTCTTCCATGTGCGCTCCAACACTGGGACATGGAGTCAAACTTGTAAAGCATTGGCCTCTTGGGTCTCAAAAGCGCTCATGCAGGGGCTGTGCACTCCTGTATCTGAACTCCAAATCCAACAGCAGGGAAGCTATAACAAATGCAGGACTAGTCACTCATCTCCTGTGAGGCATATGTGGCACTAGGCAGAAAACGCACAGTAACAAAGACAAACCTGCTTTATTGTACAGATTTATTTTCAGGATTTATATCATCAACTTTAACAATAAAGATGGCAGGTAATGCGGTAAAAAAAAAAGCATTGTGGCTTCTTCTGTTTTAGAGTAGACAGTAGGGCTGGGCGATAAACCAAAAATGTACTGATACCGAAATTTACGACAATAACCAACGTCATTTTGCCCATATTGGTATATTCAGTGTCAAAATATTGAATAAATGAAAGTTGGTTTTGGATGTGTGTAGATAGGCTATGGTCTCATGTCCCTTTAAGATGCTGTCCTATGTCAGAGACGTGACTCCACTCCATCCAGTCCGTAACAAAGAGGGAAAGACAGGTGAGGAGATGGAGGACGGTTCAAAAGTTGTAGCAGCTGGAGTAGATGAAGTTAATGTGGGAGGGGGTGGGCAGCTTGTGGAGTAGTTATCGTCCATTTATCATTATTGAGGTGAACTGCTCAACATATCGTGATATTGATTTGAGGCCATACCACCCAGCCCTAGTAGACAGCTCACAAGAACAGGTGGTAAACCAGGCATTCACGTTGGAAAAAGCACCTGGATGATCCAGGATGAACTGCTGTCCTTGTATCTTGTTGCCACCTTCGATGTTTTCTGCTTTAATTATTATCTACTGTAATTCCAGTCATGATCTAGCTGTAGGGTTTTCTTCTACAAACTACCCATAACCCTGCGGTCATACCCTCCGTCTATTACCATTCATTTATGCAAGGGTCACTGTTGAATATAGAAGCCATACCAGATGGGCTATCACATCCTCTTTTGCTCACACAGTTGTTTAGCATGTATAGCTATGTTCTGCATTGAAACAACAGCTGTCTGCCTTTCATGGGTGATATAAAAGGTTGAGGAAGGATTATGCACCCACCAGTTTATTTTCGGAGGCTTATTAATATTAAGTCTGGGACGCTGGCACACATTTTACCACCATGCTCAGCCTAGATGGCTCATATTTCTAGAGATGACATGAAAATGATCCTTTTACAAATACATTTAAGCTCAGCTGGATCGCCGTCTCAACAGATAATGGAACTTGTAGCGGTCATGTTGAGCCACTTTAGCTCATAAACTCTTTGCATTAAAGAAATCAGCTACAAAAAGAGAAACAGAGCTGCTTTTTTATGAGGTACATTGCAAATATCTGGTTTCATCTCTAAGTAAATTGCCCCAATTTTCAATCACTTCTGGTTAAAAAAAGCAAACAAAAAGATGTTGGCAACAGCTGCATTACTGAAGTCCTCTTTTGTTAAAGACTATGGTAGAAAAGATGGCTAAAAGCATGAAACTCCTCCAACAATATTCCAAACACAGATGGTATATTTTGACAATTACCACCATGCAAAAGTTCTAATTTAGAAGTGCTGGCATATAAAGTTAAAATAAAGTGCTTATTACAGCGGGGTCATTTTTAATTGAGGTTTTGAGAAATCATGCCAAACACTTTCATACAAGAAAAGTTTTGTATTTTAAAACACAAACAGGAACTTCTCAGATTGAATCTTTGCTGTAGGGCACAGCATTTTCCATCTTAGAGCCAGCTGAACAACAGCTTGAGGATTTTTAAAGGTCAGTTTTTATGATTTCCTGGAGACCTCCATGAGCTTAAAAAGATTGACGTCTGGCTGTACATGTTTCCTGCTACCCAATATGAATGATTTATGATTTCCTGTTTCCCTTTTTTTTCTCGTAAGAACAATTCAAAACTGTAACAGTTTGTAAGAATATACTGAATAGAAGTTTATTTGAAATTTACAGCCTAAAGCATTAACATGATGCTTCATGACATTACCAGAAAGTTTTGCAGCTCTGTGAAGTTTGCACTTGTTTTGGCTCTGACTTAGGGGGTTAAGGCTCGTTTGTGATCCCCATACGTGTGAAAATGTACGAGTCCGTTTCAAATAATGGTTTCGTCACTGGCCACATACTTCCATGCGTCCTTTACGTTGGCATGGATGTTAACCATTACATCCACCAGTAACAAACAAAAAGAAGCATAGCAACTGTGGACGAACGACTGATAATGTATATTTTGTATAGGAGACAGAAACAGAGGCAGCGTTTGAGGAGGCGATGATCGGTCAGGCCACTAAATGCCTCGCAGTCGGAGGAGAATTCTTTTCTCCAGTAATGCCAATGAGAGAACTCAACGATGAACCTCAAAAGCGCCGCCATTGTCATCTTCGTTTCTCTCTAGAGATGCATATCGGGTAGTGAAAGCAGCAACACTGCCCCCATGGTTTCCAGTGGTACTGCTCCGTCTGGCCCATATCTGTAAACTTCAAGGATATGTGCAGAAATATGGACGACAAGAGTTTGAATCATGGCCAGAGAGCTCCGTCCGTATCCGGATCGGTATGTAACTTTGAGCTTAAATGAGCCTTAAGCTGTCAGCATCTCCACCTTGTGGTGAGTTTTTCTCTCATCCTTGTCTGTCCACATATACAGCAACTTAGGAGCAGAATGGGGAGGGGGCATGTCTTTTTAATGTATTACACAGACAATCAAAACAGAAGTCATATAGATTTTATCAGTCAAATAAAGTCATCTAGTGAGAGTAGCTCGTCTAGTAAGACGGTAAAAACCTCCTGCACTGTCACTTAGAGCATAACAACCCACAGTACATGTGAACATTATCAATCAATGTTTCATTCTCCCTGAAACTGATCAGGATGAAATTTACAGAGGGCGGGGCTGCTTATGTTGGTTTTATAGATAGAAATAAACGTTGAAACACCAGAGATGTTATATGGAATAACAGGAATCACATCATCAAATAAAGCGTACAGTGAAATGTTTGGACAACTTCATAGCCCTACATATCTAGAAATATTGGTGAATGATATATCAACAGATGTCTCTCTCTATTTGTGTATTGCTGTCAGTGCCAGTATTAGTGAGTTAGGTCGGGTATGCACTGTAGGATTTCATAAATGTTGGGGTGGATAGTGACCTCACACTGTATGAGTGAATTGTTTCTGGTGCATGACCTTAGTTCATGAATCATGCTAGAGGTGAGGATGGAGCTTTGACAGTCAAGAAGACAGTTTCCTTTGAGAGCTGTCATTTACAGAGGTCAAAGTCAGAGAAAAGGACTTTCATCATAAATGCCAATTACAAATAATAGCTTTTTGACGTTAGCAAGTGGAAAATACAAAAAAGTAGAATTTATGGCACAGCTGTTTTACTGGATTGCATTGCACAAGTGATCATAGCAGTGTGGCTGCGGTGTATATCAATGTGCACATACTATATCTGCTGTCTACATCACACTGTGTGTTGCCATGGTGCTTTCAGAAACTGTCAACCACTTTGCACTGGCACATTCAGGAGAAAAAAAAAGCCCTGGAGTTGCTTTCACTGTGCAGGAGTGTGCGGTCCACCAAACAAAATGACTGACACGCCAAAAATAAATGACCAGTCAAGAGTTGTTGATCGGCTGTGATTGGTCCCAGTGCCCCTCTGTATAACCCTCCACAAACAATGCTTGATCAGACTAAGACAAAGCCAGACTTCAGAATCAGGAATACATAATTGCTCATTTATATACATGCAAAAGCACAAAGATGCTGTCTGCTTTGCAGGGCAGTTTGAAATCCATTTAACCTTTTGCATGTGCTTAGAGAATAAGACATCCTTTTGTCCTCATTTGCATAGGTTAAGAGGGAACAAAAGCCATGCAATCCTTATTTTGAACCAGGGCTTACAGTCTATCAATGTCTGTACCCACAGCTTGTGGACTCAAATGAACCGTTGTTTCTGGTTATGATGATAGGAAAATTCATGCTGGGTGACTGTAATTTGTAGATTTGTTGATAAAAAAATGTCAGACTGAGTAAACAAACAAGCACCTTTAACTTCATACAACAAACAATTGATTGAACCGCTAGTTACAGCAACATGCTAGAGCATTTACACCAGTGTCTGAATTTCATTTCTAACATAACAGAAATGGATTTTTAAATAACCCCGCAGAGCAGAGGCGCGGGATTACAGTAAGTGTGACTGCATAGATGAGACAGCACATGGCCGATGAGCTTATGGCCCCCAGGTAACAGACACCACAGTCAGCAATGCTCAGCATGAATGTGCACCACATAACACTGGAGAGGCAGAGTGGTACAGCACCAAAACACAGAGCAATTTCAAAGCCGTGCAGTCTCCCTGGTGGGAAGCCAGACATCCTTGCACAGAGCCGAGAGGCAATCCTCCCAGGGCAAAACGGTATCTATGCTCTTCTTGTGTCCCAGACAGGAATGAGGCTGCTGGAATAAGGTAGACATCAACTGTGCTCCTAGATATGTGCTCTACAGTCAAAAAAAAAAAATGAAGAAAAAAGCTTCAGGAAGGAGCTCGTGCACATGCATGTAGGAGTGCTTCTTTCTCATGCTTGGCTTGACTCCATCGCCACTGGCTTTACAGTGTGATTTCACCGTTTGTTTGATTTGGCGTAGAAATTGTAGCAGCTGAATCATCTTTTATTCCCTTTTTTCTCGTCACTCTGCAAATGCATAAACCCTCTTTTTTCTGCGAAACCATCCCTCTGTCATTACTCAACCCCTCTCCATCCCTGTCTTTTACTCTCCTCTCTTGTCATGGCAACAGTACTCTCTTGTGTAGTATTTGCTCTGCAGCACACGGCGAGTTCGCATTGTCCCGCAGTCACCCACGCCCACATATCAACAGGCAGGCCGGCTGTACTGTACTGAAAAAGTCATTGTTATGCAACCTATGTTATGCTGCCTGCTGCTCCGTCGGTCTGTCTGTTCATCTCCCTCTACTTATTCTTCACGTGTCTGCTTTCACTCCTCTGAGCTTGTTCTAGGTCACATCCTAACAGCTTTGTTAGGCATTGTCAAAAAAGCACGCATGTTTTATTGAAAGAGTTGCTCCAGTTTGGTAAAAAGGCAATTTTATGAGTCATCTTTGGGTATTACTGAGGAGAGCATTTTAACTCTGAATAGATGTTGACATAAAAGTCTGCGCCGACAATGAAAACCTGTGTAAATAGAGGCTGAACCTGAAAGATGAGATGTGTGCAGTTGTCCAAAGCTGCTGCTATGTTGTCTTGTGAAATTGGGAGTGACAGCAAACATCTTTGTGGTATTAGCTCAAGAGGGTTGGTAGACGTAAGGCATCCTGAGACTGCTAGCAGACAACTTTTATTGAATAAAGTAGAGCTACTATCTTACAGTCAACCTTAAGAGTCTCGTTTGACCAACTTTACCTTTGTAGATTCAGTGCAGAAAAAAACAACAGCCAAAACCTCCACCCACGAGCGACCCTTTGTTGTCATGGCGTCTGTTAAACTCATTTGAAGTGTGACAAGTGAGCTTTCCTTTCTGACGGAGGTGGCCTTGAAGGAAACGTGTTTGATGGAGTCAAGTCTGTAGTGAATAAAGTGAGTCTCTTGTGTATAAGTTACAGGGAAGTCTGAGGATGTTTGGAGAGCAGGGTTATGCTGATGTTTTTTATGGTCTGTTAAGATAAAGAAATGTAAGACAGCTTTGTTTGTGAAACTTATTTCAGGTTCTTTATAGAGTAAAAAAACATAGACTGTATATAGAATGGATGCCATCTGCCTCCTCACTGGGTGAAGCAACCACGAGAACAGCACCCTCTGGTGACAGGCTGCAGTAAGGGCCATAAATGGTCATAAATCCCACCTCCTCCAGCAATCCCTATAGAGTTGTGGACAAACTTTTCCCCCCTGGTTGCAATGTTGACATGTAGTTACCGTAAGACTGGTTTGTGCTCAAGTCCTCTTTTTTCTGTGCAGCTCTGTTTTTAAAAGTTATTAGGGGGTTCATGTTTTCTATGATTGACACTTGATACAGCCTATGGGCATACGAAGATTGCGTAGCTCACCCAGGGGATACACTGTTTGAGCCGAGCGTCATCACAGCGACCCCCAGCGAATGCGTACAATGCTCTGAGCAAGTGGTGGAGTGAGTGCAACGCTACTGCGCAATGTTGGTTTCAGAAAATGGAGAAAAAACACGGAAATACCGAGAGCTTTTTGACTTCAAATCCGTATACTGGCGGAAGGCGGAACCAAGTTGTCAATAGTACATACAGTCTATTTAAAACCTATAATGAATGTCACAGATTTACTCTGAGAATAATACATGAGTAAAAGATTTCAAAATTCCCTAATTTGAGTCTCGTTTCAAAAACTTAAGAACATTTTTAGTCTAAGGCCGGCCACATGCAGGATCCAAGTTTGTTTACAACTGATTGTTGAACCATTGTGGACAGCCCACATGAGGACAGTCTGGACTAATTTTGACATTAAAATCCTTCATGCACACACACACACACACACACACACACACACACACACCAGACGACTCCTTAAGACTGTCAACTTGTGTGATCTGGTGTGACTTTAGGGGAGGAGCAGTCAGGGAGGATGACTGACATTATCAGCTGGGCATGTTTTCTGTTTTTTAGTGAAGAAGACTGAGAGTGAAAAACTGGCTGAGAAGATGCTCTCTGCCCTGTTACTGAAGGAAGACACCATCTGGTCGGTGATGCCTCCAAGTCTGCTCCTCTCACTGGTTATTGCAGGTATTCTGTTGTAGACAGTCTGACCTGAACTAGAGACTATCAAGCATGTTTGACTTCACACATGTAAGGATTAAGTCCGCATTACCACTATAATAACTGCTGACGATAGGCTTCGAAACTCTGTTTTACAAAGAAATGAGTGGCGTCATCTATGCTGTGTCCATTTATTGTACTGTTTGTAGTTAGCACTTGTGCCTCATTGGGGGTGCAATGTGATTGAACATTTATACTTTCTAACTTTTCCTTTAGCTTTGTTGATTTAATCCCTCAACTTGCAATCTATTAGTCATGGCATATATGTTCACATTTCAAGATAAAAGCATGATTTTAAAATACAAGAAAAAATGACCTAAATACAAGATAATAAAAATAAAAGCACTGCAAACAATTGCTACACAAGGTTTTGTCTTCCCCAGACAAGCTGGTGACACAAACCTTAGAAAGAACAAAGTAATAGTAAAGTATTGTTATATTCTTTAAGTTTTCCCTAAGTAATGCAATTGTGTTGTTACTGTAAGACTTTGTTGCGAAAATAATCATGAGGTGAGAATGTGATAATGTGGCAGTCCTATTATCACTAATATAATGTTCTGTTTCCAGTCTGTTTCCAAACACTGTACACCGTACCTTTGAAAAAAGTTTTTAGCCTCCTTGCTAGTTTGAATATGTTAAGTGTCATCTTTAATGTTCGTGGTGTTGCCAAAGGACAGCTCCCTTGTGCAAGATCTCAAAGACTCATTATAATCACCATTTTGTGTTTCTCTGTAATGTTGTGCAGTGTTTACAACATTACTTAAAACATCCTTTCTCAGTGACTAATTCAACTAAGAAGAGCTAGTGAAGCAGCAAATCTTCAGTCTCTGGCAGCCCGAGTGTGAAGCTTTCTGTATTTATTATGTAGCCTGAAAGCTCTCGACTCGTCCAAAAATCATTCATTCTTGTGTGACAGTGCACACACATCCTTGCGTTTGTGTAGGAGTGTGTGTGGCCTCCTCTCTGTTTCTCTGCATATGCATATTTAGTCACACTGAAAATGGTAAGCAGGTTATGTGTGAGCCTGTGTGAGGCGGGAGTGGAGAGCTTCCTATTTATTTGCCCTGCCGTCTGTTTACAGAACATAAGAAGCGAGCGCGTCTATCTTGACCTCATCCCTTCAGCCCGTATCTCTCAGCTGCAGCATGGCGGACGGCGAGGATCACAGAGCGACCACATGCTTTGCTATGAGACTGCTGAGCTCACAGGAATCTTAGCTGGGAGCTGGGTGTAAAATCCACTTTATGTGGCAGGAGGTAAGGTGATGGAGTTCATGAAACGACTTGGGTAAGGAAGAAGTTTTTAGGCCCTGAGTGACCAGGTCAGCCTTACATGATTTCTGTGCATGAGGGAGAAAATTAATTGAATCCTTATCTATGGAAAAAAAAAACAAAGTTTGCAGGAGAGTCAGAGGGACAAACTGTGGGGAAAGAACAGATGTCCGAGGCTGCATGGGTCTTGCTTCCTGCTGGCGCTGTCAGCAGTTGGAGGTGAGTTTGAAGTCCAAAAAATCCCACGGACAGAAACTATTTGACACCAATGCTAACTGTTTGAAAAAGGGCCAGCTCTATGACAGCCAGGCAAACTGAACGCAGCTTTTAGAGGTGCTTCAAAAGTCATGAAGTAGCCTGCTTTAGAAAATTGATCCTCAACAAGAGCTACTGTACCCCAGAGGCTACTTAAACAGTGGAGAGTACGTGGAACGATTGTGGAGCACCTCAATTCATTTGACAAAACAAAAAAAAAAGTGCTTCAAAAAAAGTATCACAAAATGTTAAATGATGTTAAATCAATATTAAACTTGAGAACATCCAGCTGTGACAAAGAGTATCTGAATCAGGTCAGCAAGCAGAGCAAAGAAGTCTGAACAGAGGGATGGAAGAAATTCAATTATTAGTTTGACAGTTTTGAAGAAATCTTTTAAGAGTAAATGTTCAGATTTATAAAAAAGTAGTGTTGTATTACTCAAACCCAACTACACTGGTGACTTCACTCAGACTCTTGCACTGAATACCAGACTCTAGCACTGACGTCATTAAGGACTTACTCACATGCCTGTTCACATGCATGGATGTCCATGTGCCCTCGAGTTTGGCAACAGACCCTGCCAGGATGCCTAAAGAGATGCCACAAATCAGGAGTTGTAGACGTGAGGATGGGACAATCTCAAACTTTATACTCTGCATGTATGCGGGATGCTCCTATTAAAGTGCGATGCTATTTTACTGCTAGCTAATGGTGACGTTAGCCCCAAACTCAACCAATGTGTCCAAAATGTTTGAATCATTTGATGATTATGATCAACAGGGACTGGGTTGGGACAGCAGTATTGTTCCCGCTACAGTAGAAACAAGGAGTATTTGAACAGTCAGTGTGGACTGATAAAGCTAATCGTCAAAGTGACACAGCAGTTCTTACAAATTCTTGGACAATGGGAGCTCCACTTAGATCCTGCTAGGGTTTATCTTTGGAGACTGAGCCACAACACCGCTAGAAAGTGAGATGAGTAAAGGTAAAAGAAGAGTGTTTGAAGTTGGATAAAACTGTTAGCTCCCAGTAGATTTAACACAATTTATGTGGCTGTACAAACACACTTGATAGCCAGTGTAATCAGGCAAGGTTTTTTTAGTTCTTTTGTGCACAGTTACTGCCCAAGAAAGCAAGGTGTGCCTTCTGAATTAGCCCCTTTTTGTACCAGGATCTATGGACAAAATCAGGTACATTTTGGCAGATTATTGTTGGAGCTAGAAGAAAAGTGGATTTAAAACCTTAACGCTTAGCCCAGAAGACACAAAAATATCGATGCAAAGAGTTTAACTTTGTTGGTGGATTTAGAGAAAAAGTTAGAAATATACAAGCAAGCTCTCAAAAGTTATTGGAACATTTGTTTAAATAGTTAGCCTAAAGTAACACAAATAGTAAAATTAGCAATTAAGGACTCATATTGTGGTATTTATCGGTATGGTTAGTTTACATTAATAGCTAGATTTCTGAGAAGTTAGCTTAAAACAAGGGTACTCCTCACAGTCGGTGAAAGGACTCTGTTCTGGTCATTACAGTGAACCAAGCGCTCCCTTCAAGTTCCCAAGCTAGGCACAGCAGTTCTCCACACCCATTGGAAGATGTTAACCAGTCAGCCTAAAGTCAGGATAACCACTTGTATCGGTTGAAGACGGTGTAAAACATGGACATAGCCTCAATGATGCCAGCTGTTGGCTCTAAAACTGAGTTTAAAAGCAAAGAGGTGGAGTTGAGGTAGCGTTCATGCTAACAGCTACAATTTACACACCAATCAGTCGAGTCAGCCATGCTAATGAGTTGTAAAAAACTTAATTACCTGTATAGTGTTTGCACACTTTTAAACCTGACTGCAAATGTGTTATTTTTGCTCTAAAGACTGGCTTTTTTGGTATGAATGTGGTTTTCAGTACTTCTTTAGCCCAAGGAACTGCAGGGTTTTGAATCGGCTTCCTTTCTTTAAGCTTTAGGCTTGAAGTGAATATTTAATGCTTGAAATGTTTAGCTTTAGAGTTTAGAGAAAGGCCTACTCTGAACATATTTTCAACATAATGGAGGTGACCTCTATTTTCTCTGACAGCTATGGGAGTGTGCAAGAAAAAAAAGGAAAAGGTTTAAGGGTTTGGGTTGCAGGACTTGGCTCTTAAGTCAGTATTTCATGGCCACATGATGAAAACTTGCATAAACACTTGGGGGGTGAAGCAGCATGTGCAGTATGATTAAAGGACCTGGCTGTATTAAAGGCATGTTGCTGGCTCCAACATTCATTATTTGCCCTGAAACATCGCCTTAAGGACTTGGGCGTGCTTGGCTCTGAATAATATATCTCATGTAGCTTTGCCCTAAGGCTGCAGTGTGGCTTCCCATTCCTGTCTGCTCTAAAGCAATGTGTCAGATCCTCAGCTTTATGCTGTACAGTATATGGCCTTGTTTTATAAACACTGTTCATCTCTTTATCATCACCATATGCTGCTCAGCTTTGCCGACGCTCATTAGCGTATCACAGTGCTTCCATTCAGCAAGAGATAGTAAGCAAGGGAGAGCTCAGAATATTAGTGAAATGCTCATGAGATACAGAGAAATTTGTGCAGCCAACCCTACTTCAAAAGTGATCACTTCTCTTGGAGCTATTCTCATGAGGGGTGACCACTGAACTGATAGGAGTGCAGTGCAGTGAAACCGTATTATTGAAAAGTCTGTCTGGGAAAATGGCGGCTGGGAATGATAGCAGAGAGAATAGCTTATCTGCCTTTAATTGTTCCTCCCTGAGTCTTTGAAAGCACAATGACTTTTGCACCTTTTCATGATTAGAGCCTTCCGTCATACCTTCCTCATTTTGAAGTGCTATCGATTTCTATTGTTCCAGGGTTTTTTTGTCTTCTATTCACAGCGGGGCGCTTGAAGCAGGATTCAACATCTATCTCCCTCTTGCGTTGTCTTGTCACCAGACAAAGCATGGCCTGGAGTCTCCCAGGACATTGTTAATAGTGGTGACTGAATCAATAGTGAGACATCTCTTTGATATCAATAAAGACCTGATAGATGTTAAAACTTGAAAAAGATCAGAGCTGGTGAATTGTGTTTCCAAAGTAAACTGGGAGAAAATGTCAAAGCAGTCCTGGTAATGAACATCACAGTCCCATTAGACATTTCAGTCACACAAATTTCCATTATTTCCCTTCCAACTGCCTCTCGCACATAGTAGGACAGTTGTCTTCAATATTAATCTGTATCCAACTCCAAAACTGTAGCAGATGGGGACTGCCTTTTGTAACATTACACATTACAAAGTGTTATTACAACTGACTTCACACCCGCAATCAAACAGAGAAGGAATCATACCTTGTGGCATCTGCACTGCACAACAACTCAGGCTGTTTGGGCAAACAAAATGCAAAATAACACCTCGGGATACTGAGACCTGTTTATCAGACGACTAAAACAGTAAGTCCTGTGTGCTGCTGAGCGCTGACAGATGTGTGGGAGAAAGCTGATCAGAAAACAGAACAGGCAAAAGATGTTGGGAGGAGACAGCTGCTGAATGTTTTCTAATAACAAGTCAACATTGAGTATGCATGGGAAAGCATTGGCCTTGGCCTGCTCTGTCAGTACAACAGCGATGTGAGTTTTAATGATAAGCATGATAGCAGCGATCGAGATCAGTGCAAAGGTCTTCTCTGAAAAAGTTACTCCGTGTGCATTAAGCTGGAATACATGTAAATGCGATCCTTATCTGAATTGTTGTAGATAAGACGTTCCTTTTTTCAGACAAAGTAAGCGATTGAGCCCATTTCTCTGCAGACGCCAAACCCTGAAGGATCTCAAGAAAATTTACTTCCTTGGCATTTCAAAATATCAGATTTCTTCTATCCCATAAGAGCCTTGGGCAGTCGTCTCCGGTGGCTACAGACTGGGTGTTCCCTCCTTTGACAGGCCTCATCAGTCACAGAGCGAGAAAGAGGGAGGAGAGAGAGGCAGGAAGCGCAAACAGAGAAACAAATACCTGTTCCACTTAAGCACATGATTGACAAAGAGGATCCTCTATTCATCATGATGATGGAGCACCACTCAAGAACACAGAGCAACTACAATCAAATCTGGGCCCATTGTCTCTCTCAATGATCCTCTGTCTCACGCTCACAGAAATATGTCCTATTTTTGGGTCATGGTCTGATTGCTTTTATTTTATTTTTTTGGCAGAAAAGAAGGAAAATCTCCAAAAATCATGTTTTAACCTTTTTTTTCTTATTTTAAGTGTTTCACTGCTGTGCTCTTGAGCTTCCTGATTGGACACTGCCCATGCAGCGCAACCCCGACTTACTGGGCTAAACTGTCCCCTTTCAATCTCTCATCCACCGTTATGAGTCAGCAGTGGGACTGCCACTCCATCAACTGAGGGCAACATGCAGCAAGAGACAAAGCCAGACAGACAGAAAGGGAGGAAAGCAGTGGGAGATGGTGATGATAATGATGTGTGTCTCCATGGGGGGCTGACACCTCTGACAACATGTCAGCAGCTCCGACCCAGATATCACCACTGAGAGGCAGGAAGGACATTGCTTTCCAATGATTGCTTTGAAGCGCCTGACAGGTAAGGGTACTTAGAGGAAAAAATATTCAGATTTTATGATTAATGAACGGTTGGCTAGGCAAATTATAACCCTAATTTCCAAAACGATGACATGTTGTGTAAAATGTTCAAACTTAATTTCATGTTGGAAATCAGTGTCTGCAAAAACAGAGCAAAGATGTGTCAAGAAAAACTGACATCTTTCTTAATTCATGAAAAACATAAGATCATATGAAATCTAATGTCAGCATCTTGAAAAAGCAAAGACATGGATGTGGTAGCCCTACATTGCATCACTTCATCTTAAACAACACTTTGTAAATGTTTGGGAACTAAGTTGACAGTTTCTGGAGGTTTTTTTTTTTTAATGAAATGTCCCATTTTTGCCTAATAGAGTGAGTGAGTAAGTAAGTAAGTAAATTTTATTTTTATAGCACTTTTCATAGATAAAATCACAAAGTGCTTTACAATGAGGATAAAATACAATAGGATACAGACAAACGCAATACATTTAATGGCACAGATACAAGTACTTCACAGCAACGTCAACATCAGTTAAAAGCCTGTCTAAAAAGATAGATTTTAAGATCTTTCTTAAAACTTTCAGTAGACTCTATGCTGCGTAAGGTCAGTCATAGTGGATTCCAGTGGATTTCAGCTACTCAACATAAGCTTGGTTGTTTTTTTATTATTTCATGACAAGCCAAATGTTTCTAAAAGGTAACAAGTAAGGACTGCAGACAGGCCAGTTCAGCTTTAGGACTCTTCTAGAAAGTGGTCTGGCATTGTCTAACTAAGATATATAAAGTCTTCCCCGCAAAAGAAACCATCTGATGGTGGTATATGTTACTCCAAAATCCATCTATCTACTCTGTTCAACATTAATTATGCCTTCCCAGTTGTGTAGACTGTATAGATTAGTGCATCCCTGTATGCCATCATGGATGCTGACTTTGAACTGTGCACTAACAAGCTGGATGCTCCCTCTCCTGTGCAGAATGGAGTTCACAAGGCAGCCATGATTTCCTCAATTTAATTAACATAACGGTAATTTACAGTGAAATGTCTCTACAACTCTTGAGATAGCTGATAAAAAGATGGGGAAGACATCTCCTGATGATGCTCCCCACTTTTTTGACCTAAAACACACATTTAACTTTGATAAAACAGCAAAGATTCCTCAGGTAAGCACAGACCACAGCCTGAGAGCCTCTTGTGATTATGGAAAGTGTGCCAGTGCCAGTCAGCAGAGGAGCATGTTAATCTGTTGGTTTCACTTTAAGGGAGCTGACATCTTGTCTGTTTTTTTCTACAGTCAATGAGACAGACAAAACACTAACTGAACGCCAGTGTTTTAGCATGTAGCTCAAAGAAAAGCACACGCTCGCAGATCCATTAGCACGACTTCAGTGACACTTTTAACACACTGACTCCACTTCACTGTATTGTTTTGATAATGGGTATATGCCCAATTATGTTTTTAAGCTATTTTTCCGTGGTCATTCAGCTTTTTCTTCATTTAGTGTACCTGCCTCTCCTCTCTTTTTGTGTTTCCCGTCTGATTGATTTTCTGCCCCACCCTAATTGGTGTCACCTTCTTCTGAATAGCCTCACTTCCCTCAGTCTTTAACCTGTTTGTTTCTCTTCCTCTGGGCCAATTTGTCCCTGGCTTTCATGTCGAGGGTTCTTGCTGTTTTTAAAGCATTTGTATTTCTGTTTTGCTGATTGCACTCTGCTGTGCTACCTTGGTGTGCAGCATTGATATTCATTGTTGTGTATGTACATATGTACCAAATCAGACTTGTCAAGTGGGTACAAGTATTTTTATTTTTATTTATGCTGTGAATGTGTACTTCCTGTGCCTCTCTGTTCCCAGTAACAAATCACTCTGATAGAAATCTCTGGTACCATTTGACATTGACTGAGCTTGTTTAAAACCTTGGCACAGGTGAGAACAGCAAGAGCTACTTATAATTTAGTACTGGGGTAGTTCAGGCAATGCGAAGGTTGAGCGCAGCCCACAGTACATCAAGCTGATCCTAATGCCAGCCCATAGCAGTTGATAGTTTAGCTGATAACCTTCCTCACATCCAATTTGCAAATGTCAGAAAGGGCGCTCTATTAAAACTGCTCCGCTTGCCTTCTCTTGCTGCTAACTCAACAAGCACTCTGCAACCCACCTCCACCCAGCTCCTCTGTTTGTTGCTCCCCCTGCCTTGGCTTTTCATGCATGCACATGACACAGAGAGGAGGTGCTCTCTCAGCTGCAAGCTTTGGCATTCCTCATAAGCACCTGGAAGGGCAGGGAGCCCTCAAAAGGGAGCCATACTGCCCAATATAACTAATGAATGCATTACGTAATTCACTCAACACAAGTGGTCCTGACTGAAGTGATGTTAGGCCGCTGATGCCCTTTGACCTGAAATTTAGATTTTAATTAACCAACTAGACTAAAGGTGGGAGAAAAGCCAGAAAACAGATTTTAGAACAACTTATTAACACAGCTGAGCGGGAGATCATGGAGGCTGCGGGTTAATTATGTGAAAGTGGTTTGCCAAGAGAGGCTAATACTGGCAGAGCTTGTACTTACCAGCCTGTAGTCTCTCTGAGAGGTCAGCATCCACGTGACTGTATTGGTTTCGCAGTGCACTGGTCAAACAGTTAAACCCTAGTATCAAAATACTTCCAATCCATGCCATGATATGCAATGCTATCGTTCATTCACACTAGTCAACATTTACATAGTAAAAAACTATTGTAGTTAGGCAGTAGCCACAGACCAGAGCAATAGCCATGGCTAGAGGCAGCACTTAGAGTTCAGACACAATAAAACCTGAAATAATAAAAATAAACAAATACTTTAACTCGTAGTTGTGGTGCCAAATAGCAAGGGTGACAATATTGAATTGTTTAGCAAATTGAAGCAGCACCAGTCTGCAGCTACACAGCCCCATACACATCGAACTGAAATGCTGTGTGCTCTGACACCTTCTATCAGAACCAGCATTAAATGGTTTCCGTGATTTAAGCTCTAGGAGATCTTCTTTTTGATGAGACAACACAAGCCAGACCATCTGGGTTTTCCTTTGACAGTTTTTTGTAGGCACTGACCACTGCAGACTGGGAAAACCTTCAAGATTTGCAACTTCGGGACAGAATCTGTCCTGGTTTTCTTGCGATTGCAGTTTGCCACTTATCAATTCTCCCTTATCAGTTCTTAAACAACTTTAAAAAATGTAAAAAAAACATTTTGTAGTGAGTGAAGACATAAAGAAAACCAGTGAAAATGGTGCAGAAGTTTAAAAAGTTCAAAAAGTACTTCTTACATGTAAAGCCAAGGCACTACTATAAGAAAGTGCTCCAGTTCAGCACAGTGAAGGACAGATGTACACATTGAAATCTAATTAAAATGTCTAAATAAACTTTGATACACCAGCTATGGACAGGCTGACTTTTGTATACCAGAATTTTAATTACGCTTGAACTCCTGTATTAGTTTCATCTTAATCCAGCAGCTTGTATTATAACAAAGCACACATGCTGAAGGTGGGATTCTCATAGCTGATAGTGTTTAATGAGGTGTTACCTCAGAAAGTATTCCCCTTGCAGCCTTTCACCCCCAGCCTGCTCCTCTGGCTCAGCTAAAGAGAGGCTTTATGTTTAAAAGCTTTAGTCTGCTGCACCTGGCCCTTGGGCTGAATCCCTGGCAGGTTTAAGTGTCGGAGCACAGCTGTGAGGGGCTTTTCTTGGCCTTCGAATGAGACAGGGCAACGGGCAGATTTCCCTTCGCTCATTCCCGAGCAACCAGCCAGCCAGTCCACAAGCTAGCCAGCAGTGGCAGGATGAGAGATGCATGACAATAACTGCTGAATTCAGGGAGTTTAATGTGGAGGCTTCAACTGCATGCACTTCACATGGCATCAGAACAATCTAATCAATCCCAGACTGCAATTACGAGGCTTTCTTTGTTAGAGGAACAAAGAAACAGCTTCTAGGTGCATGTCTCGAGAGCCGCAGTACAAATAACCCTCTTGTTACACGCTTTCCCAAAAAGGCTCGAAGCACGGCAGCTTGATAACGCGATGCTTTATCATCATCTACCGACGTAATTTGTTTTGCTTGCAGACTCATAATTTCTTGACATTTAGAAGTTTCCTCAATAATGTTCTTACTGTGATCCATTTCACTTTTGTTTATCTCTCCTTTCAAAAAGCAACAAGAACAATACTCCATTGATAAAGTGAGTCAAAGTGATGCAGAACAATAGCCTTGTGCCCTACACATTGCTCCATCTGTGAAGAGAATAATCTGCCTCCTCTCCTCCTTTTACGAACAAACGCTGATTTTTTATCCAGCCTGCTCACTTAGAGCAGAGTAAGGAGCCTTTTCCCAGTCCTCCCATGAGTATCTGTCTGCTTCTCTTTGCTTTGTACTAAAAAAATCCAAGTGTATGCTCCTGACTGGGCTGTGAAAGTATAACTTCTTTCAGTTAGATGTGATTAGGTGCTTTACTGAAGGGTTTACTAAGAGGGAGATGGGGCCAGATTGAGAGTGAGCTCCACTCCCTCCGTCTCCGCCTCAATATCGCTGCCATATGCCCGTCTTGATATCAGCACATGGTAAGCAACACACTCTTATCCGTGTGCCTGTTTATTTGTGTACCTGTTTATCTCACTTCTCCTTCTCCCTGCGCACTCTCCTCTCTTCAAATCTCCCGCTCCTTCAATCCATCTGTTGTCAAAAGCATCCTGAGTATTTATCTCCTTGTCTTTCTAGTTTAGATACAGCTGAAAGAGTCCCATCGCGCTGTCAAAGACATATTCACAGGAGAATCCGATACCTTTCTTTCCTCACAGCCACGAAGATTACGAATTTTAGGGGGAAAGGGGTTCCTCCAGTAACGTATAAGGGATTGCCACACAAAAGGATATTGATTAGCCTCTGGCTGATCTTACACTCACTACATTGAGGGATGTCTATCCAACCACAAAGATGTTTTAGTGACATGCTATTCTTAGCCGGATATAAACTAAAAACAGCATGTTATTGATATTGAGCAAGACATCCACACTCCCTCTGAGAGTTAGGGATGCAAGTGGAAAGAGGAGAGAGGGGAGAAAAAGTAGGTTAGTGAAGAAGGACCGGCTGCCTTGCTTCATTTGTAAGCACAAGAACACAAGCACAGGCAGGGTGTAAGTGTACGGTGTGTGAGTGTGTCATTGTGTTTTGAGCGAGAGAATGTGCCAGTGTGTCGTCGTGCCTCGATGAGAGAGACACGAATCTGGCTGATAGAATTGGCTTAAGAACAACAGAAATGGCAGCAAATATTGATGCATAAGAGTAGGTGTACCGTACGAGTACACATGCTGTTGCAGATTCGTTTTGCTCTAATGAACGCATGCACGCGCTCCCACATGGATGTTTGCACAGATTGACCGTCGGAGCAGCTCAGAGCTGCTATATGTGTGAACGCTTTTGTTCCATGTGCTTTTGTTTCATGCTCAAATCCACAAGCAAGACCAACTGTGATAGCATTCATGTGAGAGTTCTTGCAAAGCATTGGTTCTGCAGAATGCAACTGTATCTGTCGGCTCTTCTGCACAGCTCCGTGTCTTGGCAACAGGGAGTGTGAGGGAACCAGTGCGAGCAGACAAAGACACCTCCTTCTGCTTGACGAATGAGGCTGAGCGAGGAGGCAGGCAAGCAGGCAGGCAGGCAGACGAGACATGGCTTCTGTGCGTCAGCATGGGGCTAAGAAGTGGGTCATAAGGAAATCCCCATATGGATGACCCCTAACCCAATGCCATACCCCTGCTGGGCATAGTCTCACTGCCAGCAGCCCCCTGAATCCAATCCGCCCATAGGGGGAACACACCGAGGGAATTATTCTCAACTACAGGGAGCTGTTCGAACATTCTGCCTTGACACAGATTTACTGTCTGACAAATATGTTGCAAGACCACATGTGTGTAGATGTCCAACATTTCTCCAGCATTACTGAGTGAAGACCAGCTAAAGAAAGTGGCAACAGTGGCTGTTTTCTCACTTAGGATGTCTCTGAGACTACATCCTCGTGTTATGCAGCATAAGCGCTACACATGCATGTTTAAGCACAGGCCTCTGCAATTATTTAGAAACAGAACGTTGATGTTGACATGTTAGGGTAATACCCACTAAAACCCACTGAAGAAAACCCACACAGAGAGGAATATCTGATTATTGTTGATCTCAAACAATCAAACTTCGAATGGACCCCTTCACCGTGGTGCTTATGGAAGGAATCTAAGAGAATTTTCCCAGCTGGGACATAATGAACTCAATTATATCCTCTCCTCACATATAATATCATATAATGTTGCACTGTTTTGAATCAAATTGTATCAAACTGTGTATTGTATTGAATTGTATCATATTGCATCATATCATATTGTATCAAGTGGTATGGTTTTGTATTATTCTGTTTCATATCCTGTTGCATATTTCATTGCTTCTTATCTCATCAAATCATATTAGTCTTTTTTCTGTTGTTATGTATCATAAAGCAAATAATTTCATTCGTTTGTGTATTGCATTTTAATTTATACGAATGCAATTTGTACTATTATACTAAATTTTTTATATCATGTCATTTCCTGTTGTTTGTTTCTTTGTTTCCATTTTGATCATTCCCCTCAAGCAATTTTATGTAATACACAGTATTGCATATTATTTTTTCATGCTGTGTCATATCATATTACACTGCATCATATAGTATATTGTATCACACTGTATCGTATTTTATCATATCTTATTCCACCATAAGAGTATTGTATGTTATTGTTTCGTGTTATATAATATCCCATTGTATCGCATTATATTCTAATAAACCAAATTGTATAGTATTGTATCACATCATATGATATTGTATCTAAGCATATATCATATTATAGTTTGTTTTATCAAATTGTATCATAATATGAATGAATGAATGAATGAAGTTTATTCATTTCAAATATGTCGAAAAGACAAAATTAAGAGAAAAAATACAGAATGGTAATAATAAGGGGAAAAAAGGAACATACAACATATTCGAAAAGGAGTAATTGTATCATGTTTTATCAGTTTAAGTCCCGTGTTGTCAGCCTCTCAATCATATTTAATACCAAACTATTTTCACTGGTCAAACTTGATTTCACACACATTAAGCAAAGAACACAGTACCAGCACCAACAGCTGAAAACTGTCTCTAAGCTGTGAGATAGAGACCAAATGGTGGTGTATTGTGGCGATAAATGAACTCTGTGAGGAAATCTGTATCTGGTACAAAAGGATACAAGTAAAACACAAATGAAGGAATGATGCTTTTATTCAGTGTTTTACTTTTATCTCCCTCTTTGCATGCTTGCACACACACTAAACACATGCTTACACACATTTTCATGCACGCACTTGCCTCATACTCATACCTCCCCAAATGAACTGCTTCAAACCGGTTAATTATGAGATTCATTGCTGTTAGCACCTGTTAGGTAATTAATGCCAATCACTGCCTTCTGGGGAGGAAAATTATCCTCCATAAAAACATGGTTTAGCTAGCTTACTCTCTGTCTCCCCCTCTCCTCTCTTGTTTCCACTTTTCTGTCTCTCTCCCCTGCTTATCAACCTGCGTGCCCCGTGCCTGCTGTCAGCAAATCATCCTGGTAAATAAACAAATGTTGCAGGGACTCTACTTATCATTGCAGCAGTCTTGGAAGTCCGTCCACTACAGATGGCCAGACAGTGTGGGAGTTTACACATGGCGATGGAGAAACCTGAGATGTCAGTTAGCCATCAGAAAACAATAAATAATTCAGTTGTGAGCCAATGGTGGGACGGTAAAGGTGTTCCTGACCAGAGTAGACAAAGTAAGCTTATGCTGCAGTTTTATGGCTGTATTTTGATATTCAAGCTAATAGTGCTGTATAAAATTTTAAGATGTGCTGCAAATTTAATTAGAATTCACCAGAGGGTATTAAAGCGTCATTCTAGGATTACTGCAGACGAGGGTTTGAGCCAGCAAAGGATGCCTCAGCATGTGTTGAATTTTCGTTGTCAGATCTAATATTGACATGTCTGGCGGGTTTTTGGTGTTCACCATGAACATGTGTGCTTCTGCAGATGATGACTGTAATTCTTTCTCTATCCGTTGGCTTATACTGAAGTGAAAGAGGGAGCGGTTTCTGGCAAACAGATACACACTTCAAATACTGCAGACAAACAAAGCTTTTCGCAGTAGATTCGCTGCTTCTGACGGGTCATATTCAGATTGTGTTTTCTCTGGAAAGAGAAGTTGAAAGTTTCTAAATCAGGACCAGAAGTGATGTGGAACATATTAACTTTGAAAAACAACAACAGTCCCAGTAGCATGGCAGAATCCTCATTCTTAGGATGTGCAATACATATCAACAAAGATGGTATTTGAACTGTCTTTTTATCTAGTCTGTACATAGCGACAAGATTGAGTATATCACTAATTTTGCTAGACCCACTCAAAACACACCTTGAGAGTCCACACATCAGTGAACTATGATGAACTACTGCTGCCTCCAACATCAGGAATGCTAGCTAGCACAGCATATCAAAGCAGCAGGAACATGTCTTAAACTTTTAAACCAATAGACCGTATTAAACATGGACATAGTTTCAGTGAAGTCGCCCACTGGTTTCTGAAGCACAGTCTTAGTCCCAGCGATGGTGATCGCCATATTGGAAATGCTAACCCGACCCAACTTTTGCAGACCAAACATAAGGCACAGATGCAGAGTTTTGGTGAGCCTTTAGCCTCCTCATCAACAGCTACAACGTGCCCACATGTCAGCCAAGTCATCCCTGCCAAACTTATTAGAAACTGATTATGTAAAAGTTGTAACTTTGCTGCTTTTAACCTTCCAATGGGAATCATTACTTCAACTACATTGAATGCTTCATGTGGCCCACGTGTTTATGCAGACAAACTGGACTCTACCCAATAAGATAAATGGCTCGATTTCACAGTTACAAAAGTATCTAGACGGATGGAGGATTTAGCAAGGTTCCTGGAAATGGAAATTGTGGTTCTGTGGCAGGCAGTCATGCATAAATCTAATCTGTTGTGCAGGCAGAGATGCTTGGTATGAGTTATTCATCATTTATAGCTTTTAACTGTTGATCTTGGGGTGACACAGAGCTTGGTCGAGCAATGTACACAATCAAAGAGTAGGAGATAATGAGAAAGAGGGAAAAGAGTGTGAGATGGGCGCAGGGGAAGTGGCTGATGGCTGGGATGTATCGAGGGTGCAGATTAAAATCAATACAAACATACAGCAGGGTGAAATGAGTCAGGTGCAGCCCGATGAAATTCGATATAATGCCGCAATAACGTGGGGAGCAGATAGGCAGTCAAGTGGCATGTTTGAACTTCTGGTCATGCATGGAGAGGGCCAAATTAAAGTCTACAAACTGTACAAACACACACTCGTGTACATGTGTGCACAGAGTCAGTGAAGTTTTGACACTTGGTATTTTTGCATCTTGACTTTTAATGTGTATGTCAAAGCTTGAGAAATACTTTCAATCACTAATGTGAACACAGAAATCAAACTATATCACAATACCACTTAAAAGTCTGCAGGACAACAGGCTGAAGTGGAACCAGACGAGAATAAGAGTACCAGTCTTTTTTATCGATATCAGTTTTTAAGAGCGCAGCAAATAATACAAAGTTTATGAGCCTATTTGGATGGAAAACGGTGTGGACACAAGTCATGTCAAGTCTGCTAAGTCAACGTTTAGTCACATGTGGTCCCAATGGACTTGTTCACTGCAGACAATGTGCATTTTTGAGCAACAGAAGAGGTGTTCAGCTTTATTTGTTCAGATGAGTAAGCAAGCTTTTTACACTAAATTAGAATCATTACCAGTATCATAATGGTTACTGCATGACCAGTTTAAAGAAATCGATATTCTGATGGTGGACTCAAGCTTTTCAGATTTATGACAGGACCATGACTGCTTCAGATTAGTTTCAACTGGCTGCATCTGCAATATGAACAGATCTGCAAGTTTCTGACCTCATCTTAAGTAGGTCTTGACTGCAGATGAACAATATGAACTGCTGAAGTTCTGAACCCTTATTGCCACTGTGCATGGATTATAGTAAAGTTGGTTTTAAGCCCTAGATTCACGTTTCAGGGTTAAGAAAGTTGGGACTTGCTATATTTTTGCACATTTCACACACTGGCTACTTCCAGTGTTTGATTGTTTTTCTGCTTTTTGTTTGTTTTGAAACTTTTGTTGTAAAGAAAGTCTTAAGTTTTGTGAATATGACCCATTCCTAATAAACCAGAAATGCCATGAAAACAAGCAGAAAGACATTCTTTTTATAAATTGTCTTTGCACATATTATTTTGTACATTCACTGTCCAACAATCATAAAATATCCACACTCTCTGGGTCTTTCAGTCCACACTTCCCCTCTAATTGTCCACCAGCAAAAACCAAAATCAATTTCTCTCATCTTCCACCTGAACTATGCAAGACTGATGCACCTGCCACATTCCCATCAATACTGTTTGTTCACACTTGACATGTAACAGAGTCGCCAATACTTCAACAAACGGGGACTCCGTACTCAGAGGAGCTTAAGACCAATTCAGCACTAAATGAATGTCAAAGCTCAGAAGCCACATTGTTCCAACAGTGGAATTTTGCCATTGTGTGCTTGAGGGCGAGGCCCAACTGGGAGCTTTGTCTGAATCCTATCTGCTCAGTTTCCCACTTTCATAGGGGGGCCTGGAAGATCGATGGTCTCGGTATAGATTTCCTCACTCCATCTTTCTGCAAACACTCTCGACCTCCTCTCTGCGGGCTCCATTCTTTCTTTTCTCATCTCTCTCATCCTTCACTTGCACTCATCTCATTTCTGTTCCCTCACTTTCTTTCTCCTGCTGTCTGCATCTTTTAGACTTGGCTTGTACTACTACCATCCGTGAAGCTTTATATATCAGAATAGTGGGTAAAAAAAGGCACTTTCAGATCCCCTCTGCTTCCATTTCCCCGGATTCCTGAGAGGGACTGATTCAATCGCTGCCTGCTGGTTGAGGTTGACAGTGACATCTGAAGGTACCGCTCCCTCTAGATGTCTGTCTCTTATGATTTTCTGGGATTCCTACTACTCTGCTCACTGCAGGACCTGGTGCAATTTCAATCTCTGTCGTGAAAAGTGTCTGTCTTGTATGATTCGGGGTTGTTATCATATGTGCAGAGACATATAGTGTGCAGTATATAATAATAAGCTTTGTAGACAGTCCTAATCAGCATTACACCAGGATGCAGGAACTCTGTGCATAATAATTGAATGAAATAAAAGTTGAATGCATCATCAAAGGTACTGTGCATTACAGATTGCTGGGCAGCCACTTAAATTGATGCATTCTCTGATTTTCCAATAAGGCAAGGTCTGTCTGGATTATGAAGCTCATTAGTTCCCTTTGTGCGGGTACACATTGCCACGCCGCCTGTGATCTGATGAGACGATACCGAAATGGTGCATTTGCATACATGCATCATACAAAGCATGGTGGCCGATGAAAGAGCAGGGTAACAAATGAACTTTCATATCCAGCCTACAGTTCCGCCAAACCACAGAGTAGAGCTTTGAACGAGAAGAGACTTACTTGTGAGTGTGTTTGCAAATTGCGGATGCACACAGTTCTTTGTTTTAAAAAAGGGTTTTAGCATGAATAACATGTGCAAATAACCCTGTGCCTGAATTTTTACAGCCAGTCAGACTTTTGAGCCTCCCAGCAAACCTGCACCTTCTGAATGTGTTAGATATTTTTCACCAAGCTCAAATACACCTCAGTGGGAATTATTGATAAATGTAGGTAGTTTCACATTCACTTTCCACTCACAGACTTTTTCAAGCAATTTCAAATCAAAAAGAAAATGTCTATTTCTACTCTTCAGGATCACATTTCTGGCTATATTGTGTACCTTTTCAACTATATTACCACCTACAAAACAATGTTTGTCTTTAGATTCTTAGCTAAATTTAATCAAGCTTTCTCCCTGTTGTGCAAAGTGACACATTCTTTCCTGGGTAGCCTTTAAAAGACCAATTTTTTTCTTGAAATATCAACAAACCGCCATTAAATCATCTTTTTGATGGCACAGAGTTGACACATTGACTAGCAACTGCCTTTGGGTGATCCCCACATCTTTCCACCCAAAGTTCAGATCAAATTCCCCCGACTGTGCATGTCCTTCTGGCTTAATGTTAAACACAGAAGCTTAACTCACTTAAATGTTGTTTTATCTCAGTCTTAATGATCTAAATACTGAAATCATGGCTGAATGTGCACACTTGTTTTAGCTTATTTGTTCCTGGGAGAACACATCTATGACAATGTATTCAACCAGAGGGGCAGGGGGCAGCTGTGGATAGATAGTTGCAATAGCATTACAGAGAAGTTGTGTGTTGTTGCGGTTCTATTTGCATGTTTTGAGGAAATTAAAATGAGCCTATTTATTGGGATACAGGATGTATGAACTACAGGCTAATGTAGATGATACATACTAGTTTGAAAAGTTGCTTTTGAGAGTCTGTTGGAAGAATAATTTCAATAAAGATTTCGGCCAATCATGTGTCAACAACTTGAGTAGATAGACCCATTGATGAGTTGAAACAACCCTACTGACTCTTAAGTCCAACTGCTTAAAAATCATGGTTAATATGCCTGTAAGTGTGTGATGACCCCTAACATTCAGGTGTAATATGGTCTAAATATTGGCATTAAATAGACGTTGAATGAAAGTCAACAAATAAAACGTCCTTTTTTTTACCACTTATGAACTTCTATTGTACCATGGCCATAGTTCTAAAAAAATGTTTCAGTGGAAAAAAACCTGTTGGTTAATAGGTTGTCAGCTGAGCTTATGAATGGTTTAGATTGGTCTTATGTCACTGCCATGAAGTTACCAGTCACCATTCCAGTCACTTGGCTTCATGTTTTCAACAAGTGGCAACATCTAACTGAGAGAAAATAAACCAATGTGGAGGTGTGAACAATTGCATTATGAATCTCCATTAATTCCCCCTGTTGGCTAACTTTGGCAGAGATAATCATGTTCCTATTCTGGTTAGCTTAAAGCTGTATGTTAATCTGCATATTTAGGGATAAGGAGAAGGGGGATTTCAAATGTTGTAAACTGTTTGAAGGAGACTAAAAGCTGTCCACAGCTCCACTCATTTATCTAGTTCTCAGTTAAAAGAAGCTTGAGTTCACATTTCCAATATGGCAGCCACCTTCTCTTGGCTTTTAAATGCATATCAGAAACCAATAAACGATGCAAAGGCTGCAAAGAGTCTTTGGTCTTTTGGTTTAATTTGACAATTGTATTCTCTTTTGTAATTCATTGTCAGTGTCCAAGAAAGCCAGAGCACCCATTTGCAATTTAAACAAACAAGTTGAAAATATTATGTTCTGAGAAAATGTTTGTGGGCATATGAGATGATCAGCATCAAAAGCTGGTCCTCATGTACATGATTGGGTCCTGATTAAAGTACTTTGGGTTCATTTCAGCCCCTATGCTCTTTCGTGCATGTCATCCCCCTTTTTGCCTTTTATTTTCTTGTCTCTCAATCACTATTGCTACCAACTAAAGACAAGAATTGCCAGAGGGGTTGTTTTTAACAATGGGGCTTTTGAATCAAGAATAGTTGCAGGTCTAACTGGTTATCTTGTGTATTCAGTCAGTTTGTGCTCCCTGACTGCCTCCGCCTGAGAGAGGCTTTGTCCATCAGAGTTAAGTAACATGTGGGCAAAAGAATTAAAGACAACACTTGACCTTTCCTGAAGGAAAACAAACCGGCAAACAAACAAAATAAAACCCATGGATGTTTAGTTTCAATCCCTCAGGGAAGGTCACTTGTTGTTTGATTGCAGAGGCAGCACCGTTAAAAAAAAAAAAAAAAAAAAGACTAGTAAAACGTGATCTTTCAAGGTAAATGTCTAGACTTCAAGTTTTAAGTCTTCAATATTTGTCTGCGGACCCAGAGGCTGACGATTCAAGACTGCATTTCTGGGACTAAACTCTAAGACCAACATCTAGTGCTTGCTAAAACCCAATTTTTATTTATTCATTTTTATTTTTATTTTTTGTATATAAGTACCAGTGGTGTACTCTGGTTTTTGAGGGGCAGGGGCAGAAAAAGGGGCACCTCCTGTATGCCATAGTGCCTTGATGCACAGAGAGTTGTGATTAATGGAGATCTGTCTCCAGCAGTACTGAGGATCATTTTTCTGTCTGTTCTTGGCGTACTGTAATCATAAGGTTGTCACACCACAGAGCTGGTTTCAGCTTGCCAAAAATTATGATGGGCTAGTAAAAATTTATTTTGGCAACCCATGGCAGCAGATGGTCTTGAGGCTTCATGGTGAACTAGTTTTCTATTGCTGGCAGAGATACTTCCTCTATATTGAAGTTTAAGCTTTGTATTTTAAATTCTTTACCAACACCTTAAATTGCACGCACACAGCCAGGCAGAGCTGCAGTGTAATGGTTGGATCTGCAGGTTCAAAACACAGCATGCATAGTTGCTGTCCATGTGGTGCCTAAAAAGGTGCTTCCCCTGCACTGAAGTTCAAGCTGTGCTTTTAAAATACTATCATAAAATAGTAAATGAGAAGGTCTTAAAGGGAATACACTGCCAAGCAGGCCAGGGCACCTCCTTTCAGTGAAATGGTTCCAGTTGAAATCCCTGCCCAAGAGAGGAGCTTTCACATGGTGCTGAAAAGAAACATTTCCTTTAAGTATGGTCCAAGCCGAATAAACCCAAGCAGTGACAGCCAGGCAGAGCTGTAGTGTAATTGTAAGTACTGCTGCCTTTGAATGAAATGGTCCTGGGTTCAAATCCCAACATGGATATTGGCTCTTTATTTTGTGCTTTCCCTTCATAAAGGGCTAATCTGTGCTTTTAAAAAGAATAAAATAGTGAATTAAGTGACAGAATAAAGTAAGTAAATCCTATAGACTGTATAAAGAATGGACGCCACCTGCCTCGTCACTGGAGCCACCAAGAGAACAGCACCCTCTGGTGACAGGCTGCAGTAAAGGTCATAAATCCCACCTCCTCCAGCAATCCTTATGGAGCTGTGGACAAACTTTAGAAACTTATTACACAGAATATACATTTTTATCTCCCCTGCTTGTGATGTTGACATGTAGTTATTGTAAGACTGGTTTGTGCTCAAGTTCTCTTTTTTCTGTACAGCTCCATTTTCAAAAGTTATAAGGGGGTTCATGTTTTCTATGATTGACACTTGATACAGCCTATGGGCGTACGAAGATTGTGTAGGTCACCCAGGGGATACGCCGTTTGAGCCAAGCGTCATCACAGTGACTCTCCCGCCAAATGTGTACAATCCTACTGCACAGGTAGTGGAGTGTGTTCAAGGCTACTACGGGATGTTGGTTTCAGGAAGTGGAGAAAAAAAACGGAAATACCGAGAGCTTTTTGGCTTCAAATCAGTATACTGGCGGAAGGCGGAACCAAGTTATCCATAGTATATACAGTCTGTGGTAAAACCATGCAAGCCTGTGGTGAAACAGCTGCTACTGAGGGCTTTGACTCAGATGGTCCTGGGTTCAAATCTGTTGAGGGAAGGTTTGTATTGAAGGAGTAAGAAAAGGGAGAAAAGTAGGAGATAAAAAAGAAAATAAATGTATCAACATCCCTGAAAGGATGGTTTGAATAGACAACAACACCTCCATCTTGATATGGGGCAAACGATAACATCTCATCAAGAAAACAAAGTAGGAGACACCACTAAAAGCAGGACAACGGATCCTGTTACCAAAAATGTGAAACGCCAAGAAAAAAGACAACAGTTGCCAGGAGCTGAGGGGAGCTGAGAGTAGGGTGATTGCTGCAATCAGAAGGGCAGAAAACAAAACTCCTTCTCTATTTTTGTGTGTCGTTCCAGGCTGGTAATTTTGCAGGCAGGCAGTCAGGCACAAGATCTGTCGGAGCGAAAGCCCAGCTTCGTGACGCATTTCTCCCTGCCACATGTCCCCTATCCATGGGCCAGCGCCCAGCAGGATGGGGGATGGTGAGGGCGGGGGCTGTGAGGCTATCTATGAGTTTGTGTGCTATAGTGTTTGTGTGTGCCCATATGTAAGTATGAGGATGGCTGAACGGTGGGAAGCCTGCCAGTGTATCCCTCTTCCCTCCTTGGGGCAGGGTGGGGAGAGAGCCAGGCCATACTGGTGCCTGCAGGCCAAAGTGGTCGCATGTCTTACCATAACAGCATCCAAAGTCTTGGGATGGGTGCATGTGTGACAGGGGGTTACATGGATGACACATGGGAATGGGTATGTTTCATAAATGTGCCACCAGCATGAGCTGTTTGTGACTTTACGTCGCTGGTGGCATCCATCATGGAGCCAAGTAAATCTGCTGCCTGCCCTCAGGCTGACTAAAAAACAGGCCTGAGACTAAATGTGTGTGTATCTGGACCTCAGCGCTTGTGTGGGTGTCTTTTGGTGCCCATATGTATGTGTGTGCATAAGGAAGTGAAAGGAAAAAAAGAGCCTTAGCACCTTAGGGACATACGAAGTGGTCTGTTTCTTTGGCTGGTTCATCCAAAACAGACTGTTCTCTTTCAAAGCCAAGACTTTCAAAATACAGAGAGAGAGAGAGAGAGACTGCTAACACAAAACTTAGCTTCTTTAACATTGTGGTGTACGCAAAGTGCTGTTCTTCCTTGACAAAGTTAAGATGTACTTTCTTCAACACATCCTGTTTCAAAGGTTTACGTGTGGAGTGTTTTTACATGGAAAAAGCAACAAAGCATTATTTATTATCTACTGTCTCCATCATTTTCAGCCAACTGGTTCAGTTCTTGAACTGTTGCCTTGAACTAACTATGTATCCATCAGCTTTAATAAAATTTTATTGTCATTTTTTTACATTTAATCATTAAAAATCTAATTCTAGCATGTGCATCCATCATGTTTAACAGCTTATCATCTCTCTCTAGCTTTCTCTTTAACTACCATTCCTAGGAAAATTGATAAAGTGTCATGTCTTATGATCTATATTTTATTTTTCAGCCACTTTAAACCAGCAAGACTTCTCTAGACATGAGAATATGAGAATCTTAATATGTCGATCCAGATATTTGGAACAATATTCATAATTCTTATGTCATTTCTCATATTTTTGTGTCCTTCTGGTTGAAAATCCTGCCTACTCCATGGCAGCGGATCTTCCTCGTGAATACTGTCATGATAATATAATGCTGGAACACTGTTGGGAAGTTGACAGAGTATGGGTGGTTATACAGAGGATTAGAGCTTTATTTTCCTACTAGAGACCGTATAAAGGGGAAACTGCGTGAATAGCTGCAGATTACAGAGGATTTCACACAGCATAACACAGTTGTGTTGGGGCGCCTGAACAGACTTTTAATTCCACTATGGGAATCAGCTCGCTTCACTGTATGTCTAACAGACAGTGAGAATATAATTGGTGAAAGGAACATGGTTGATTTCTCAATAGCTTCTCAATTGAGACAAGTGAGAGAATTCATGCAGTAAGCCAAGTGCTTCTCTCAACAAACACAGCCCAAACTGCAAACTAAACCCTTGACATCAAAAGTGTGTTAACATTTATCTACTTTAATGATTACATTTTTTTTAATAAATTCATATGACAGAAAATAATCCCAATATTTGCAGAGGGCTTGACTCATTAATTTCAATAGTCGATTAAGGAGCATCAGTGTAGCAGTTAATTAGAAACCAGTGGTGATAACCACCTGTTCAAACATACAGATGGGAAGTCTGTCTGCTTATCCCATGACTGGCTGCCAGTGCTGTGTCATTACTGATAGTCAAATGAGACTGAAACAGATGAGGATGGATGGGTGGATGTTATATTGCTCATTGCTCTCAGGTTTGACGGAAGCATAGCACAGGTCATATACCTGACATACACACACAGGCATATATAATGTGCACGCAGATGGACACATGCACAACCGCACACACGTAGCAGCGGACATAATTACCTGTCAAATGTAAGATGTGACTTCCTGGGAGTAAATGAACTGATTAATATTCGTCAGGGGGGTTGGGGGAGTCGCCTGATTAGAAGTAAAGATATTCACTGTCCCCATCGCTTCTTTCATTACAACACCACAATGACAAGATGGGAAATTACACACCGGGTGACGAAGATATTGAGGGCAGCAAAGGATAGGCGCCATGGATTACCACTCAACCGCTGACAATCAGAAAACCATTTGATTTCGTAAAATATCCAGAGAAAGTTTGTGTTTGTTTTAATTTATTTTAGCCCTAATTAAGAAGCTAATGCTCAGAAACAGGAGTATGACACAGCTCAGGGTCACCTGCTTCCTACGCAGAAAATCAGACTCTATTTTAGAGTCTTTTACACTTCCTTCAATCTTTTTTGTTTCCTTTCTCCCAGGTTTTGTGTCACATCCCTGGTTGGTCTCCCTCTGAGCCCAAACTGAGTGGATGTCTGCCGACGGTCGATGCTTGAAGGCTGCGCAGCCTCAGAGCTCAAATAAACAGGAGTCTAATGGTGTCCCTGGGCTGCTGAGGGGCCTTACATTAAGATAATAAGGCGAAGAGAGGGTGCAGGAATGGGGCTCTTGAGAGGAAGAGGAGGAGAGACTTTTGCACTTTCTTAGGATCTGAGCCTGACTTACTTTGGCCAGATTTATGCCTCAAGCTTTTTTACTCAGATAAGAGCAGTGTAAGAACTTCTGCTGCACCAACATTGTTATTATTTGGATTGCTGCGGTAGTCAAACAGTAAAGCTAACCATTAATGCAAGGTGTTATGAGGAAACAGATGTGCACGTCTAACAGCCAGGAGACATAAATTTTGCCTGAAAGCACACAAAAGTTTGTTATTTGCAGCTAAATTTAGCTCATTTGTGCTAAAGTATAAACAGTTTGGACTCATAGAATATGTGTTCAAATTCTATCCTTTGTGATTCAGTTGTAACTTTGATCATACCCAATATGTTTACAACTGTTGGTTTATGTCTATTCAGAAGATACTAATAATCCTTATCGTCATATTTTAAGCTGTTTACAATATGTTCTAGTCATCTTTGAAGCAAGCATGTGGATTAATTTGCCTAAAACATCACAAACCAGAAAGCTGCGTTTATTCAGCGTATGGCGATGACTGCTAATAGGCGTCGAAACAAATGGGTAATGCCACCAACGCAACAGCCAGTTATTAGAAAGTCTATGATTTTTTACACAAAAAAAAAACAAATAATTTGTGGTTCTAACCTCTGGCATTTTGACTCTATCACACCAAAGCAAAACACAAAATCATATGACGATGCTAAATTCTTCAAAAAGTGGAGTATGCCTCTGCAAATCAGTCCTGTTGTTATGTCACCACAGGAACAAAGTCAAACCCTCGCAAAGCTGTTTTCCCAAGAGGTGGGTTACAAAAACAACACAGAAGCTTTTCTTCCTACTTATTCTGAGGGTTCCTATGCTGCAGGATGACTATTTATTTATGTATATGCAGGGAAAACCCTGTGTTTTCATTGTGTGGAACAAGACTATCTCATATTTGTCCTGACTGTCAAGTGTCTAAATTGATAATCAACTAAGTGATTACAAGATTAAGCATAATGAGATTCATATGCCTGCAGTCCTTCAAGAACATTTCAGACAAGTTTTTTTTTTTTCTTACTTTTTTAAGCAAACTACTGACTATGTTAGTCTAAAAAGCAATGACTCTGATTTAAAACAGTGCAAATATTTCCCTCAAATGTCAACTGCTACCTTTGAGTGCAGGTATGAAAGCAGTTTCAACTTGAGTGTCTGCTTGACTTTTTAAGTATGCAGGATGGAAAAATCTGCTACAAAAAAACAGAAACAAAATCAACATTTTCCTCACAAAACCTGCCTGTGTACATATGTAGCAGAAGCCTGACTGTCACACATTGGAGCTGGGAGCCTGAAAGACAAACTCAGGGATGACATCGCAACTTCACCTGCTTTTCCCGCCTGTTTGAACACGAGGACAGAAGCTGAGCTTCAAACGGAGCAGGAGCTGGAGTGACGCCTCACAGATAACTACCTCCAGCTCTGTCATTTTCTCTTTCACAGCGTCTCTTTGCTTGTTTCTATGGCCTGCGCGGCGGTGTGTAGGTTCACTCGCTGGAGCTCCACTTTCCGCTCTGACACTCTGCAATCAGATGTGACACACTGAAGGCTCGGATGACAGCTGAGAAGACAAGGTCACACAGTCACCTACTTCTAACGAAGGATATGCGTAGCTTCTTTTGACAGGCCTGCATGCACATAGACACACGTATGCACATCTTCACGTACACACATGCACACAGTCACAAGGCGGGGTAGCAGTGTTTTGCAGACAGAGTCTTTCTTGTGCCTGTGCAATCTTTGAAGCAATTACCTATTAAAATTTCATCCTTCCCATCTCTGGATGTTTAGGAAAAGATTATAACTGCTGGGGAGGTAATTAAGCCTGCAAATGGTGAATTGAGTTGCGAACACAGAGCACTGAGTATGTGTGTATATAAGTGTGTACTTTACTGTGTGCTTTTGTCTTAATAAAACTAATAGTGCTGCCCACCTAAAGCTCCACAGTGTGATACCCAAAATGACAATTAGAGAATTAAGAAGCAGAATATTTGTCGGGGAGAAGCGTTCAGTGCAATAAGTCTCAGGGATAAATGCTATTTTCCTATTCAATTCATGACTTACGTCCTCATTAGATTATACAGTAAGTATAGTGACAATGAGATTAGTTGCTGCTGCTTGTCGGTTAGACTTAAGAAACTTCAAGATTTGTGGTTTTCAGAGCCAAACACTGCATGGAAAGTCACCCAAAATTAAGTAGCAACAGCTCATGATGTGTGACACTTTCCCTGGAAATCCAAACAGGAACATGGCTTCAGAGCTTCACCGTTTTAGGTCGGCTTAGACACCATTACCGTTATCACGAGGAAGCAATCTTTGTTATGTCGAGATAACAAATTACATGTCATCACGAGAAAACAAACTTTGTTACATCAAGAGAATAAGTTCTTATCACGAGATAACAGTCCGTTAAAAAAAAAAAAAAGAAAAATCCGTGGCCGTTCTCATCTTCCGTAGGATTGAATGTCCAGGCCTCTTTTAATCTCTTTTGCCAATTCAACATAGAATTTCAGAATCTGTGAGCATCAGACCAGATTTTAAGTTTCTGAAGTTTTTTTGGTTTTCATTTCAAGGCTTGTGTTTATGCACACATACAAATAAAAAGAACCCAAGCCAAGAACCCCTTCATAGAGGGCAACCCCTGTCCATAAACAATGGCAATGGTCATTCTGTAGCATTAGCCGTGGCCAATGGTTCACCACTTTGAGACCAATGGCATGCAGTGGTCTCTAAACTGTGGTGCCAGACCCCTCAGAGGTATATCACCAGTACTTTATAACAGCCTAACCACCAGCTGAGGTTATATAACTTTAGTGTCATCACAGTCATAGCTAACAACCCTATGAAAGATAGTAGAGAAAAGGACGGTATACACTGTTTTTATTGTTGCGCAAATGCTGTCAGTAAAGACAAATAAATGTTCACTTGCATCCTGTGACTTACCACTAAGAGGACCAAGACACCAGTCCACATGTGAAAAAGGCTAAAAGTAAAGATTATGTAAGTTCTGCTAAAACTTGGGTCTATAAACATTATTAGATAGATTGATATATTTAATACAGCGCTACGCCCCGTTTTAAGTGCTGCTTCAGTCTGGCTGCTGCCACTCAGATCTTGTACCGTTTCCTCTCCTTCCTCGGTTCTTCCGTCTCCCTCCATCCCTCCTTTCTTTGTCTCTTCAGCTCTTTGAAGCTGAGAGTAAGGCGACACGGGATTTTCTGCCTTTTAAGGATTCAAACAAAGTCTCCGGGTTTGGAGATGACATGAAAGTCTGCCTGGCGGCCCACCTGGGGATCGGTGGGCCGGCTGGTTTCCGGATCACAAAGCAACTGAGGCGTCCATTTTTAATAAGATGGAGGTTGCTGGGGGCCCGGCTGCATTTGCACAAAGACCCAAAACATAACAAACACCAACTTCAGGCTTTTGTTTCATTAATTAATACCGTGTTTCTAACCTGTGTGGTGCATGTGATAGCGACTGAGAAGCACGTTTTGGGGATAGAAGTTAACCTTACATTTTCATACAAATTCGACGCTAAGAGACTGAATAACTGCTTGTGGTCATTTGTAATTTTTTTCTGATGGTGACTGACAATCACACAAAACCCAAAGGAATTTTCTCCTCCCATTAGACCTGCCAGACAAGATTCACTGATGCCAGCAATTGGGCAATCTTGCCATAAGCTATAATCAATATGTGGTTTGCACTAAAAATAGATTTTCCACTATGTTTCTGCTCTTTACGTCAACAAATCCAAGCATGTCCCATTGTGTATTAGCCCTTTTAACCCTGGCACTTATCTCTACATTGCAATTTCTGTCCTCCTCGTTTGTCTTCACTCCCTCCTTGTCTATTCTTCGTGTGTGTGGCGTGAGAAATCCCCCTCTTCAGCCGATAAATCTTTGCATAAAACAAGAATACCGCATCCATATCACACAGTCCTATATCTGATTTGTCTCCTCTCCTTTCCTTCTTTGTTACTCTGCAATGAATTGTCTCCCTCACCGGCGGGGGGGACCTGTAATCAGGTGGCTGTTGGTGAGGATCCCGCCAGATCACAGAGGTTAATAACACCACACATCATCACCCACAAGCCAGAGGGATTAGGAGGTTCAGGGGAACAGGTTACACATTGCAAATAATAAATGCTATTTCACAGTGACCACTCAGGTTATAGGCCACTTCACCATCTCATCGCTCGAACCACGAGAAAGGAAAAAAAAGAAGTGGAGCGGACAGCATCACCTGCTGAAAGTGTCAATTATCTCTTTCCACAATGTAATGGAAGCTCTTTTTTTTAAAACTGAGCCCCCCACCCCTCCTTTCTTTCCCCTCCCATGTCAAAGCAAACCATTTTAATGAATGTAACCTTTCTGTCCCCTTTCCATGAGATGTGCTCTCAACATGATGTTGATGGTGTCTGTGGGCGTCGTGCTTCATGCTGAGTAGGGTTATGTCACCTTGTCGTTAGCCAGGGGAGTTGTAGGATTACATACTTATCTCATTCTCGCAAATAGAAGTAGTTACTCAATACCCCACCACACTACCACTACTTTCCTTACATGTACACTTCCTGCCTTTCTCTGTGTTTTATTCCAAAATTTCTTGCCAGCTCACTGCTGATGGTTTAAACTCAACTGTGAACCTTGTGCACTCATTCCAAATATAATCTAGGCCTTGCAATGCAAAACTTGGAGATTTGTTGACGCTATTGATCGTTCTTCTTTCTCTGCAAGCCAGAGCGAGCTGCCAGTGTGAACAAAATTCTCAATGCCACTTCATTTGCATTGAAAAATTGCAAAATAATTTCAACCCTCGAGCAAAATTGTCCAATTTTTTCTTAGACTAGGACTCAAAAACCAAACACCAGATTGTGAATAAGTTGGTAAAATTGATTTTTTTTCTCCGCTTTTGTCTGCATCAAAAGTATGAAATACAGTCACGGATTGCAAGATGGGTTGTTTCAGAGATTTTCAACTGCAGTCAGATACAATTGAACAAGGGGGTATTTGTGTGAAGCTTCATAGCAAAACATAAAATGGGAAGAGACGTGGGTTTCATTGGAAAAAGCATGTCTTTTATGTGATATTTATCTTTGATGTGCTTTTTGCTTTTGTTCTACTTTGAGCGGATGGAAATCTGTGTACTGTCTGTTTCCATGTGTTCACAGAAACAGTCTATGTGTGGACCTAAAGCTCTGGTCTGTACATATTGGAGTGTGTGCATGAGTGTTTCAGTGTGCCTTCATCTGTTTGATCTTTGGTGTGAAAACACAAAAAAGCCCGCTACTGTAGCAGCCCACGGGTCACTACAGAAATAGATGGCATTCATACTCTCTGTATTCTATCACCACCACCCTTCATACCCCGCGAATCCCCCCTCTTACACCAACACACCATCACCACCACTACCACGGCTTCCTCACCGACTCACACACGCTCCCACCACCCTTTTTTTCTCTTCTCTCTCTCTCTCTCTCTCTCTCATTATATCATGTGGGCATGAACTAAAATAAAATGGTGAATAACGGTTGGATTTGAAAAGCTGCAGCTAAAAGGCAGGCAGATCTTCTCTTTCCAGCATGTTATGAAATGGAAGGATATCTGGCCAGTGTGTGAGGGAACAAAAAAACAATGCTGTCATTTGAAACAAAACTGGAGAAAGCCTGCTGGGCTTTGTGCAATCCCTGTCTGCTTCTGCTGAATCTCTGAGATTTACAAACTGTAAACTAGAGAGGAGTTTGGCTGGAAACAGAGTCCAGCTGAGACGAGCGACTTTCCCATCATTACATCATTCCAAATGACTCCAAAAGGGGCCTCTGACACCAGCGTGGACACAATCAAGCGTTGCAAATAAGCATTTTTTGCTGACACAAGCCACACCCACACTGCCGAGTGCTTCCAAAAGTTACACACACAGCTCACTACTGCTCATAATGAGCTGGACAGAAAAGATAAAAACTCACGGAGGTTTGTGGCTCTGGAGACAAAGTGCTGCGAATGCATCCCAAGGGCCTCCTCCCCCCGAAACTGCTCACCTGGACACCCACCCTGCAGCACGCTGGCTACGGCCCTGTCGGACAAAAAGAAATGAAGAAAGAGACAGAGGGGCGGTGAAGGATTAGAGGAGCAGACAAGAGGAACTGTGCATAACATGGTTAATTTAATTATTCAGTTGGGCTGCACTGCTCAACAGCATCCCTCAATGAAACTGAGAGGTACACTGTGAGGTGCAGCAAAGTGGAAGAAAATGTGATTTTCCTTCAGAATGAGAAATGTTTGTTTTCGGTTTTCCCTTGTTTTGCTGCCATCAGTGCTCGAACACTTTGTTTTATTACACAATGAAGGTGTATGAAAGCTCTTCAAGCGAGCTGCTCTCACACTCATGCACAGTGGAGCACAATGCATGGCGCGCAATGCCGCCTACTGTATTGAGAGAAACCGCCCCCCATAACAAAGAGACGTGCACGTTATGTTGTGATACACCTCAATGGAAAGGTGGACTGGAGCGCAGACAGTATGCATGCACTTTTTTTATGGTCGATGACATAATTTGAATCCGTTGCCAAGAAACAGCAGACAGTATGCGAAGTGTAATATGACAAATGCTTTAAAGCACGTTATACACTTGATGATGGTGCGCAGCAGTTTGTTAAACTCAGACATTTCTGGTTTGCTCGGGGGCAGATGAAGGGAAGAGCCACACACTGCGCGCTCCAGATCACTGTATGCGTAGGCTACTACTGCAAGTCTCTTTGTAAACAAGCGCACTGAGAGGAGAGGAGAGGAGCAGGGAGGCAAAGAGAGAGAGAGAGAGAGAGAGAGAGAGAGAGAGAGAGAGAGAGAGAGAGAGAGAGAGAGAGAGAGAGAGAGAGAGAGAGAGAGAGAGAGAGAGAGAGAGAGAGAGAGACCTACCTGGACATGTTCTCTCTCTGGGGCCGGTGCGCCTTTTCCAGCCCCAGTTTGGTGAAAATCCCCACAAGAGCCATGATGGCCACTACTCCACATATGATGTAAACAATTAAGTTCGTTTTGTCTTTGGTGCTGTCGTGCATCTTGTTCATCTTCTTATAGGGAGTCTGTCCTGTCTTCATCCACATCGGAGTGTCATAATTCTTGCAGGTGCTTTGGTCCAGCCGCGAGTGTTTGTAGGAGCAGCAGAAGCGGAAGCCACAGGTGCCGCAGCAGTAAAGATAATTCCCCGTTTTGCAGATGAACGGCGGATCCCACTGGCCCATCACGTCGTAGTAACCCCGACATTTGTCTTCAGTGTGCGGGGTCTCTTCCGACACGCTTTCCTCCTCCTTTGAGCCGTTGGAGGTGGCGATCATCACAAACCCTCCGAGCAGCCCCGGCTCCCCGTCAGCCTTGCAGACAAGAGCCATAAGTTTGAGCAACAAGAAGCCGAAGAGAAAGTATTTTCCTCTCATGATGCTCTCTCCTCCGTTTAACTTCACGCAAACACGAAAAGACCTGGAGAGAGTAGAAAAGGCGCGCGGTCATGGTATGCTGAAAAGTCCAGGAACACGCATCCGAACTGCGCCGCACCTTCATCCGCGCAGATGGACATCTTTGTTAATATGTCATTATTCAAAATAAAAATCCCGCCTTGAAAAAAAAGAAACACCCTGTTTTGTTCTTCGCCCGCACTTGTTGTTCCCTAACTCGCTCTGTGATGCGCTCACGTCTCGTCAGAAAGTCATTTGAAGGCTCAGATTTCGCGTTTTCGCGAGTGCATCACTTATCCATCGGTGCGCTCTTACGCACAGGAGTAGGCAGAGACACACGCCGCACAGAGGATGAGAGCGCAGTGAGCGAATAGAGGAGCCGAGGGTGGGAGAGCCTGGTGCGCAAAAGGAGAGGAGGAGGAAGATAACATGGGGAGGGAGAGAGACTGCGAGGGCTGATGAGAGCAAGGGAGAGATGGAGAGAGAGAAAGGGAGAGAGAGGGGGGTCTTTATTGTGAAATATTACGATAGAGCCCGGGAATACGCACACCACTGTTCTATGATGCCGTCGAGGAAAGGCGTGGGAGCTTTTTTCCCCCTCTTTTTCCCACTTCATGCATTTTTACCCGTAGGTTGCCATTGTTTTATAGAGTCACAAGGACCTTAATGTGCTGCAATAGTCAGGAGCTGGTAGAGCTTTAAAGGTAGAGAATGGATTTTAAACAAATAAGCCCTTCACCAAAGATGGCCTCGTGACACAACGACCACTGCATCTCTGGAGGCTTTTCTTTAGAAAACATAGTGTGTAATGTTCATGAGCACCTTTGTTTCCAAACGTGCCATAGGAAAAGGAACCAAATATTCCCTTCAGTCAAATAACAAACACGATGCTTGACACAGATTCATCAACTGTTTCCCAAATTGTACAAAAACGGAGAGGGAGTCTCTTTAAGGAACATTTCTAAACAATACACAAAGCAGATGGTGCCTAATGTGGAAAAAAAGAAAACTTTGATTTTTAAAATTTGTGGATGCCCCAACATCCTCAGATTTAAAAGCAAGAACAGACACTTAGAGAACAAGCAAGATAATTACAGGAACGTACTACCTGAGACAAGGCAAACTGGATATAAAAAAACATAAAAATGACTCTGAAGTCCTTTGTATTATTATTTTTAACCACAAAATTACACCCTGTCTGCAAGGGGAAAAAACTTAAAATTTCAGAGTGTCCAAAAACAAACTATAAAGACAAAACAGAGAATTGAAGTCTCATGCTGAATTTGAAATAATCTTAAACACATGGTGCTAAGATCCCAGCCTCCATCTAAGTTTATCTCCTTGTAAAAACGAGAACACAAAAAGCTAAATTATTCAGTTAAGTGTATAAAATTTTATTCAGCTGCTACTGAGTGCCACTGAAGAGAAAAAAACACCTTGCATTTATTAAAATTTGTACACCATGATTATCAGTTAACATGGTGGAGTTTATGACTGCACACACTGATTTATTGCTCATCTCTGGATTTTTTGCAACAACTGGCCATTGTTATAACTGACTGAAATCCCCAAAGAGTTATGGACTCAGGTGGTCTGAATACCCAGGGTCCCATCAAAAGAAGGGGACCTGGGTTGTTTTCTTAAGCAGAACTTTAAATTACCTAATTCCTAACTCTAGATTAGAAGATAAAAATAATGATTACTATATTAATGGAGCACCTTGTATGCAGAGATGCAGCCCGAAGTGCAAAGATTGAAAACACTGTTCAAAGAAAATAAAATAAAAAGAAAGTTAATTATTAAAAACGTGAAAAAAACAACAACAACTAGACTTTGTTAAAAACAAACAATATTCAGTTTGATGATGGCAAAGTTGATTAAAAGCCAAGCTAAAACAATTTCCTCAGATAGAGTCTGCTATGATGGCTGGGTGTGTAATTTTTTTTTTATTGACACAATTTTAGTATCAAAATAAGAAATACAAACTATCATCGGGGGACAATTTTGTAATTTAAGGATCATGGCAGAATAGCATTAAAGCTCCAATGATGAGTCTCATTTTGTGTCAATTTTGGCAACTCCAGTGGCCTCTGCTGATCACTCTAACACATATATTTGCTCTTCTTGTATTAAACTTTATTTTATTTCTTTTTTCAACCGAACTGAAATGCAGTCAATCACTATCCGACACCTAACTACCACACAGGCAGTGATTATAGCTATCAAAACAACTACAAAGATAAAGCTTATCTTCATGTTGATGTTCTTGTCTGCTCATGTATGCTAAAAATAGGGAACAGTGGCCAATTATTTTGGTCTCTTTCATAACTAGCTAAACCCCCTTGCAGGAACTCTGATATGTAAATATTTTTGATGCTGTTCTTTAAAGCTCCTGTGAGGAGTTTTTGAAAAGATATGAGACAGACTAAAATCAACAATGACATGTCTCTATGATATACAAACGCAAATAGGACAATTGATGACAAGATTTAGAATTTCTATTTTGTAATTTCTAAAGCCTGTGACTGCTGTGAGTGGGTGGATATGCTGAAGAAACAGCCTTTGTTACAAGTATTCATGGTGAATGATAAAATGGACCCTTAAAAAGACAATAGGAGATTTTTGTCAATGAGACAAAATCAGCAACACTCAGCACAGACAGAAAGTTACTTACTGGAGCTTTAAGTTAGAATTTCTTTAAGAGGACATTACAATTTTGTTCTCTGATTTACTGAATTTATTTGTGGCATTTTTCAGTATAGCAAAGTCATAGACTGTACCATGATGGAGAGAACAATGCTCTGGATGACACTGAAATCTGTGAGAATGAGTGAACTGATTAAAATCATTAATTCTTACAAAAAAGTCCTGGAAAAATCCAGAATAAGTTCAATTATGTTTCAAATACCATGTTTGCTTGGCGCACACAACACTATTTGAGCCATTTTAATATCAATTCAACCATTAATCAAACTTGGACGATTTACCTCAATATCCTGAGCTACTTTTCAACTTCTGACAAAAACAAACCTGACTGAAATAACTTACTTAAATACTATGAGGGACAAGAGATTGGTAAGGAGGGCTCACCTTTATGTATGAGGGAGAGACCATGAGGCAGATAAAGGACTTGAGAGCAGTCTGCTCAGTTGTTGCATCCAGAACTGTCCACTTTTCTTTCCTGATTGTTAAAGGAAAATATTGGTGTTCATAAAATGAAGAGGACAGCAGATATTACTAGAGAAACAAGGCTCTATCCCTGTTAATTGATCCCCAATTTTCAGTGTGTTGCCCATTTGTTACATAAAGCTTTTAGGGGACAGTGGGATAAGATGAGCCATTTTTCATGTTTCGGATCACTACTAAATATTTGGTCACATAATCAATTTATTTTCCCATTTCCAAGCAACAGGGGGTGGCTCGACTTACCCTTTGGCTCAACTTACCCCACTCTCCCCTACTAGAGAAATAAGGCTCTATCCCTGTTAATTGATCACCAATTTTAAGTGTGTAGTCCATTTATTACACAAAGCTTTTACTGGGTAATTTACCTGGTTGTGTGGTCCACTGAAATAGGCTAACTTTTTATGAGGCGTGGCTCCCTCTGTTTGTTAGTTTACTTGCCGTAAATTTGGGACAGCCTGCACGCTGTTGCCACGCTGGGGGCCGCTGCGGAGAAAAGGCTCTTCCACCCTCGGACACTCACAGACAGACAGGCTGTGTAGTCGCTCACCGATAGTGACCAGCGTCAGAGACAGCTGGTGACACACCCGCCCAGCAGCTCCACAACAAACCCACTCTGAGACTCGTTGACAGGCTCCCGAGTCACGAAGTAGTTTGCTGTGGGAACTTTCTAACTAGAGGAGCTTATGGCTGAGAGTGAGGACATCTTTCTCAGGGCTAAACACCGGACATTCAGCGGACTGACTGAAGGTAGCAGACTGTCGGCGGTTGGTTTTAGACCCACCCGTTAGCACGCTCACAGGCTAACATGTTAGCTAACGCCGCCTCTAAGCTCAGTCATTGCAAAGTTGTTGCTGTGGTCAGGCTAATAGTCTAACACTGCCAGCTCGGTCCATTGACAGACAGCGTGTGTGTAGCTTTGTCTGGGTAACCGGGTCGCTTCTGTCAGTGTAGCATGGTTAGCCTGATAGCGTGTGTTTACAGAGTGAATGACATCAGTAACGTTGGGATATTGTCGCGCTTCATTAGCGTTAATACGGTTAAACTACAGTAGTCCATTATTGCTGTGTTAAAGAGCCACAGCCATCTGCTATGTGGTGAGAGTTACTTGTACTTAAATCATTAAAATTACCCTTTTTAGTAAAACTTTGCTGTTCATATTGGTTCACTTCTGTAAAACTTGAGGTGGGAGGAGCGTGTGGTGAAGAACCATAAACCACATTTTTGCATTTTGAGGTCGCTTTAAAGTAAAGTGTGGTGTTTTTCTACGTGGCTGTCCTTGTTAAGAAAGCGTAACTTCAGTATCTCTTAGCGTGCTTTAAAGTGTATATTTTATCCCCATGGTTATGACGGTGGATCAAACGTAACAACACAAACACGCTCAGTCATGTGTAGGGGAGAGTGGGGTAAGTTGAGCCACCCCCTGTTGTTTGGAAATGGTAAAAGAAATTGATCATGTGATTCCGCCTCACTGTAGGGAAGTAGCTTCTATTTGTGTAACTCAACAGAAGACATTTGAATATTCAGCATCAGGTTATTTGTTGCAAAAGCTAGCCCCATCATGCTTTAATCTCAGAAGATGATTAATTTCTTTCGGTGCGAACAATGTGCCACCTGAGAAATCTGTGTGTGAGGAGTGTTTGAAGTTAGTTTGGACCAGAGGAGCCACATAAGGCTGCCGCCTCTTATCTCCTGTCAAGGGAGCTCTGCAACCCTCTGCAAGTCCTTGTGTTATTTTTCAGCCTTTTTTTCATTTGTCAGGAAAATAGTGCACACATCTGGCTTCAGAGAGAGAGAGACTTTTTACTACAAAAGTTTATGCACAGTAACAAAAGGCTTTCAGGATTTATGCGAATGCACCGTAGAGTTTTATTCAATCTTTATTGATTGTTTCTGTTGCTAGAAGCACCACAAAGAGTATATAGAACTGACATGCATGAGAGTGTACATGCACATTAACATGTATGTGCACTCTTATACCTGAGTGATTTAAAAGCACTCCTTTGCAAAGCAGAAGAGGTCAACACACTTCAGCAGCAAATCCATACATGCTTGCTAAGGTACAGTATATATTACTGTAAGGGATGACTCAATGCAAACTCTCGTACTGTGAAACTGAGTTCAGGGGTGATTCCACTGAGCTGCAGGGATCATAAGCAAATAAATTTTTGATCAGTGTGCAAAATATCTGTAGTCCACAGTGATCTGATACCAGTTTGGTCTTCTTCATACAGGTTTGGTACCCTCATGATGAGCATTTGTGTCTTAATAAGTGAGTATCATTAACTATCTAGGGATAACCATATAACTCAGGGATTTGATTCTTCAAGATGTAAATGGAATATCAGGTTTCTGTAACCTGGTGAGGAGATCCAGAACATTTAAACTGAAAGGAGTGAGGGAAAAAAGCTATTTAGGCAAATGTGCAGAATATGAGGACACCTACGAGCTAAAATCGGATTATTTTGAAGTATAAATGCTAATACTTGTGTTGAGCTTGAATCTAGCCTGTTTTAATTTGACAGCAGAGTACCTTGTTATCTCTATGTGTTTATTTACAGGCTGTGCATGAACTTCAAAGTACATTGCAATGTTAGCCACTGGCTAAAGAAACGGCAAATGGAGCTGCGCTCATTATATGACACGCTCATAATCCGACTTTTATTAGCGCTTTGTTTCCATGTGCCTCTATAATGAAGGCTGTAACCAAATTTGGTGTCAGTGAGGTCTTGGTAGCTTTTTTCCAGACTTCATAAATCAGATCACTGTAACTGTATTAACGGGATGTACTCAGTTTCTGTGGTCAAAGTGATCCACTTCAGTATTCTACCTCTCTGGGCTACTATGGTTATAACATGGTCTGTCTGTCACTGAAACCCTATTGTTGATCTGAGTTAACCATAATGAAGATTTTGTTTCAAGAGCAAAAATCCACTTCATCAATGGATAGTCTGTGCTGTATTATAACGTGTTGAACAGAAATTCATCACATTCTGGATTATGTTGTAGTTTATGCCTCTAATTTCATTTCTTGTTTAAATTTTCTGATTTTTCTTTCCAGAAAATGTTCAGGAGCTCTGTCTTTAGAATCAGATTGTTGACTTTTGACTGTCACAACACAAAGCTTATCTTGGATGTTTTGAATCATCCTGGTACAGGTCAATGTCCCTGGTGTAACCCTAGTCATCTGATTTCAATAGCTCTTGCATTAACACGTATGACCCACCTAGAAGTTCTCTAGAATCTTTCAGGAGTTCTGTGCAATAATACAGCTTATCAACATTGCCTTATCTGAGGGATGTACTACAAAGGAAGAACAGAGGGTAACCTGGGTCTATTGAGCATTTTTCTGCATCACAAATCAAATTTTCTTCTCACAAAATACTCTTAACCATAGACTGTATATACTATGGACAACTTTGTTCCACCTCCCATCAGTGTACAGATTTGAAGCCGAACAGTTTTCTTCATTTCCTGAAACAAGCACTGCGCAGTAGCGTAACGTAAAACTACCATTTATTTCTTATGATACTATATTACCTGCGGATGTCTACTGCAGATAGTATAGCACATCAGCTGATGTGGTGAAAGAATTTTTGAAACTATAAAGACAATTTGATAACAACAAAGGAAGACATCCAGTACTGTATACATCACATCACCTGAGCCTGCCTATAAGAATTTAATTCCCTAAGTCATGAATATTACATACTCCCACTGTCTCTTCCCTCTTGTTTACTCACTTGCTTTAAGTATGAACTACATAAGATCAAACCTTTATGTTTGGTCTTTAAATTCCTGTGTGGCGACACAGCTGATTTTCAGCTAACCTCAAATAAACCACAGTATGTCTTTTTCATTTTTAGTTTTCTTAGGAGAAAAAGAAAAATCAATAAAAACCTTTTAATAGAGTTGTTTTTAAAGATATTGCCCAGCCTTACATTGACTAACCAGGTTTGTCCTTAGTTTTTCTGCATTCTTTCATGAGATGGTTGGTATCCATCAAGCATAACTGCAGATTATGTCAATGCTGCTGAAATCATGTGTATCATTGTCCAAGTTCAGAGCTGTGTCAAGTTGCAAAATAGACGCTTGTATCTGGCGTGTAATGTGATAAAATCAATCAATGAGTTTATGAAGCGTCACAGTATTTTTCTGCAGGATTCTTTTCTTTCTGTAATTGCAGCAGCAGCAGTAGGGCTGATTTTTATTGCTCTAACTTCTGTATTCAGACTGGACACCCCTGTTTAAGTGAGCACACACACAGCCTGGAGCAGAAATCCTGAGCTTTCAATAATGTTCATAGATTTTTTTTTTGTAGTTGACCAATACCTACAACTGCATCAGAGGTATTTAATATACTGGTATTGGTCAGCTTCAGGAAGCAATCAGCAAGAAACTTCACTTGGTAACTTGTTAAAGCGGCTGTTTGAGTGAAAACTTTCCTCTGCCGTCCGTCTTCACTCTGAAGCTGTAAATAGAGATCAGTGTTAGGTTGGTTTGAAGTAAAAGCTCTCAAAAGTAATTTGATTGAAGTAACGATGATGACCATAATTATAACAGTAGAATGCATGTCCTCCTGCGGTTTCTACAGTGTCAATTACAGTGATGGGGTCATTGTTAAGCTTTGACTCATCTGGTTCCCAGGAGCAACAGCACTCTCTTTCTGGTTCTTTTTTTTCTTCTTTTTCTCCGGTGCAGAGAATTACAGTGAATTCTTCTGGGAGCAAGATAGCATGGATAGCATGTTAATCACAAAGGATTCTGAGAAGCGAGCTGCCCCGGTTCAGAGTACGAGAGGGATTTGTGCAGATGCAGATTTTCCACAGCAACAGCGATGCAGGAATAAACTAGGGATGCAGAATGTGAATATTTTCAGCTGATGCCAACAACTGACACTTGTTTACTAATTCTAACTGGAATCATACAGGGATGGTAGGAATGTGTCTGCAAATAATAATCATTATAATTTTACATATAACACCTTTGAAAAGCAAGTTATGAAGTGAAGGAAGCAGTTAACGGACGGAGTTATAAAGAGGAATAGAACAACGAAAAGGTTACTGAAAAAAACAAGTTAAGGTTACAGATCAGTAGAGGTGGATAAAAAAATCAATTCAGCATAGTATTGCGCTATTTTTTCCGGTGATATATCGTATCGTCTCATTTACCAAGTATTGATTTTTCAGATGAATTGCTAATATGAAGTCAAATCTATGATAATGGAAAAATAAAATCAGCTGGTTGTCCGGTGAGGTGACATCATAGAGCAGAAGAAAGTTAGTACAACAAATATATATAAGGTTTGCAAGACGTGCTATATGAAAATAAAATACAGCATGAATAAGACAAACATAAATGAAAGACAAATGCTAAATTACCTAAGCAGTTGAAAAAAAATGCATAAATTGCAATACTATATTGCAAAATGTTAAAAATCGCAATAATATCATATCTTGGCCCAAGAATCGTTATAATATCGTATCGTGGGGCCACTAGTGATTCCCACCCCTACAGATCAGTAAGATCTGTTAGTTCAATGAGAATTACAGGCTACAGACACACATAACAAAGTCAGTTATCAAGAGAAAGCCAAACAATAGAGAAGAGATATATACTAAGACAACACTAAGTTTGCCCATCTTACATCCTCAGGTAGAAAGTTCCACCGCAGCTTTGAAGCACAAACTGCAAATACTTGGTCACCTCTAGTCAAGATTTAAGATTCAAGGGGAAGGGCCCTGTTAGGAGATAAAGCTCACAGGTATAGGCTGGAGCCATTAAAGTCTTAAAAAACAAGCAGGGAAATCTTCAAATCTGTTCTGAATCTCAAAGGTAGCTGTTAAGGACGGGTGTTATGTGGTTGCTTCTCCTGCTCAGTGTTGAAAGTCAGGCAGCTGTATTTTGATTTAATTGTAGTGCTTTTATGTTGCACTTACTGATGCCAGAATTAAGTGCATTACTGTAAAATTAGAGGCAACTGAGGAGACTTCCAAGCTTGGCATTAGCTGGTGAATGATCACCCACTTTGAAAAAAAGGTGTGTCATGTTGTGCAGTAAATTCAGTAGTTTCATCATAGTTGTTTTAGCTTTGGGTTCTCAAATGCAGGTAACAATACAAGCTGTTTTTTTGTTGTGCAAATACAAGCTGTGGCTCCCGCTGCTTTGATTTCTTTCAACACATCAATGCTTGGATAATAAAAGTCAGATTGGCATTTGTTGTTCATCCCTAAAATGCATTCATATCCTTTTGAATGTTGACATCAGGGGCCTTTCTCAAACCAGTGGCTCTCCTATTTTTACTCCACTACAGAGTTAAGTGGGACTGAAATAGTGGAGTGAAACTCTGCAGGGAGAGGTTTGAGAAGAGCCCGTGGAGTGGAAAGCTTTTGTTTACTACAACTCTCTGCGCAAGTCCATTTGTGGGCAACAAGGGGACTACATGTCTCATCACTTTGCAGGAACACTTCCTCTTGTGTCCTTCATGTCAGACCTTGTCACTACCATCAGCTGAGCCGTGCTGAGTGTCCGTCCTTTGCCTCGTTAATGAATATTGGAGAGTGATTAGATTGCAGAGTCCTTGTGTTATGCAATAGCAGGATTATGCAAAACACTTGTTCTTTGCCATTCATGCTCTAACATGCGGTTGCTTGTTAATTATTTAGCAATGGTTGCTCATGGAGTTAACATATACAACTCTAACGAAAGGCTGCATATCACATTTCCAGGATGTGTAGTTTCCAGTCCTCAATCCTGATCCTTTTCTACTTATCGAGTGTTCATTCCAAGAATAAATACAAGACTTCTACATGAAGCTTTCTCAGCGGGCCTTGTGCTACCTGAATGACTAAAGCTGTAATGACACATAATCCCTAAAGCTTTTATGTTAGCGCGTACTTTTCTGTGTAGAGTTCTGTGCAAGCGCCTGGTGTGACCTAAACATATTGTAATGAAAAGGTTAAGATGCTGCCCAAATGTGACAGTAATACCCGAGAGATAAAACAAAAGGTCAGCTGCTAATAAAAGCTGTGTTCTTAAAAAAGGTGTATGAATTGGTAAAGGCATAATGTAATGTGAGCGGGTCGTCAAAGGATTGGGACCCTGAAATGATGTAACTGATTAAAAATGAGTGTTTCTTCTCTTAAAAATAGTCTAAATCACTTTTACTTTCAGCTAACCCAGTGTTCTTCTTAGAAGTAGCAAATTTAGCGTATTTTCACATTCATCTGAACACTTCCAGCGATGGTAAAAGAAGGTAAACAGGACGCATGAATCACTGCTTCTAATTGAATTTTTCTGTCTCATCACTGTCAGAGTCTGTGTCATGCACTGTTCCATTTATCAGTCTTTGGACGCCTCCATAACCCATGCTGTGCTCTGTCTGTGAAGTGTTAACTTCATGTGCCGTGTTCCATTTGTAGATTTCCTATTGAAGCCCTGAGTTTTTGTGTCTTTTACCTCTCTTACTTGTTCTTGCTGCTGTTTTCTTGGTTTTCCTCGCTGTAAACAAACCAGTATTGAGTTCAGCTGAGTTTTTTTTACCTATTGATACAATTACAGCCCCTCCAGAGTCTGTGTATAGAGCTACATCCTTGGCAATGGTCTGTTCTTCATAGCAGCACTGGGATTCTGAGAAACACACCATTGCTATGAAATGTTGCTTTGTCATGACCAATCAGAATTTAGTGCTCAATACTAATGACTAATAAGTAACTACACAAAGCATATGCACATGTACCGTAACATTTGGTGTTTAAAGGAATATTCCGGTGTGAATTTAAGTTATGGTCAAACACACCAAGGTAGACACCCCCTTGAGAGATTAATGTTGCCAACTGCTTGCTTCTCTAGTTATACCAACTTTATTAACGACCGCACGATAGCAGTACACAGCAGTCTACGTTTCCACACGCAAACTTCAACCAAAACGCCACTCTATAGCCTCAAACAATGCTCAGAACAGGACCTGTCTTCATCAACAGTACATATAGGGTCCCAGCCGTAGTACTAGTACTAATAGTACATCAAACATCTTTTTAACTTTGCTTGGTTTCTTTAGCAAAGAGACCAAACACAACTCACCTACTCTCTTCCAGCAGCCGCTTGTTTGTTGGGGAGCCCTGATGAGTTGATCACCAAGTGCTGCGGAATTTCGCAGCTCAAAGAATAACATTTATGATTATTACTTAAATCAGACAGAGTCGCTAAGGCAGACGAACTACTGCGTCTGCAGTGCAAAATGATTATTATGATGATTATTTCTTCACTCGGTGATCGAGTCGTCAGGACTCCCCCACAAACAAGCGGCTGCTGGAAGAGAGTAGGTGAGTTGTGTTTAGTCTTTTTGCTAAAGAAACCAGGCAAAGTTAAAAAGATGTTTGAAGGCTAGTACTATGGCTGGGGCTCTGTACTGTTGATGAAGTTAGGTGCTGTTCTGATCATCATTTGTGGCTACGAGTGGCTTTTTGGTTGAGGTTTGTGTGGATCTATGGATCCATAGACTGCTGTGTATTGCTATCGTCTGGTCGTTGCTGAAGTTGGTGTAACTAAAGAAGCAAGTTTCGGCAACATTCATCTCTCGAGGGGGTGTCTTAAGTCAGTGTTTTGGTGTGTTTGACCATAACTTAAATTTACGCCGGGATGCCCCTTTAAGATGCGTTTAAAGTCCTCGTTCTTTTAGCACTTTTAACAAATGCAACACAACATAACACAGTAGCAGTCTTCCACCGAAATGGGTCAGGCTTTCCTAAAACTGTGGTACAATTTGCCCTGCCCTGCAGTGGATAGCAGATGTATAGCCATCTGCTCCAGGCAACACAACCACTCACCCCGTTCTTTTCTCCTCTTGGTCCAGATGCAGAGCGAGAGTGGACGGGACCATTTTGCTTCATCCAAGCTGCAGATCCACAGCTCGGTCTGATGAAAGCGTGGAGGGAGGGCGACTGCGATGGCGGAGGGGACGAATGGGCTGAAGAAGTCGAACTCACCAAGCAGGCTGTGGAGGCTGTGAACCAGCTCAGACCTAGGCCTAAGTTCATGGTGCTATGTGGGGATCTGGTCCATGCCATGCCAGGTAGGAGGAGCACGTAAAGGACAAAGACTGCATAATTAAAAACCGTGAAAACTACAAAGATTTGAAGTATGATTTAAATAATACTGCTTTTTCAAGGACGACGATTGCTTTGGATATATGTTATTAAAAGCAGTTGGGCTCTGAGGTCGTAGTGAGATGACAAGCCGTTTGAAGTTTTCTTTTAAAGGAATAAAATATTCTAATGTGTTTTAGTTCTCGGAGCGACAAAGACCTGCTGAGCGCTGGAAACTTGAACAGCACATGCTCTCTACTGAAAAAAAAAACAGCAGCAAAGAGAGGCTACTAACTTACAAGCCCACACTCCGTCAATAAAAACAAGATACTGACATCAACCAGAGTCGCTGCCAATTACCCGCCTCCTGTTTGAAGACATAACGTGAACTCACAGATGCTAGATTTGTGAGCTTTAACTCTGCTCAGACTCTTGTTAGACCAAAAACGACACAGCAGTGGTCTCATGAGTGTCATCTTGTAGCATCTGGTACACCATGGCAGGCTCATACAAGTGCTGCACTTGTTTTAAAGTGTTTGAAATGGCCCCAAAATTGAAGATAGGAGCAAACTGTTTATAAAACACACGCTGGGATTTTTGCACTTCTCACCATATCACAGATGAACTTTTTTTTTTATTTTTTATTTTTTTATATCCTCATTTGTATGCGAGACTACACAGCTGCACATTGACGGATTTTCTCAGCCAAAATTGGAGAGCTGGTTTTACATCAAAGAGATCAAAGGACGGTTGTGGGTAATGTAGGAAGTGATTAACAAACCCCAGCCAAAGCACTGTAACATAATTTAATGTTTGATCAGGCTGTCAGCCATCAAACAAAATCTAATCTCTTATTCCAAGAAAAGAAAACTGCTGCTCACCTTTGGCATTCCTGGGCATTGAACATTAATTTTCCTTCATATTGATGTATTGCTTTTATACACACAGCTCCTCAGTTCCTCAATATCACTGACATCTCAATCATTTTATACAGTAATCACTCAAAACAAGAGCTAAACGATGCAGACAGGTTGGCTGTAGCACAGTTTTACCCATAGATCCGGGGAGAACATTGGTTTGATATTGAAATCAACCACAGAAAAGTGGGTGCACAAGTGTTTATGGACAGCTTAGCCAAATTATTCAGAGCTCCCTCCACTAAATAGTTGCAGCATGGGTCATAAAGCCTGACTTCTCCACATTAACATTCCTTCATACATCCTGCTGCCTTCTAACAAGTGTAGTTTTAATAAGTTATTGGATATTAAAAAGATGGTTAAGAGACGGCTCTGTTGATAGTTCCTGCAGTCTTCTTTACCCGATTATCAGAGGAGGAGCAGGAGGAGAAAAAATTTAAACATTAGCTAATTTGCTCCTGACCTGGCTCCACCATTGCAGCATGTCAGAGGGAGTATTCTGGCTCCACATCTCACAATAGGAGGAGCATGGAGGCGTTGTGTCTATATTAATTTATAATCAATAAGATCCACTGACCATTTGCTGATCGAAGCAGTTCTGTTCCCCTACTCAACAATGTATTAATTCCCTTGGTCCAAACCTCTAAATGCTTCTGCTGATGTTGATGCAGGGTGAATACCTACACAATGCATCACTGGTTCAGTGTTTCACCCGGTAATAGCATCACCAACATGCTGGATATATCAAGTTAGTAGGCTGTGTCTAAATTTATCTTATTTACAAGTATTAAAGTTCTCCGTCACTAACGATGAATTTCCATCATTCGTCAAATAAGAGGCAAAAAAACCCTACATGTTTTTTTTTGTTGTTGTTGTCTTGTTAAGGCATCTGATTTAACAACCATACAGGGATTAACTGACAATGCCGGAGCCATAGTTTTGGCCAATCAGAGGCATAGAAGGACAGGCCGTGCTTGCCACTGCCTGATGGTTACGGTTACCAGAGTGCTTGTCAAAGTTTTGCTTGATCCCCAGAGAGTGGTGAAAGTTAACACGGTGGAAATAATGTTGATCTAACAGTCAGTAAGTCAGTCAGTCAGGCAGTCAGTCATCTTCATCTGCTTGTCTATTACTGGGACGCGGGGGTGGGGCAGGAGACAAGGTTAATGGACAATACACACATACACATACACATAGGTTGATGGTCTGATAATATGATTTAGAGTAGAAAACATTTTCAGTCCTTTTTTTTTTTTTCTTTAATTCCTGCATTTATAGCAGCAGTGTTCCTCACTCATAGATGATTGCACAGCACGCCACCCAAGTGTATATAAACTATGAAGATCTCATATTAGAATAATTTATTTTGTTGTTATTATAATTTATTTATTTATAGATTATTTTGATTATTATCTCATATAAAAGGAAAACTTACTGTATTTGCACATAAAAGGCATTGTACAAAGTGTGCAGTGTTTTATTTTCTATGGAGTGTGAAGGTTGCTCTGCTCACCTCTTTTCTACAGTCAGTTCTAATTTTTGTCCGGCCCAGCAGGAGATCGATTTCTGATTAGGCAAGAGAACTGTTCTGAAGGAGCTATTATACCTCTGTCAAACATATTTGTCACAATAGTGGAGTAGACAAGAATGCCTCTGTATGAAATCATTAAGATTTCATGCTGTTTCAGCCTTGTAACTTGAAAAATGGACATGCAGTGTAATTTGAGTCTCATCATGAGGAGCTCCTGACATGTTTTTGCCTCGAGCAGAATTTTATACTCTTGACCTCAGAGCAGCAGGCAAGAGAGATGCATGTTGACCCTTAAAATCAATGCATGATAGAGTCTCAGGCAGTATTTTGACATTTGAGCATAATATTTGATATTACCCTAAGGATTCGATCATGATTAATATTGGTCATGAAACATAACATGAAAACACCAAAACAGCTGTGATTGGGGATGTTCCAGGATGACCACTGTCCTAATGATTGAAAGTGTGATTTAGTATTGGGCCAACAATATCTTCTGATCACTTTATCAGTCAGGCTCTAAATTATCCGATCATTTTGTTGTGTGGTATATTATTAGAGTACATTTCTGAACCCTACTTGAAAACCGATGCTCATCATGATTGGTCCACTGTTGCAGATTCTCTGATCTGCCGTTAGCAGGAGCTGAACAAGCTTGCTGGCATTCATCACTCTTAAAAGAGACTGGGATATGTGTGATGTACACACTTTGTGTATTGATGAATGTATTCTTAGCTGCCTTTGGAGATGGTCCTAATCTAATTAAAGCACTCTGTGAAGATCATCAGCTTTGGGATAGTTCAGCTGTAGAATATTTCTCATTTAGGTCTGTTTGAACATTAGTCTTCTGTTTCCCATTAGAGTCTGTAAACAACATTCTCCCCTATGACAGCAGCTGATATTTATCTATGAAATAGCACTGGCCTTCTGGCTGTTCCCAAAAAAGTTTAGCTTCTGTGCAGATGAATATTTCAGCTATTGATTAAGGGAGACTCACTTTAAATTCCTTTTTCAGTTCTGAAAATCCATATAAGCTCGCGGCAGAGGTGATTCCAGGTGATAGAGGGCTGTAGCCAGGTAAAGAAGTTAGTTTTCCGCTTTATTCACAAACCCTTGTTTGTATACACAGACCCCATAAAAGCAAACAATGTTTATCTTTATCACTTCTCCGTTTGCCTTGAAGCTCCCTGTATTAGTGCAAGATTTTTCTTTGTTGAGACAAATCAGCCGCTGAATACTGGTTGCAGACTAATAAGTTTGTAAATAATGTTGAACAGTGGTGTGGTTTCTCGCCATCGGTCTTGCAGGGTGAGTTCAACATGTTAGATGTCTTAGAGCCAGGACAGCAAGGCGACTTAATTTGCCACAGTGGCAGCTGGTTTTTCCCAATTCACCAGATGCTCCCTCTGTCAAACCAGACAAATAGATTTTCCGAATAGAGCTGGCTCCGGAAGAAAAAAAGTTAACTACCTCCAGAAATGGCTCAGCGAGAAAACAAAATCATATATCAGACTACTTCTCACCTTGTTTGGAACCGGCAAACTGGGTGTATTCCTTCTGTCTGTTTGTATCTCTATGATGGTGGTGACAGATTTACAGCGATTAATCTTGACATGTACGTAAAAACAACCAATTCCACATATAATTGAAATACCTGTTAAAGCATCAGACTCTTGTTACTCTGTAGAAGAAGAGCAAATAGACACCTTGATTAAAGTGTCAGTAATGAAATTGGTTAGCATGGCCGTGGGGGGCTTATTTCTCGATGTCCAGCTGCCTTTTGGATAACAGGACAGGATGAACAAGGAGCCTGCTGCAGCGTCAAATGTTCAGCAAAAAGAGCCACAAGCGCCTGACAAATTCTTACTACCTTTGCATGACAATTAGCATGAGCTGCCTGGAGAAATGGGCACGAAAAAGGAGTCAGAGAGTGAATCTGTCTCTGTGTCCATCTCTGCCTCCTCTCTTTCTCTCTCTCTTTCGGTGCCTGTGTGCTCTTGTGAGGTTAGATTGTGATGAAAGTAACCGTGGCCTTGATACCCGTTTAAAGTTGACATAAGCTACTGAGCAGAAGGAGAATATTTTGTTGAATTTGGTGCAGTAAAGTTGGCCTCTGTTTTTGGAATTTGACTCAAGGCAAACTATTTATATACAACACAGATTTGGCTTGGATAAGACAGAGAATAACTCTTGCCCTCCTCTTCTTTTTTTCTGGGTCATTATGACCGCCATTTTTAGTTAAACATGAACGCTCCTGAAGCCGTCTCCCCCATCATCTTGGAGTCTTGCTGTAGGCGTCCAAGTATCCCTATCATCTCCATGACTGCACCACTTAGACCGCAACATGGCCCTCGTCCATTTTCCCACATCCCTCCCTCGGCTCCTTCTGATCAGCTGCATTTATAGGTCACAGCAAGATCCATTTCAGATGCACAGTAGGATAGTAGATTGTGTTAGCATGGGGTTTAAACCGCGAGGCCTCGGGGACCTTTAAACATTGTAGCTTCAGCCCTTGTTAATGTCAGTTCTAACAGAGCAGGTTGTGTGTGCCATCCTCATTACTCACCACGTCCGTCACTCGCATGGCAACCAGGCTGTAGCATCGGTAGAGATATTTTAGCCAGAGCTGCTCCCTCCATCTCTCGGCTGACATTTCCCCTTAAACTGTTTATTTACAATAAAGAATGAATGGGTGGCGGCCAGGGGAAGCTGGCTGTCAACCGGCATTGTCAACACTGCTGGCTGCCGGCGACAGGAAATTGGCAACTGTATTTTCTGTTCCCACGGATTTCACTCTCTCTCTTTCTCTCTCCCTCTCTCTCCTCGTCTGGGTCGCTCTCACATTCGCTATTCCGGTCTGTCTCTTTCTCTCTCATCTGCCTGTTCCCTTTAGTAAACAGCTGTGGTCTCATGCCTCATACCTTATTTTGACAACCTTCATTTGCAAGTGTGACAGTACACAAACACACTGATTTATTCCTGCCTCTGATGAATCTATTTGAAGCATCTATTTGAATTAAATCTGCAGAGGAATGAAAAGTTCTGTTTGATCTTGTAATTGTTCTGTTACAACAGTAAAGAAAACAATGGGCCTGTTGCGCTCATCAGTATTGGTTTGTACTTTAGACTTCAATACAAGACAGGAAAACTGAAGGCTTACTACAGCTGTAATGTCTTCTCAATGACTCTTCTGATTTAATTTTTCTTTCTAGTATCTATTTTTAAAAACCTAGTTGACTCAGCATTATAATCTGCCTGTAATCAGTAGACAGTTTTGTGGGGCTAATCATTTTTTACAAGGGGTGGTGGATACATTGACTAAGACTCATCAACAGCAATTTGAACTTTGTCAGATAATAGAGATATGCCAAACCTTTTTCTTTTCTATACAAACACCTGGACCTGAGATTTGGCTGGTAAAAAAAAAGAAACTAGTGTAGTCATTAAAGATGTAAAAGCACTAATAGTTGATTGACTTATTCCGACAACACATCTAATTTTTAACTGCAAAGAACACCAAGTTTGTCCTGTACTAGAATATACCTGTTACTCTCATTGAGAGGGTCTATTTTTTTAGTAAGACATCAAAACAAGCATTTAAAATAAAAAATACTCTTCTCTGAATGAAGACAGTAGAGACATTTACATTTAAAATTTACTTTTAATGGATCTGTGCCATATTTCTCAGCTTTGTTGAATGACTGTTGTTGTAGCTTGGGACAGGTATTTGCCAGGTGCTTACACTTTATTATTCTTACTTTTTAGAAACTCTTGATGCTGCTCAGGGTCACAGTTAAAGAGATGTAGAGAGAAATTGGAAGTATGACAGAAGGAATATTTTCTTCTTCTCATCACCCATGCTTTACAACAGTGGTTCTCAAGTCCAGTCCTCGAGCCCCCCCTGTCCTGCATGTTTTGGATGTTTCCCTGCTCCAACACACCTGATTCAAATGATCAGCTCATTATCAAGCTCTGTAGTGGCTTAATAACGAGCTAATCATTTGAATCAGGTGTGCTGGAGCAGGCTTACTTTACTTTACTGGCTCACTTTTGTCCATCATCACTTGACCGACTCTCTGTTGGAAGGACATCAAAATAAATACAGACTTTCCTCCAAAAGCTATTATGTCAGCCATCCTAATTAGGAGGCTATGAGTACACTTGCACACTGAGATGAGATGAGATGAGATGAGATGGGACTAGATGCAATGAGATGAGATAGGACTAGATGAGATGAGATGGGACTAGATGAGATGAGATGAGATGAGATGGTTGTACCAAACTAATCAAATACATTCACAACAACAACCAGCCACAGGTTTACTCCTGTAATTTATAGTGAGGAAGAGATGGGGATATTTCCATGATCATACAAACTTACTTCATTTTCTTATTCTGACAAAGAGACTGACGGGGATGGCACAGAGTTAGAGTTGATCGATTACCTGAAGGACTCTAGGCTTTTGTAGAAAAGCCTTTGCTTTCCAGCAGCTGCTTTCAACTTGTAGCTGTTATTTCTGTGAACTGGAATGACATCACATTATTGGTATCTTAAAATTTGCTGATCTCAGTTGAAGAAAAAGGTCTTTCTTTGATTCCTTCTTCTGTTAAATGGCACTTTTCTAGCTTTCTGACCACTCAGTAGCATTTTATCGTACTTTTCAACTTCAACGTCTCACACAAACACGCACACTAATGCACTTATTGCAAAAGCTTACATAGAAAGTAAGTACCAAGCAGCACATCAGTACTAATGTAACCCCATTCACGCTTATTCACTCCCAGTGGTTTTTCCTTCAGGTACATTAGGGCTCAGTGTCATTCTTCATCCGGAGAACACTTCAAATATGGACTGGAGTAGCCAGGGAGTTGATCTGTCAGTTTTTAGTTTAAAAGATGGCCGACTAAATCTCTGAACCACAGCTACCCCTGTTGGAGTGTTAATTAAGCACTCAAACTCGCAAGATAAGACAGAAACCAGACTGGTGTAAAGGGGTTCATTTGTGTCCAGTCCCTGAGGTTTGCAAGGTACAATCTAACTCTTCAAAATGTAAAATCTTGTTTTTTCTTGCTGTGAAGATCCTGGCATTTGTGCTTTCCAGACCTTTCCTGATGCGATACTCCTTGATCCCAATTCCCCCGTCTCCACTCCAATCTAAGCCAACCCTCGAGAGACACTTTCTCATCTCAAGGACTTCCTTCAATCTCGCCTCTCTTCCTCTCCTTCTCCCTCTCGTTACTTCTCCCTCACTCTCTCTGTCTTTCTCTCACTTATTTTTCAAAGCTGACAAATGAAGAGGATAAAGAGCAGGGAGGAGGGTGGAAAGGGAGGAAGAGGAGGAGGGGGGAGAAGAGCAAGATACAGAGCTGATTAGATTAGAGAAACATGCTGGACTTAACATTCTCCTAATGAGCACTACAAAGGATTCAAGCAGGGTCTCAGGGGCTTCGTGAGGAAAGTTATGCATGATACACAGAAGCTCTCGTGTATGTGTGTGCATCTGCATGTGTGTAAAACTCAAAGGTGAAGTGGAGGTTGCCTTGGGACGTCCCTGTCCTTCTCCATGTCTTTGGGAACCTGATTAATTGCAGTTGAAGGCAGTTACAATGCAGGTCTCTGAGGGCTCCTGGAGCAGGGACAATAAGAAGACTGTCCGGAGAGGATTTTCTTTTAGGGAAATATGGAAGAGTTTTGGATTTTTCTTTTGGTGTGGGTAGTTTAGAGATGGTGTGTGTTTTTTTAATGAGATAGTCCAGTCGTGTGTGGGCAGTAATAGGTCTGCCAGGGGTGCTGAAATTTGGAAATGTCTCTTTATTACCATTTCCCCACCACACTCCCTGGGTAGCTGGGATACTTAATTCATCAACTGAGCTCCAGTTTTGCCCTTGGGTCTCTTCTATGTTAGACGTGCCTGGAAAACCTCTAAAGGGAGACACCCAGCAGGAATTCTTAAGGTGCCAATGTATTTTACTAGAAATGCTTAGGAGATCAGAAATTTCAGAGATCACAAGGCCTTTCCAACACTGAAATAGTGGAGGGCTGCATTTTGAAAAATTGATGCAATTTTCTGAAGCACACAGTCTGGAAAAGATGAAAAGATTTAAAAGTTGTGTACAAAACTCAAAGGCTGGGGCTTTGATGGTTTATGGGATGGTTCCCCTCTATAAACAGTAGGTTGGAGGTTTTCAAAGCAACACATATCTTTGTCATTTAAATGGAAATGTGTATTTTAGATAGCCGACTAGCCTTGAAAAAGGGAAAACTTTAAAAAAACTGTAGTAACTGAGAACAGTTTATTAAACACAGTCAAACAAGGGATCACTACAGCTGTGGTCAACAGTGTATTATTGTTGGTAGAGTGTTGCTAACATTAGCAGAGCTAGCACCCCCAGCTAGCTTTCAGTCTTCATTGCAAGTTAACATCAACATCTCTGCGCCGGTAACAAACTTCTCTCATCATATGGTTTAATTCCAGTGTAACCACACACAGCCTATGTTTAACTTTATTTTCCAGATCAAACTATACTACACCGTAATACACCATCCGTCATTTGAGCTTGTTTAAACACAGGAAGGGTATCCAAAACCAGTTCTGTAACAGAACCTCTAGTCATTGTAGAGGTTTGCTGTTATTCTCAAACTAGGAATTGTAACGACGTCCTCTTAATCCAACTTTGTGTTGCAGAACAATGGCGGGCTGCATTGCGAGAGGTATTTAGCACAGATGACAACCAAGAATCGTGGTGGAGAGAAAACAGAAGCGACCCAAAACAATGAATCTTGTTGGTCTTGTAGCATCAGTTCTACAAGAAGACCCAAAGACTTTGTAAGTTTGACAGCTTTCCACCAATAAACTGTGTTTCTTTAAAATACAGGGCTTTTGTATCCCACGAAATAGACCCGATGATCTATGCTAGAGGAGGGCTGCCATCTTTGTTATGTTCTTTCAACCAATCAGAGATTTTGTTGACTTTTGCTGACTTATAAGGGCCCATCTAGAAGCCAGGCTTTCCTGTCTCAGCAGAGCAGTAAAAGTAATAAAATGTGCGTTGTTGACACAGAAAACTGCAAAGAAACATCCAAGTTGTAGAGTTCTCAAGCATTATAACTGTAGCCATAAACCGGCTTTAGCTGGTGTCAGGTTGCTGTCCTGCAGAATTTCAGGTTTACAATGATAAGAAATCTTCCAAAGGTACCAGCCAGGATAGTTGTGGTGAAAACACCAGAGGGGGAGGCTCAACATAACCTTGAAAATAGAGGGGCTAGGGTCACAGAGATCCTATAATTTGTTTACAGTGGCCAACGATGAGTGTTTGACAGTCCAGCGTACTGAAATACGACCAGTTTGTGCGCATGTGAAAGGTTGTACTATTCATCTAATGTAACTTAATCTCCACCATCTCGTCACTGCCTGCAGTCCGCTTCCACATCAGCACAAGCTGTCAGTGCAGGTTGAAACTCCAGTTAGTCACAAATATAAAGGTCCCCACACAATGAAAGCTAAGTGGAGAAAATGTATACGACAGCAGGGACCCCACACACTCAGGCCTGTGTGCAGTCTCCACAGTCTTTAGGAGAAATTGAGAGGAGTGCTTACAGTGTTGGACAGGCTCAACGAAAACCTGCCAAAGTCTCCTGTCAGGGTTTGAGAATCACAGTGTGGCAATCTCATTAAACGAACAAGGCCTTTCACTCAGTGCTCCAGAGAGAGCCCAGAGCTGCATTGTGTTTTTATATCCATATACCACTCGGTACATATACAGTACACTGCTTTTACAAAAAAAGAAAAGGTGGTAGTAAATGTATGCAGCAAAATGTATTGGTTATAAAAACATGTAATGAGCTTCCATTCTTTCCTCTGGGTAAATGGAACCTCTCGTGTTATTAGATAATCATATTTGCAGCATCTATTGACCTGCTTTGCATATTTGTAGGTAGTTTTTTATTAAAAAAAAAAAAGCTTTATAGTAATGGGCGCATATCAAACAGCCTCCTCTCTCTTTGCATATTGACACTATTAGCATCGGGAGAGGGGTTATACATATATCAACAACCTACAAATGTTTAACGGCTGCTGCCTGAACAGTGTCATTCCCAAAAACACTCCCCATTCATCTTAAGCAAGGTGTCCCGAATGCAGATTGATGGGGTTCTGTACGGTCGAGAATTGGTTTGCCCTGTGAAGTGCTCCTGGATGATTCATGGGTGTTGCTATCTCAGTGGATGGCTGTAGCTGGGGCAGGCAGCTGGAGGTGTGAGGAAGCAGAAGGCGCCTCAGCATCCCTGCCCCATCGTGTTTGGCCACCAGTGCTATTTTTTCTCATTCATTTATTCTGGGAAAGTAAAGTGCTTCACACTCACTCAATGACACATTCACACTTGGGTGGTGTCAAGCATTAAACAATCTTTTGTGTGTTTAGCTCCTGACCAGCTCCACTGGAGCAGCTGACAAGGTCAGGTTTCCTACGAAAGGGCACACTGCTGGTGTTAAAGAGATGGTAAAGGACTTCTCATCCACCTCCACTCTTAAGATTTCTTCAAGACCAGGAAAAAGCCACCTTTTGTTCGCTAAGATCGGCCTTCATATGTTCGTTGTGATCAAGTAGAAGACGTCAATGCTTCACACAAATTGTACATCCTTTATATGTTTGGTAGTCATAAAGTACAGTCAGTTTTATCCATTGTTGCTGTGGATGTAAGGTATAAAATTTTGGAAGTTTAGCCAATAGCATCAAAGTAGTAAATTAAGTTATGTTTTTATCGCTGAATTCCCGTCAGTAATCGATTGCTAACATTTCCAAAGGAAGAGGAATACTTTGAATTTGTGTCCCAGTTTCAACATGCCCACCAAGCACTTGAGATAGCCTTGCTTTTTACCTGTTGTGTTCATGTATCATTCGGCTTGGACATCATGCAAACTTTGTGCTGGAAGTTTAAAGCCAATTTACAGTTATGGAGTCATTTCAGGAGTCATTTCATGGATAAATTAAACCCCACTGTTTATTAGTTCTCTAAATATAACACAGTCAAGGAAATAGGGGTGTCCCGATACACCTTTTTTTTTTTTTTTTTACCTCTGATACAATACCAATATTGTAGCCTTCAGTATTCGCCGATACTGATATTGATCCAAAATTAGCACAAACTTGTGCATTACAAGTTTTGCACTCGGCTGCAACATCTTTTTCGGAATCAGCCGAAAAATACAGCCACACGGCCGACATCACTTTACTCCTTGCTACTTTGTTAGTACCTTATTACACACTATGGTTGTGATCACGTGGGTTCTGCATGTTGGATCCAGGTGCTGCTAGATAGAGGCGCTGGAGTGGAGTCTGGAATGGACTGCTTGCATCAGAGTGCTTATATCGGAGATTTAAAATGTAGGCTGATTTAATCCGATATGTGTCTCTTTGCTGATATCAGACCAATAACTGATATCAATATCGGGATAGCCCTAAAAGGAAACTTGATTGACAGATTAGTAATACCTAACTCTGTCAAAGTGTTATTGGACAACACCCATTTTGTAACATTATCACATGATTGGGTGTGAAAAGGTCTTTCCAGAGAGACCGGGCCTCTTCAAAGTAAAGGTGAGAAGACGTTGACCAGTCTGGGAGAGGAGACTGAGTGGGGAAATAGTTCAGCAATGCTAGGTGCTACTATGGTGCATAATCAATCAATCAATCAACTTTATTTCTATAGCACATTTAAAAGAACCACAGGGGTAGCCAAAGTGCTGTACATTGTGACATAAAAACAAATAAAACAAGCAAAGAACAAGATAGATAATGTCATCAGAAAGATCAGCAAATCTTGAGAAATCTCTGTACAAAAGGAACAAGGCTAATTTCTTATTACTGGTTTTCAGCCCAGCAGGTGGTACTACATCAAAAATAGACATGACTCTGTCGTGGAAGTCACTGCATGGGCTCAAAACCAGATCCAAAACAACTGTTTGTGAACATAGTTTTTCACTAATGCAGGTCTGTACCAAAACTGTACTATGTTAGGAGGAAGCAAGACATATAGATAATCTAGAAATGCTGGTGACTTGTAGGTTATCTATTGAAGTGTCCTCTGCACCTGATCGTGTCACCAGTGGTAGTGACAATTGACAGCTCACTCTACAATCTTCAATATGTGAGGAAATTGATAAACAGCACACAGAGGCAGCTGCACCACAAACCTGAGCAGGAATCGGGGAATAAAAGCTTCACACAGATTGTGTTTTCTATAACAAAAACAGACTTCTTGTCTTCCTTTGTTATCTGAGGGCCTGTTTGTCTGTGATGTTGTCAGTTTTGGAGTCTGGCAGGTGAGCGTAATTATAGGAGTGAGAAAGGAGAAGAGCAAGATTTCACCTTTTTTATCTGGATACATTCAGGCCCTACACTCTCTCACTCTGTCATGAACAAGATGTTCTGTCGGTAAAAGCTCTTATGTAATAAGTCCAATCCAAACATCCAAGGAAACGTTTGCTCCAAAAGTGGGCCAGTAAAATAATTACTCAGACGAATAAAAAGGAAAAGAAATACATGAAGAGGGAAAGAAAGGAATAATTTAAGAGCTAGTCTGCTAGCTTTGTTTGATATACATCCTGAATTATGAATAGAAATAAGTCTCAGCCACTCTGAGCCCTTTACCTACTCTGGGACTGAGTTAGTTTTACTCAAAGCATCCCCCTCCTCCCTGCACACTTCTCCTTTCTGTGAACTCTAGGCTTGGCTCTGAGATACTCCTGATTGAAATGCAACAAACAAATGAACACAGTACTAAAGGGTTTGTAAAACCATCAGTCTTCTGTATCTCAGACCAGTGAACCTGATAGGATGAGTGGCTAGCTGGGTTTTGCCATGTGAACTGGGGAAGCGTTCACCAGAACACTACTTACTCATCATGTCCGTAACCATGGTGATATAAAGTCGAGCTGTACAGAGCATTGATCATTCCCTGAGCTGTCATCATTATCTTCCAAATAATCCCCCTTCCCTTAGGCGACGCTCGCCTGTAGTACCCTCCACACTCTCGATCTGACACTTTTCATCAACACCGGTATAAATTTCTCCCTCTGTCTTTTTTCTTATTTATTCAGCCAAAGCAAAATATTATTATCAATACTAATAATCAGGCATGGATTTTTCTGATCCCTGTCAGTGTAATTTTTTTTCTTTTGGTTTTTGTACAAGGATGTCTCTAACCACAAACTCATTTGTCATGCAGAAACTGAGCTGATGTTCTCTTTCTTCCCCAGACACCCCATTCAGAGAAGGTCAGGAACGAGACCTGAAGGCGGCCTTGAAGGGGACGGATCCCTCCATTCCTCTGGTATTTGTCAGTGGGAACCACGACCTTGGAAATTCCCCCACTCCCAGGACAGTGGAGCAGTACTGCAATGCTTGGGGCGATGACTATTTTAGCTTCTGGGTAAGCGGACACAGAAGGCATTTAGCCAGAAGCAGTAGAATAACTGATAATAATGGAAAACTTATGATAAACCTGAGCTCAGATCTGTGAAGAAGACCCATTTTGTAATAGTCATAGCAAAAGACTCAAACTTGACACCTGTTTTCCTCTTCCATGTTCACAGAAGCAAAACACATTCAGCCAGAGATCCATTCATTCCTGTGTGAATCTGTGTAATATTCAATGTGCATTCCAAACTCTTCCCTTTTGTATATTTGAAATGTGTAATCTACTTTGAGTACATTGAAAAATTGAATTTTTTGGATAGACTTCTGAGAAACCACATGGCTGAGTGTGTTTTTAGCTAATAAGCTGCTAGCTCGTGAGTAGGCTACCAGTCCAGCTGCCCTTCTGATTGGCCTGTGAGATTCTGTGATTAATAGGAAGTGGAAAACACATCTCAGTTGCTTTTGTGTTGATTGTCAAGTGAGTTGTAAGATGAGTAGGATTATGTTTATCTGAGTTATGTTGCTTTGCCAAATATGCTATTTATTCATACCATGTTTGCAGTCCCATTTATTAGTTATCAGGCAAAATTATCCTCTCCTCCATAGCTACAGGTAGATTCTGTGGTTTCTATCCATCCTTAAAGAAATGTATGTCTTTGTGTTGGACAGTAGAGGATCATCTGTTTACTTACAGATCTACGGCTAGCATAGCGTAAGTAGAAAAAAGGCATTAGATTACATCTATGTATAAAACTAGGATGTAGTCTCATTGATAACAACCAGTGATGCCTGTAGAGTCAGTGCCCTTGTTATTCCTCGTTATGCATAACTCTAAGTCTCAAGGTCCTTACACACCAGGAGCGTTTTTTTCGTGTGATTATTTCGGACATCAATATTTTTTTTTCGAACCCGTATCCTGTCGTTTTCCTGTCCTGCGATATTGTGGCATGTATTTTTTTTCGTATCATGTTCGAATTTTCTTAAGTTTCGCATACTGTGTGTCCAATTCTGTCCAATCAGATTTCGTATTTTTGCGACGTCTGATTCACCGGTATATCCAACATGGCCGACCGGCTGATGGTTTACGTGTCGGAGAACAGAGTGCTTTTTGATAAAAAACACAAATATTACAAAGATAAGAACCTGAAGGACAACTTGTGGAGAGTCATAGCGACGGATTTCTCATATGACAATGTTTGTGTGCTTTAACAGTTTGCTAAAAGTCTTTGTTTTAACTTTTATCTGTGCTAAGTAACTTTAGCTCGTAAGCTAACCTGTTCAGATACAACATACCATATGTATTTTCACAGTCTCAAACTCAATCTCGTTGCTGTCAAAGCACCATTAGGTCTCGGTTGTTACCTTACGTTTATGTATTATAGTTTAATGTGCTTATCTGGTACTGGGCCTGACTCAGTACATGCGATCATGACAGACAGCCATCTCAACACTAGTGTCTAATCAGAACTGAAAACAGTCAGTCTGGTGTTGGGTCAGTCTTCTCGCTTCCACCCGGAAAGTCGCAAAATCGCATCGCGCTTGATGTGTATAGTCAGACGCGTCAAAATTGGCCTCTGAATATTTCTTAATTTCACGTCATATATTTGTGTTGCTCCTGGTGTGTAAGAACCTTCAAAGTACAACCCTAAATCAGCTTTACATATACAGTAGGTCAGGTCATGTGTGCACCAAATGCTTGTGTAAACTGAAGTTTTTTCCTTCAGCACAAATTATGAGGTAGAAAATGCATCAGTTACAAATGCTAAAAATAATTGCGGAAATATAAATATTGAGAGGCTGAAGATACATATTGAAAATAACCGTTTTGCCTTTTCTGCATAAGTTGTTATAATCTTGAATAATATACTCTCTTCTTCCTTTTGGGGTCTCAGGTGGGTGGGGTCCTCTGCCTGGTTCTGAACTCCCAGTTGTTCTTTGATGCTTCAGGCTGCCCTCAGCTGAAAGAGACCCAGGAGACGTGGCTGGAGGAGCAGCTGAGCAGAGCCTCCTCTTTGTCGGTAAAATCACATCAGTGACTTAACTTTATTCTTGTTTGATTTATGAAGACATTCACCCAGATAATGTCTTACTCTTATGTGTCTAGACTTTTAGATTACTGCCCCTTTCTGCTGCCAATTACCAAAACAATCGAATTTAGTTTTTTGGGATTAATACCTCACATCTGTCTCTGTTTAGGCACCCAAACCCAAACATGTCCTGGTGTTCCAGCATATTCCTCTGTACCTGAAGAGCCCTGATGAGGAGGATGACTACTTCAACCTGCAGAGGGGAGTCAGACAAAACCTGTTGAACAGGTTCAAGAAAGCAGGTAGGGCACTTTAAAATGTACAAAAAAAAAAGAAAACAAGAAATGAAGGGTTTCAAATTATTCATACACCTCATTAAAGCAAAAAGTCATAGAAAACTCATCAAATATTGAAACTGGAAAATTGTATTGCTCTATTAAAAAATTATGCTCACTTAAATTTGATGCCAGCGACACGTGTTTAGACAGGGACTTGTAGACATTGTATTGTATCACCACTTCTTTTGCCAACAGTCGGGGGTCTCCTTTGTCATGTTTTTCCTTTCTAAAATCAGCCAAATGTTTTCAGCTGTTGAAGTGTCAGGACTGCAAGCAGGACAATTTAGCACCTGGATCCTTTTACAACAAAACCATGCTGTTGTAATATGTTTGGCATGGCCTTGTTGAAATATGCCATCTCTTCCCTGAGAAAGGTATTGTTCTGGTGGCAGCATATGTTGCTTGAGCACCTGCATATATCATTCTCTGTTAAAGCTCCTATGAGAGAGAGAGATCAGAGAGATGATTGATTATTTGTATATAATATTTTTAAGCCTAAAACCTTAAAAATATTTTCAACAAAGAGTAAAGTTGACTGTCAATAGTCAGCAGGATGAGTTTTTTTTTTTTTTTTTTTTTTGTCAAAAGACACAAACTAAGTATTTAGAGAACAGGATATGCAAAGACTCGTTAGCTCAAAGGAATGCCAAAATTTGCACAAACCAAAAGTTCCTTTGAGAAGCTTTAATGGTGGACTCCTGGATGTATAAGCTATCCATGTCATTGGCACACGTGTCCCAATATTACCACAGATGCTGTCTTTTAAACTTTGCACTGTAGCAAGCCAGGTGTTTCCATTTCTTCTTGAGAGAAAAGGATATTAAGCGCAATCAGTCAGTGTAACGTTTCTGCTCCGTAGAGCAGTGCTGTCCATCGCACACAGGATGCGTATTTGGAGCGTCGCAGCAGCGTAGTGCAGCCCTTCACTGTGTAGATTGACACGTATTGAAAGTGTAGAGCTGTAAAAACGGACTTGGCGGGTATCTTTAGCAGAGCCACACTTGATCCGCTTTTGATACAGAGCTGTGACAGAGCAGAAACGCGTCCTGTATGCGATGCTGCATTGATTAGAATGGCAACCTATTTGCTGCGTGATACACAACGCTGACGTTACTCGCTCAATACGGATCCTGTATGTTTTAGCTTTTAGTTGATCTTAAATGAGCTTTGGCTCAGAGATGCAGGTTGTATTTCATATATACATGATTTCACCTCTGCGTGGTACAGTTTTAATCTGCATTGGATGGAGTAGAGGCAAACTGTGTTCATGGACAGAAGATGTTGGAGGTGAGTTGGAGCCCATGCAGTGACTTCCAAAATTGAAATGAAAAATATATTTTTCTTCATGAACAGAATCATTTTCCACTTTCAACATTTGATATGTTGTTTTTACACTATTTTTAATTAATAGTGGGGTTCAAGTGATTCACAAACTTTGTGAATCTTGACTCAGCAGCCCGCCTTTTTGGGATTGGGGTTGTATGTGTTTGACTTCAAGAAGTCTCAAAGATATAAAGGTTCTCCCCCCCCAAAAAAATGAAGGAGCTGCCTCTTATAAAGACCTTTTTTCAGCCATGGTTTTTCAAATTGGATGGATTTAGTCCATTCTGCTGTCTTAAATTTCTTATCTGAATACTGCTTAGCCATTATTCTTTTAAAACCTGTTCACTTCCAGCCTATCTAAAGCTCCGTTTAGATCTCAGCCCAGAGGATTATTATGCCATTAGCACCGACCACCAGAGGAACTGCTGTCACTGGCATAAAACACAGGCAGTAATTGAATTAATTAATGAATTCACTCCCCATAAGAAGAATAATACCATGATCAGAATCCACTGCTGAGAGCTTATCAGAGTCTGGTACAAGGATATTGGACAGGGAAACTCTCCCAAGGACAGGGAGTGTGAACATGTCCACATTGCTGTAACCAGACAGCTCTGCACAGCTGATTGACAAGAGTGCTCATACAGACACGCACCTTTTAATCATGCATCAAGGTGACCATCAGAGAGTGATATTAATTTCATTACCAGACAATTATTCCAGCATGCATTAAAGCATGTTGGCCTGTTTTGGTCTGATGGCCTTCCTCCTCTCCCATAATTGATTGGGAACACTGGCGGAGTTTTTAAAGGGCATTCTCTCCATCCTTTCTGCAGGAACAGAGTGTATGTGCGGAACATGCTTTGCACAAGTGTCCTTTCACATCCACACTCTTGTTCACACCCCTCATGTCTGCAATTATACATTCAGACTACATACAGAACATGTACTGTATGAGCTATATGCCTCCACGCGCCGCACATAGTTATTAATAACGAATGGGGGACATGCGCCCACTTCCTGAAAAGCTGCGTTCACAACATGGCTTTCCCGTATCGGTTTGCACATTCATGGGTAAGTACAATAAATGGCATTTCAGATTCCTGCAAGAGAAAGAAGAGATATGATTTTGTGCAATCTGTGATTTATGTTCGAGTAGTCGTATTTTACTCGTGCAGCCTCTGTCCAGCTCTGCCCCATACATAACAATAGGCCCCTGCAAAATGTCAGCCTCTATCGCTTGTATTTATCTGCACATTTCTGTCTCCCCACAGCTGACGGAGACTTCCAATTTTTCTGAGAAGTTATCTGTCAATTTGGTGTCTCAGTAAAGATTTCTAGTCAATCAGATCATCTGCAGGAAAGTTAAGAAGCAAAGAAAAGTCTGATTTCCATATGAAAATAAGAAATATGAAATGAAATTTACAACATTCATTGTCATGAAAAGCTCTTGAGAAGTGTGAAACCTAAAGCAAAAATCCAACGACTTAACAAAAAAGCGAAGTTACACAAAAGGAATCCTTCCGCTTATTGTTGAATAATCCAGCCTTTGTCTCTCAGCTTCCTGTGCTCTCCTCTCATCCTCCTGCCTCTCTTCTTCACATAGTGGAAGGTTCTTGAAGGCTGATGGTATAACGTCTGTACCCTGAGTCCACTACACAATGTCCTTCAGGCATGATTGTCGAACACACCTGCTGTGATTCTCTCTTTATTGCACAGTTTATGGCAAAGCTATATCTGTACATGAAGATATCAAATGATAAGATTTTATTTTGTACAGCATTTTAGTCCAATTCTTTATCGATTCCCTCATCAATTCTTGTGAATTTTCTGTGTGGAGAAGAGTCTTAGTCAGAGGTTTGGTGTCAACAACACATATATTACCAAGAGATTTGTTCCCTTCACTGCTTAGCGGAGACAGGGAAGCCTGGCTTCTGCCTGTACAAATACACTCTGTGATTACTCAGCAGACCAAAACAAGACAAACATGATGGACTTCATCTTTTGTTATTGGGAATCAAACCCAGTTGTTTTGGCATTTCGACAAATCAGAATCAAGCATTTAACGCAGCCTGATTACAAAAAAATCTGTGTATTATTATCATTGGAAATCTTCAATTACTTTTAGTTTTCTGTAACCAAGCTCATTATCGTGAACAAAAATCTGGAAAACTAAAATGTCAAAAACATTTTTGTGAACTGGAATAAAGATTAAAATGAGTCTTTATAATAATACAGTAACTAACTTAAACTGCATTGTATGTTAGAGAAAACAACTATGATTTACATTAATAAAATTTTGTAGAGAATAACCCTCATCTTTGACACAGAAACACACGCTGGAGCAGCACTAGGAGTTTGGCTTTGGTCAGGACTGATACTTTTTTATTGAATTTATCTGTTTCATATCGGTAAGCTAAAAAGATCTTACTGAAAGTCTTTCTCTGAAACACTGACAAAACAGAGACAACCTTTTGACAACCTGCCAACTATTCATATTAATATTAATATTTAGTCATACAAGCAAAGCATACTGATGCTCCACAGATATTATCCTGATCACATTTTGCCCTGGATGGTAAAGGAAAATACATTTTGAGGACACTGTTACACCCATATCGTCATAGAAAATCTCCTTTTTTTAATGATCTGGATGGATTTACCTTTCCTAGATGTCAGGTAGGGAGAGGGATTATTAAAAGGGGGATCTACATTGACTTAATTGGAGCAGGAGTGATGCTCTACATAGATACTATATATCCTTGACAAGTTTTCGAAGTTATACCTGCAAGGTAAGACCCCGGTAGCTTGCTGTAATCCATCATCAGAACCCCTTCCTCAACATGGATTCATCCATTACTTAAATGATGTACTCAGAGTGAGGTACATGCTAACAAGCAGGGGTGTCCATACATTTCAGACTAAGGCAGCCCAGCCTAGACACTGACACTCCTGGGGTGGCATGAAATATATGAGCCTACAAACCAATAAAGAGCATGTATCATTTTAATCATATTATAACATTGGTGTAGTTAGTTTAAACAGAAATGCTGTCTCGTATAAAGCAAATAACCAAATAAGATCCTTTACTGAGGGTCTTTTCTACTCAGCGTAGAACTGTGTTTATTTTTGGTTTTTGTACACACACGTTTTGGATCAGTGCACACAAGAGAGAGAGAGATTTACTTCCCCCAACACAGATGCAGCCACGGCGGCGGGTAAATAAAAGCAGCGTAACAGAGTGATTTGTGACAGACAACAATGTAGATTGAATCTCAGTCCTCTGCTTGTTCTGCATTTGACACTTAAGTGCAGAGCCCGGCTCACTAACCAAAGAGCATCGCCTCCTTCCTGTGTCAAAGCCGGTGTCATTGTTAACGATGACGGTGAATTGTGTCACAGCGATCAGGTAAACTTGCAATTTCTCCTTTCCAAGTTTGTTGTCGGGGAACAACAGCCACAGCACAACAGCATCGCTCTTTGTGTGTCTGGGGCTGCGTGACTTAATCCCGGCACAGTTAGGACTCCCATCCTAGCCATAACAGTTCTACCTGCTTGAGGGTGTGTTTTCACTGGTCAGTCACTTGTCTTAAGTCCAAGATGATTTAGAAGAGGAAGCAAGCTGTGGCTGTGACTTGTGGCAATAGGAGCAGCTGTAAGCATTATGGAAAATCAAGGCTAGTTGTCGATTCAGTGATAAACACACTTCATTTTTTGACAAAATATCACAATTTAAGTCCCTATGTTGATGAAATGCTTTCATGGTGTATGTTCAGCTATAGTAAACAAGCACATGTGAAAGATGGTTTATGTGCAAAGTGCAGTTAACAGATATTTGGATCTTGAAAATAGAAGTCAAGTAATCTGTAGGTTGTATCTGTTACACTGACATGTAAGGCTGGTGGTGCTAGCTCTACTAATCTTTGCCAGATTCTGCAAACTATTTTGACATTGCTTACCTGCAGATATGATCCAGTGTGCTATAATTTGTGCACAGTTGTGTTTTTTTTTTTTTTTTACCTTGAAGTAGGGCTGGGTGATAAACTGAAAATTTACCAATACTGAAATTTATGACAATAACCGACATCGTGTTGCCCATATCGATATATTCAGTGTCAAAAAATACAAAAATAAAAGTTGGTTTTTGGATGTGTGTAGGTTGGCTCATGGTCTCATGTCCCTTTAAGACGCTGTCCTACATCAAAGATGTGACTCCACCCCGTTCGGTTTGTAACACAGAGGGAAAGACAGGTGAGGAGATGGAGGATGGTTAAAAAGTTGTAACAGCTGGAGCGGTGGCTGAAATAGACGGAGTTAATGTGGGAGGGGGTGATCAAGGTGAACTGCTCAATATATTGTAATATTGATTTGAGGCCATATCGCCCAGCCATACCTTGAAGCTTGTCAGGTAGTTTGGATTTAAATTTCTCTTAAAACAACTGAGTGACTAGTCCCTTGGAAACATCCCTAATCTGAATTTGTACAAAACCTCACCTAAAACAAACTTCATGAACACACATTGCCTTATTTATGTGTATGCCTTTGAGGTAAAATGAACAATCTTTCGGAAACATGCATCGAGCTGAAGCTTCCTGCTGAGCTGAGTAGCGTGTGGTAAAATATCAGAATAGAGACGCTGCAGGGTATTAAGAAGAAAATAGAAATGGATCAAGTGTTGCAAAATGAAATGGTTACCATCTGCATACTGAGGAAAAAGGCACCAAAGAGAGTGCCGTGTGTCTCTTTATCTTTGCATTCACGGACTGTGTTTCATTTCCTCTCATCCATGCTAAATCACGTCTCTCCTGGACATCAGCTAGATTGGCTGTAGTAATTTTTTCCTCCTTTTTGCGTTGAGTTATTCACGCATCATGTGCCTCCCATGTTGCTCCGTGCTCACCGCTGCACCCTCTGATCCGGAGCCTCCAGATGTGCTCTTGTACTCTGGTGATCATTACTGTCATTACAGTAAAGGGCAGCATCATTAGCCTCACACACACACACACACACACACACATACCACACACTCTCTCCCAGTGCAGGCATGGTAAAGCATTGGAACGGATGGAACATTCATGCCATTTTTCTGGAGAGATTTTCATTACAGTAAGCAGTTGACAGGAAAACGTCTCTATCTCTGTCTGTGCAGCCAGCTTTGCTTTAATTTTTTCCTGGAGACAAATGCAGCTTTACTGACAGCTGAAGGATTACATGTTTTAAAGTGAAAAAAGGAATTTAGCTCGAGGATCCCTTATTGAAGCACTTTATAATACTCCAACTGTGTTTCCCTTTATCAATAGCAGACTGATGCTATTCAAAATACTCTTCAAGGACGTTCATCTTAGTTAGCTGCCTGTTTCTCTGAGTTTGCCTCTCAGCAGAGTGAAACAGTCTGACTGTAACAAAGAAGTGAAATTGAATCGCTCTGCTCAGTCTCTGTTTCATAATTCTAATTCTACAGAAAGCAGCCTTGAAATGGAATCGCTGGATGTTACACAAATGTTTCTTTGGCTTCACATCAAACCTCATAACACGTTGTCCATCCACTCTAAAGGTGTCTCTCTGTGGCGTCAGTTGCCTCAAAGCAGCTGAGGATTTGGCTCAGCCGTCGCGATCCCCCCCACCTCTCTGGGAAAGTGTGATGGGAATAGAAAATATAGTCCCCTGCAGACAAAGAAATACATGTAATTGATTTTTCCTCACTAGGGTATTTTTCATTCTTCTCTCTACTTTTTCTTCTCATAGCACATAGAGATGTTTGAGTAATGGTTGAAGTGTGACTGTTTATTTTGTACAGTATATTCTGTGCGTGTGTGTGTTTGTCTTTGAATATAAATCACTTTGCAGTTGTGCTTTTCCTGACACATGATGTATTCTCGCAGAAGTATATCTCACCGTTGACTATAGCGTATGTATATGTATGTTATCACAGCCACACAGCCGCACATTGGGGAGAGTGCGACACCAATTAGTCTTCCTGTGGCTCATCAGAGCGAGCAGCGTCACTTCAGGGAAACTGTTGACTGCATCCCAAACCATATTTATGATGCTCTGCTGCGGTGTGATGACCCCCTCATGGTTCGGATACTATCTGGCAATCTGTTTTTAATTATTGAAGCAATTACTATAATTTTTTTATTTGACAGTGAATTGGTTTGTTATTGCCTTCTAACTTTAATTTTAACATGCTCTCTAGTGCTTAGTTTCATCAGAGTCCAAACCTGAGAATAGGTTTCCTGCAGATCCTTGAGGAGTTGCAAAAAGTCTTCTAATAGACCTGGCCTTAAAAGTCTTTAAAAGTCTTATTGTCTCTTGTGAAGGGTCATAAGTTTTAGATGGCGCTTTGACTGAAATATGTCTTATTTAAAATTGACACTGTGACATTGCCACATACCAATAGACTTTGGTGTATGAAAAACAGTCCATATTGACAGCAAAAGACGGCAGAATGCAACCAGATATAATCAGAGTATCCCCGGGGTCTTAAAAAGTCTTAAAATATCTGAAATCCAAGAATTTAGATTTAAGGCCTTAAAATGTCTAAAATTCTCTTAAAATCTCATAAAATGTCTGAAAATGTTTTGATGTTACTTACTAATAAATAATATGCCATCAAAATTAAGATTGATTGGAAGTAATGTAAAATGTTCTGATTTCTCTTCATGACTTTTCTAAAAAAAAATCTTAAAACGGCTTAAAATTGACTTTTTGAAACCTGCAGAGACCCCCTCCAACACACACTCACTGCACTGAGGAGCTGCTTAAAGGTGGGGTAGGCAGGATTCCGTTAAGGAAGCATGTTTTTTGTGGTGCTTTTAATATCAGTCAATAGATATTAGTTATTGATGACATATTGTAATACAACGATATCACTGCGTTCTGTTATGTCTGTGTAGTCAACATTTTAAATTTTTTGAGCGGCCCTTTCTTTCTGACCATAAACAAAGCTTTTCTCCGCCTCCCCCAACCTGGTTGGTTGTGAGGCAGATGCTGCTTCTTATTGCTGATTGGTCCACATCCTCGAATAATGTTCACGAGCCCAAACAAAGTTAGCGTGCTACAATATCGGACAGTGAAAACCAACCAGAAAGTATGGAAAATTTTCTGAATCGTCTTTGACGCTCCTATAAGACGCTTCAGAGTCTTATATAAATTTTTTTTTTTTTTTAGCTCTCAGTTTCTTCATCCTTTAATTTATCTTTTGTATTTGTATTTATGCTGCTGTAACTCCGGAATTTCCCCCTTCAGGACCAATAAAGGTATATCTTATCTAGACCCTGTATAATATGTTGGAGAAATCCTGGCTCTATCTGCTGTGAAGAGTCTTTACTGTTGACTTGGACTCAACTCAAGCTTGGAACACTGATGATTCGGGACTTTACTGGGACTCGAGGTTTGGTAACTCGAATGCAAGATGAGTCAGAAGTCTTTCATCACTAACAGCTGGCTACCCTGGAAACACAGAGAAGATGGTCATTGTTCTTGGAGGCAAATCTGGCCGTCAAACAACAGCTGATTGATTGTGACAGTGCTTTGTAGAGGAATTTCACCCTGTACAGTAAGTTTGCTGAATACAGCCCCAAAGCCCTGGTACCCTAGAGGAAGTACTTTACTCTTGTAATGAGCCTCTTTGTGCTCCCTCATCACTGTCATACTTCTAATCAAAGTAAATAATGCCTTCTGTGGCTTACCTATACCAATTTATCACTGTATGGATACAACTCAGCTGGCATTTACCTCCTGCGAGCAGAGGAAGAAAAATATGCAAAAATGATCAGTTCCACACTCAGTGAGGATGTTGGGTTTAGAGAGAACAGGTTTAACGTACATCCAGAATCTCTTCAGATGAGATTGAATTCCCTTCGCTGGGATTCAGTGTCTCCTCTCCAAGAGGCAAGTGTAGTAGCAGAAACCTCAGCAGCGCTCTCAGCCTCTCCTCTGCTCGTAGATGGTTGTACTGTAATTAGATTTCTTTGCCCCCTTCCTTCTCCTCTTCCTCCTACTCCTCTTCCACTCCCTTCAAGGTTTATATCTTGCATTCAGGAAACCTTCGGCACGTATAAACAAGGACAAATGAAAGCACACTCGGATTTACAGATGCACACTTCGGCACTGCCTCCAAACACTGTTTATGTATCGAGGAAAACAAAACCCAGCGTGAAGCTGAGAAATTTATTGGAATTCCCAACATCGCTGGCGGCTGTAGAGTTGTACATACAGTAGCTAATTAGAGGCAAAGATAAGCGGTGTGCTGCTCTGCGTAGTTGCTCCTTTTTCTTCCTGTCTCTCACTCTCGCTCTTTCTGCCGCTGGTTATCTTTATCAGCATGGGTCCTTCTCTGTTCAAAAGCGAAGATACATTTATCACCCTTAGGGAGTTTGATAAGAGGCCACAGTTTAACCCCGTTGTTTTTAATGATGAGGCCGTATAACCTTTTTTTTAACCTTCTCTTTTTTTTTTTCACTCTGAAATCAAAGCTGAGAACTGATGAGGTGCACTTAGGAGGTATTCTGGTACAAATGGGCTGAGTTTGTCGGGGTGTGAGATTTCAGGTAAGGGGGAGATGGTTTGATTACTAGAGGACAGCTAGAGTAATAGATTCATGAGTCTAAAGGCTTATCAGGAATGTAGAAGTGCACAGCAGTTTGAAATACCAAGAGAATAGGTTTCTTATCTCTTGGAGGTTATCCCTGTGAGAGGTTTGTTATTCTTCTTTGCCACAATCTGCAAGTAAATAAGACTGAACCTTAACCCACCAGGCCACGGTCCAATAGGAGTGTGTATTTGAGAGCTATTGATCATAGGTCCGTATGGTATAGTACCTTGATAGTTTGGATTTCATTGAGCTTCGGTTTCAATAACCTTTTTTCTTTTCAGTCAAAAGGACTTGGAAAAAAAAAAGAAAACTGTTTTTATACCCTGGTATGAGCAGGATATTAGTAATAGGTAAGAAAAAAAATCTCAGACATGAGAACAGAGCAAATTTAGTTTAACTGCCCAAAGTGGAAGGTTTGAATTCAGACCTTCACTTAAGGAAAGCTTCTTGGTTATCAGCATCATTGTAAGCAGTAGTCGTCCTTACTGCAGCAACATAACTGTTTTGTTTTGACTGATCTTGGAGCAGTAGAAAAAGCTGAAAATTTGATTCAGTATAAAAGGCATCATTTGATTTTGAAAGTCTCCAAAAGGAAAAAACTGTTTTCCTACTTCATGCCACCGAAGAGGTTTTTTCTTGTTGGTCGTATTCCTCACTGTCCAATTGTTGTAAGATCCTCAATAGCAGTCTATTTAACTTCAGTCACAAATATTTATAAGTAACATCTAAGCTGATAAAAGTTCCAAAGCTTCTCGATATCAAAGATTTGCATTTTCAGCCTTTAACATACTGCAAAATCTGAGTAAATCTTTCCCTAGTGAGGATTTAATTGAACGTGCAGTTATGGCCCTCAAGATTTCCTGATTGCAAGTGATTGTGGATACAACCTCTGATTGGTTGACGGACTAACACAAAGGTGGCTGCCTTTATTTAGGATAGTCAACTGACAACTAGGGCTGTAATCAACCTAAGAAATTCTTGGTGGCCGTTCTCTGGTGGGTTAGGCAAATCCAAAATGGTGGAAACAAGGTGGGTGTTCTGAGACAGGCTGTGTCCTGTGAAACAGGGGTGCTCTGAAAACACCCCCATTAGCACTTGGTACATTCCTCCTGATGAAATTAACCTCAGACTGTAAGTTGACACGGAAAAAAACGAGTCAACTCAGCATCTACCAATAAGTCAACCAGTCAACAAGGACTTTACAGCCCTACTGACAACTGAACTGACACTAACATTAAACCAATTTGCCACAGCACACCTTGACCTGAAGGTATTGGATTGAGACAACCTCTGGAATTTCACTGACCCGCTGTGTGACAGAAAAGTCTCTGGATGATGCAGAAATAGATCTATTAGCCATAAAGCTGCGGGTCTCACGAAGCGAGTGTATTTTACTGCAATTCTCATTTGTAAGCACAACAATATGATATTGTGTACAATCCCACTTTGCCTTTGTCAGCCATGATAACTTCCTCAGTTCTTGGCTTTGCGCTGATTGCCTTTTGCAATTTATCAAGTCATTGTTTTGTAAGGCACGTGGAGCTAATTGGATGTCATTGGATAAGAGAACTGTAGAGTGTAAATGCAAATGATGTCAATAGCTTGATCTAGATGAAACCGGTTGAAATCTAGAACCACTTCTTGCGCCCGCACTTGTCTCTAGTCAACATCCCAAAGAAACATAATGATCACAGCTTTATGAGTACAGGCTGATGAGGTCCCAAGTTGGGTCCCAGGTGACCAAAAGGCATGTTTGTGCTCAGAAGGATGGATGGCATGCTGACTACTTTCATTTCCCAGCTCTCTTTATGAGTGTGTGCATTAATGTGTGTTTGATATGAGCGTTGGCGACTGGAGGACCCAGGGAGGAGATGCTGCGCAGTGACTGATGGCTGAGAGTGATTTATGGGAAAGCAGGCCTGCAACATGCCTCGCCACACCACATCTCTCTGTCATGCAAATTATCAACAGCCATCCTTTCATGATAAATTATTACCCAGACCTGCACTTTAATGACATCCGCCCTTATATACAGGCACACATGTTCACTCCTACGCAGCGCAGTCTCGCAGATGTGAAGACGACGTCTTTGTTCAGAACCGCGTTAAGAGTTTTGGTCATAGATGAGGTTGAAAAAAGGAGGAATTATCAGAAGGAATGGCTTTTCCTGTTGGCGCTTTCTGATAAAAGAGGTTTAGGAGCATGATCGAAACTTAGCTCACAATTAGCAAATCCAATTAGTGACCAAGAGATGAAAGGGAGATGATGGAGGGTAGGGAAGGAGGGAAGGGGGATTGAGGGAGAAGGCATCAAACAAGATTAGGTGTGGATGGAGGTTTTCCTTTTTTTGTCCTGTATTCCTTCATTTTATAGTCATTATCAGTGAAACAATAAGAATTTAAAAAAGGGAACATACAGTACTAAACGCATAAGATGATTTTGATAAGATGCAAAATATAAAAATGATAAAATAAAGTCAAGAAGGATGCATGGCAGAAGGGACTCCCTTCTCTTTTCTGTGCATTTTTCTGCATTTCCATTTTGAATTCAATTTGACTGCAGGTAATTTTCCTCCGTTAGCATTCAATATGTTTTCATCACCCTGACTGCTTACTCTGAGTGTTTTCTGAGCACACCATCACCCACCTTCCCTACTTGCCACAGTAACCGCCTCTCCATCTTCCACCCCATCCCCCCTCGCACCCCTTAACTTTGTCTGTCAAAGCAAAGGCCATTTTCCCAGAAGGGAGTCTTTGTCACACAGAGAAGCACAAAAGAAGCAGCACTGTTTCAAGGCTGACAGGTAAATGGGATGTCCTCAGAGACAAGACGTGGAATTATCGGCACTGAGAGGAGCGCGCTTTCACAGGGGCATCCACTCAGCGGGAAAAGAGAACAGGAAGAATTCAGCAGAGCGTGGCAAAGAGATGGACACAGGATGAAAGTGGACTAAATAATCTACTGAGTGTGATACTACGACCCCTTCTCTCCTGGCATGACTCAATCAGTAAAGCAAGACAAATATTTAGCACGTTGAAATGGAGCATTTTCTATGCAGCTGAATTTGTTCGGCATTGTATTGTTATTTGAAGATGAAAGCTTCTTTTCCATCTATTTTCTAAAGAGAAGAGCCCAGATTGCATTCAACAGTTATGTTCCCTCAAGGCGAACCACACTGATTGTTCTGAGAAATACTCAGGGGAACAATGCACAAGGAGTGGGGTGCTTTGATTGAAGCAAAGTGTTGGAAATGGGCTTTGTATCATATTTCTTTATTGTCAAATCAAGGCCATTTGCTCAGAGGGGTGCCAGCCGTCTTTACTCTGGAAATCATGGTAGCCCACAGCAGGTCGTGTTAGTCCACAGGTTTTCTTTCCATAAAGAGCTAAAGCAGTCATCCATCTAAGTTTTTTTTTTTTCTTTTCTCATAAAAGGTAGGCGCAAGGTGAAATAAGCAGCCGAGCAGCTGTGCTGTTTGATGATAAAGAAAGTCTGCAGACTCTTGGCTAATAAAAGAGATGTGCTAACTGAGATCCCTTCCAGACACACTTACTATTTAGCTCAAATAATGAGTGCAACCCAAATAGAAAAAGAATAACTCCCGCAATGTTTTAAAAAAATTATTTTTAGGCCATTTTACTTCTTTGCAGAGGACAGGACAGTGTGCAGAGCAAGGAAACAGGAAGCGAGAGCAGGTGGCAACATGTGGATGGAACAGGAGCAACAGGCTAGGGCTGGGCGATAAACAGGAAATTTACAGATACCAAAATTTACGACAATAACCAATGTCATTTTGCCCATATAAGTATATTCCGTGTCGAGAAAATAAATAAAAGTTGGTTTCGGATGTGTGTAGGTAGACTATAGTCTCATGTCCCTTTTAAGATGCTGTCCTACGTCGGAAATGTGACTCTACCCCATCCAGTCCCATAAAGAGAGAAAGACAGGTGAGGAGATGGAGGACGGTTCAAAAGTTGGAGCAGCTGGAGCGGCAGCTGAAGCAGACAAAGTTAATGTGGGAGGGGCTGAGCAGCTTGTGGAGTTGTTATCATCTATTTATTGTTATCAAGGTGAACTGCTCACTATATCATGATATTGATTTGAGGCCAAATCACCCAGCCCTACAACAGGCTGTGAGCCAACCTTGGCCCATTGCTCAAGACCTCTGTATATGAGGTGGGCACACATATACCGAAAGGCCTCAACTGTAGCAGCTATGATTGGAAGCTTATAAAGGTGGTTTACCTTGTGGATCTCCTGTCAAGTAAAAAACAAGCTATAGATAAACTTTTTTTCCATCATAAATGACTTTTTTTAAAAGTTTCAAAAATTCTTATTAGTATTACTTTGGCCATTTGATTACCATAACTGTGGGGAGACCAATTCAAATACTCATGTCCCGACTTAAATACATCAACCACAATTGGGTTTATTGTCATGAAACTTGGTAAGTATTGTTATGGTCCCAAAAAATAAATTTTACATATGTGGTTAACCCTTCATTTTCCTCCAGTCACACTGCATCAAGTTTAACATTCGTGGTCTTGAATGAAATGTCTCAACAGCTTTTGGATAAAGTCTTATTGAAGTTGGCTCAGTGTTTATAGCAAATGTTTACATGCTAACACAGAAATTAAACTTAATGAATGTCAAACAGCAATATGAAAAAGCTGTCATTATGGTGTTAACATTTAGCACAAATCACTGCTTTCTGGTGGTTACCCATAGGTACTCAATTTTAACCCTTCACTCCTGTCTCTGATTGGTTGAATCCAACCATAACAACAACCTGGATAATCTCAGCAACCTTGTTTAAAGTGTGTACCAGCTAAAGGGCCTTAAAAGTAGTACTTTTTCATTATGCTTGAGTTGTGTGTTCAAAGTTAAATCAATGCTTTTGTATTTTCTATGATAGGGCTTTGAAGTATTGTGAGGGTATTCAGGGTTTTCATTTCGTTTTTATTTTTATTTTGTGTAATTTTGTCCCCATGAAGCAATCTCAGCCTCCACAGCTCACTCTAGAAAGATTTTTTTTCTCACATTCATTTTTGGCAGACAATTTCAGGGTCAGCTTCATCTTTTTACTGCATCGTAAAGGGGATAGCTTGCTTTTTTTTTATTTATACTTTTTTTGATTGTTTATCTTTTATTCATGCTTGCTATCTTTTGGAGGTAAAGTAAGGCTTTTCTGTCTTAGATAGGCTGTCATTTTTCTCAGATCATTTTTAGCAGGAGTGGGGGGGCAGGTGTGGAGTGGTTTGCCTTCTAAAGCCTACGTAACGACATGCCTCTAAAAAGGAGGTGCCCCTCGAATTCAGGTCAGGGTGTCATCTCTTACTCTTGGCTGAATTGTTTTTATGAAATCAGTTTTGGAGCGAGCAGCTTCATTCCACAATAGATGCGTGTTCCACTCAAAATCTCAGCTCTGCTTCAGACCTTGAAAGGAGGCCTTAAGTGCGCTGCGAGGAAGATCCAATTTTCGCTGGTAGACATTAGACAGGTTAGCCAAGCGCAACCCTCACAGGGCCCATGAACCTCTGAGAGAAAATTAGGAGGTGAGAGCACAGGATCGAATCAGTTTTAAATGTTCATGGAAAAAAGCTTACTCTGTTTGGCTGAGAGCTTTTAAAGGCACCACCAATTGTACGCCAAATCTCCATCATACCAATGCTTCCCACACAAAGACCATATCTTGGCGGATATGAGCCACTAAATAATATTAGACAACATTTTTACATTTTTCTGGATTTATCCGTGTATAATCACCTTCCCTTTAATGAAATGGAGACTTTGTCGCTGTGTTCTCCTCTGGTCTGAAAACCTGTGGCGTGGTTCTTCAATGTCTCTCATACAAACGCAGCAATTTAGGTGCAGTGTCTCATGTTAAATATACCACTGTTTAAAGTTACGTGCAGCTGTCACAGTATTTTTCACCATCTTAGTTTTAGATCACTGCAAAACATTTCCTTATTAACAAGTCGTTTCATGCTGACCACCTGTTGTGACAATGTTATATTGAGTGAATTATGTCCAGATGCTTGTTGCGTTGTTTAGGCATTGCTAATTAATTACTAAGTATTGTGGAAAGATAGTTAAAGAGAAATAACAGATGGTGGGACGGGACACAGCTGTGTGCATTAAGAGAGGAATGCTGTCAGTGTGTGTGTGTGTATGTGTGGAACAGGGGATGTACTTCAGTGGATACCCCTGCCTCACATACATTTATTTTTTGCCACAATAAAAAACAAGTAATGTATTTCAGTGTTTTTAAAGTTAAAACTGTTTGGCCACCAATGCCCCTTTATATCACATTTCTTTTCATATGATATAATTAATTGATCCAACATAATTTCTAGTTTCAAGCAATTTGAAAATATGGTATCATTTAGCAAAGATTAGACTTTAAAGACCCACTCCGATGAAAATCATGTTTTTCATGTTGTCTACATGTTCATATGGCATTTTTCTGAAGCTGCAGGACATATCATGAGAAAACTAAGTGTGTGAAAATTGCATTTCTGTGTACTTCTGCGTTAAAATCGCTGTGAATGTCTGGCAGACCCAAACAACAGGTTCAGACACAGTGAGATTTCCTATGTAACAAATCCAAGCTCTGCTTTGCTAGCCAGTCTCGGAGACATAGGGAGGACAGTCGCGGAACAAGCGTGTGCGTTAGCGGATTGCAATGTTTGTAAAAAAGCTAATTATGATATTAACTTTCATCATGTTCCCAAAAGACATTAGTGTCCGAGAGCTTAAGAGCTCTAATGTTAGCTGCTTCTTCTACTGCACCGGCAATGTTAGGCTGCAAACTAGCGTGAAGAGGAGTGTGAAGAGGAGTGTACAGAGCAGCGATGTCTCCACCCACGACTCAGAGGTGAATTGCTAATGAGCTACTGGAGCTCTGCAAAAGAAAAGCCTTTGACAATGACACAGGTAATGTGATTTTGGCGAAAAACTTCATTACTATAATTTTAAAACCACTGAGAACACTTGAAGTTGTGAAAAAGTGATCAGAGCTCAATTATGTCTACTTTATGTGGCTTTAACAAGAAAGCTGTTAATTGCCACAACAGCTTCCCCTCAATCATTAGAGAAGCCCATCAACTAAAAGCCAAGATTGCAACAGCCAATAACCTACACTTGAATTTATGAAAAAGGTAGTCCAAAAACCACAGTAGCTACGTCGCTACGGTAGCTATTCTGTAACAAACGCAGAAGATGTTATTCCTTTATACTTCAAGCCATGACCCACTAACAAGCTGCACTAGTCTTGGACATGCATCACAGATATGTCACGTACATATGAGGGAAGCTCACTGCCATTGCGCGGGGGTGTCATGTGGTGTGCATGTGGGATACGGATCATGAGCCACATGGCGACATAACTCAAAGCCCGTGAGATATGTTTATTCATACACACAGCAACGCTCCCACATGCCGTATTTGGCGGCATGATTACTCACTACATCTTCAGGAGTTCTAGAGGCAGTTTAGAAAAACCAGCCATCTAAAAAAAAAAAAAAAAAAAGGTTTTCTTCCCTGCTGATTTATTCGTCATTACTATAACAGTATTAATTTCCTGTCTATCACTTCCTTACTCTTGCTGTCTGGTGTCTACCTCCCACCACCTCATTTTTTCTGAGGTGACAGAGGAGTCATAGCCCTTGTGTGGTTACTGTACTGAATCCAACGTTTCCGCAATCAGAGTCGCTAAATGAGTCATCAGGTGATCCCATCAAAGGTTTTCCATGCTTCACACTTCTGCTGCTTGGCTTTGTTTTCATTTGCAGAGTCTGAGTAATTGTAGATGAGCTGTGTAGTTCCTCTTAGAGCACATAAATATACTGTCAGTAGGGAGAGAAGGCACCACAGAGCACGCACTCAGTAGATTAGAGGTCTGGAAACAAATGGAGAAAGCAAATATACAGTACGGTATATTATACACATGAACAAACACTTTGAAGTGACCCTAGATAAACGTGTAATACTATGCAGCTGCTGACCTGGAGCCAGAGCCCACTGGCTTAAAAGAGAATCTCTTCAGGGTGAGACCAGATCCCTCTGCTTTGCATCAGGGTCCTGGTCTCCCTGTCTGAGTTCTGATTGCCATAACCACCTGTTCACTATACATTACCTCACCTATTACTTAAATACATCTAAAAGCTTAAAGAAGTTGACACAAACTATTCATGATACATTGATTTAAAACTGATTTATTTATTAAATGAAAACGATAGACCCTCCAAATAGGGCTTGGCGATATGGCCTCAAATCAATATCACAATATATTAAGCAGTTCATGTTGATAACAGTAAATGGACGATAACTACTCCACAACCTGCTTACCCCTTCCGACATTAACTTCCTCTACCTCAGCTGCCGCTACAACTTTTAAACCATCCTCCATCTCCTCACCTGTCTTTACCTCTTTGTTACAGACTGGATGGGGTGGAGTCATGTCTTCAACGTAGGACAGCGTCTTAAAGGGACATGAGACCATAGCTCACCTACACACATCAGAAAACAACTTTATTTACCACAATAACCAAAATGACTTTGGTTATTGTGGTAAATTTCAGTATCAGTAAATTTTCAGTTTATCGCCCAGCCCTAGCTCCAAACTCTCAGTCATTAGGCTTTTATTCACATCAGCCTCCTCACGGTGAGAAGTGACAACTCAAGGATAAAAGCCTCAGGAAACATTATTTAACATTTTGCTAGACTTTTTTTACCCTTGCTGATTAAATATGATCTGCGTGTCCTTGGCCCTCTGTTATAAAGAATTGAGTACAATTGTATTAATTGCAACGATGTAATAATGTCCATTAATATTAATTAAAGGTTCTTACCTATGTCACCTCAATAATTAAAAAGACAATTTTAAAGAAACTTCTGAATAAGAACAAAAGTTAGCCTCCTGTAGTATTTTCTGGAGGAATTAAACCATCATATATATCACGTCCAGCATGCCGGGGGCGTTTTGTAGCATGTCAGGGTTTCGGTACCCAAGGGGCCCCTAACTCCAGAGCTGCAGCTTGACACCTGCTTTTGTGGTCACCTAGAACAACAGCAAGGTCATGCAAAAGGCCATTCTACTAAAACACAAACACACACACACACACAATCAGGTTTATTAACTGTGAGGCCCATAATAATATTGCTGTAGACTGACCCGTAAACCTTACACAGCGCTGCTGCTTGAGATTTACACTGGGAATGAATGAGGCGCAGGCAGAAGCACACACACACACACAAATACCCTAACTCATCAATTTCCATCTATGGCAGATTAATAATTAAATGGTCCTTCTTGTGCAACTGCTGTCCTCACATAAGTCTGAAAATTAATATAAATCCGGGTCATTTGTATTCTGGTGCCGTTGGATTATGTTAAAAAGGCAGACTTGATGATTCAGGGTAATTTCACTCAACCAAAAGCCCACAGTAAAAAACAAACCCTCCACTCTAGCTATACATGCAGAGTTGAATTTAGGGCTGAAACGATTACTCGAGTAACTCGAGTAACTCGATTAATAAAATTCCTCGAGGCAAATTATATGCCTCGAGGAATCGTTTAAATCCGGAACCATGTGCAGCGCACGGTGTTTGACACGGACGGTAATTTCTGTTGCGCAGAAGCGTGCTCTTTCCGCTCCTTCCGCTGCCGCGCGTTTGGTTCAATCATGGAGGGAAACGAGGACAGACAGAAGCTGTGTCCGAAATGGCATACTGCCTGCTATCTACTTACCTACTCAAGCAGTAGCTACTGCCTACTGACTACTCAAAGATGATTTGAGTATGCCGCGGCTGCCCGAGCGTTTACACACATACATACTAAATACCCCAGAATGCATTTCGTGCCGGCCGGACGCAGCGCCGGGAAAATTTAAATAGTCCTACCACAAGCTACATAGAACGACTGCATACCGGACAAATTATATAAATTCATTCAATAGTAATATTTTTTCTAGCGAGAAAGTAAGTGTTTACATCACGATTATGAGCCCAGTTGTTTGAAATAGTGGCTGTTTGTAAATTTGTCTCGGCGTTTTCGGAGACCGAAGCGTCAACTTGGTCGGTGTTTGCGTCTATTTACCGTAAACACCGGGCAGCAGCAGCTCCCCCTTCACGTTTCCAAATTATTGCGAAGTGTTTTCATAATCAACATCTACACGACACAAACCGGGCGGCAGTGGATGAAAAAAATCACACAAACATCCGTGTATCCATGGTGATAATGCTATACACCACCTGCTAGGCGTGTGATGAGCAGCAGAGGGCTGCAAAATGACCAACACACAACAACATGTAAATAAAAATGTAACACTTTTATATATTGAATAAATGTACATTTGCTTGTCAAATTATGTTAGTATCCAAGAATTATATTATTTCAGCCTATTAATTAAACAAGTAAAATTAGATCCAAAGCCTGGAAATAGTTGTGACTGGTTTAGTGAAAACTGCAAAGATCATTACCATAGCAATTAAAAGACCATCTGCAGACCTTGCCTTCAGTAGTTTCATGTGAACTACATGGTAAAATGTAAAACTTTTGGTTCCTGATTTATGCAGTAAAAATATTCATTTGAAAGACCTGGCCTATTTCAGTTTTGTGTGTTACTGATGGTTTTTAATGAGGCAAACGTGATTCAATGCAAAGTATTACAGTGAGAGCAAAATATTTCTTATCCGATTACTCGATTAATCGACAGATTAATCGATAGAGTACTCGATTACTAAAATAATCGATAGCTGCAGCCCTAGTTGAATTTGCAAACACATGAAAGACATTTGAACACACTCATCCCCTTTATTAGTCACATTGATCACAAATACATTTGAACTTGGAGACATGGATTCTCATAGTAAGGAATAAAGGCTCAAACTTAGCCCAAAATAACCCCAGCTGAATATATTTCTGAGCGAGTGTCTAACTTTCAGACACAGTGGAGTGCACCCCTGGCTGAATGAGAGTCATGTTTGGCCGTTTAAAGTCTGCAGCCATATCAGCAGTGGTGACACAGCACCACAGCCTCAGAGCCCAGCCAAAGCCTCACTCCTCTGTTAATGATGCTGTGTGTGTAATTGAAAAGAAATTGAAAATCGTGTCTCTGCTGATGAAAGTTCAGCCAGTTTTTCAAATGTACAACGAGAAAAAAAGCTTTTAACTGTGTTTCTTTCGTCTCTCTTTCTTCTTTCTTTTATTCCTACATGGTTTCCTTCTTTAATTCTTTCTGTTCCCGACCTTCACATCCAGCATCTCCTATTCTTTCTTTCTTTCTTTCTTTCTTTCTTTCTTTCTTTCTTTCTTTCTTTCTTTCTTTCTTTTATTCTCTGTCTTATTTTTCTTTTTTTTCTTTCTTTCTTTCTGTCTTTGTTTTATTCTCTGTCTTATTTTTCTTTTTTTTCTTTCTTTGTTTCTTTCTTTCATTCTCTTTATTTTCTTTCATTCTCTCTTTCTGTCTTATTTTTCTTTCTTTCTTTCTTTCATCTTTCTTTCTTATTTTCTTTCTTTCTTTCCTTCTCTATTTTTCTTTCTTTTCCTATTTTTCTTTCATTTTTTCTTTCAGGTTTTTTGTTAATTTTATAATCTTTGCCCTTTTATGTCCTACTACCTTCTGTCACCACTATCTCTTTTGTCTTCTCATTCCTTCTTTATGTCGTCTCCCAACTCTCTATTTTTTTCACGCTTTTCACCTCCTACTATTGTCTTTCTTTCCTTTTTTCTCTTATACTTGTTTCTTTTTTCTTCATCAGTCTCGTTTGAATTTTCCCTCTTTTTTTCCAGTTTTCTGTCTTCTGTGACTTCTCTCCTGATTCCTCGTCTGTCTCCTTCCTTCAGCTCTTCACCCTTCCTTCCTCACTTCCTCCTTCTTACACTCATAAACACATTTATTCAACTCTGTGTGAAAAAATGAAACTCTTGATATTACACAACAGCAGCGCCCTGCTTCTATATACTCAAATTATTTATAGTCATTTTATGCAAATAGAAGGTGCTCTTCTGTGTAGCTAAAATCATAATGTACTCATCTGTGAGAAATTGATATAGAAACAACAAAGTTATGCAACAGGTCCTTTTTTAAAGAAACAAAGGAGGCGGTTATAGTTGTTATTTTTAAGCTGTAAATCTCTTGATGCAGCACACATAGTTCAACAGTGATTATCTCTACACCAGTCAACTCCATCAGGACACTTTGAGGTCATTTTATCACAAGAAGTCTTAATAATTGTTCATGCTGCACCTTTATTTTGAAAAACTGAAGCAGAGAGGTAGACATAATGTAAATTAACATGACCTCCTTTAATAGCATTGCACATATTGATATTAAACTTATTTTAGGTAAAATTGATGCTTATGGATTTTATGTTTAATGCTTGTATTTTTATTTCTTCATTGATGTACCAAACTCTATTTCACCTTCATTTCTTCCACAGGGGTGAAAGCCGTCTTTTCTGGCCATTATCACCGAAACGCTGGAGGATGCCACAGTGGCCTGGACATGGTGGTGAGTTCAGCGATTGGCTGCCAGCTCGGCGAAGACACGCACGGCGTCAGAGTGGTGGTGGTGACTGCAGACAAAGTCATCCACCGATACCATAGCCTGGAGCAACTGAGGGACCGAGGGATGGACGAGGACCTCAGGAAGCTCCTTCAGGCCTGAGGGCCAAATCAGGAAACATCAGGAACACTCGGCTTTGACGTGTTTGTGTGTACCGTTTTGTTTTGTCTCAGACCTGTGCTCTTCGAAACATAACAAGATGTTTAGAGAGATACAAATATGGAAAGCAAAAACAAGATTCGAAGATTTACCATTGACAAAGTCAAATCACTACTTTTTATACTGATGAATGTCCTAATCTCCAGAAGTTCCCGTGTGCTCCTACACCCCAAGCTTTTAATATAAAGCAGCTTGGCCTAGCTTCCTAATCTTTACAATATACCTATCTGGCTACAACTCCACCGTCATGGTCATGGAAAGAGATCTGGAGTAGTTGGTAAAAACAATACCAAAAGGATCCTGTTGGACTTGGACAATGGAGCTTTGGGATTAGCACTGACTGATAGTTAACATCGGGTTAGGTTATAGAGTGGATCTTGTTGAACGATATTCACCATTAAAGACACTTGGGCGTGTTGTGAACTCTAACGCAGTTAAGGCACTAAAATGACTGTTGGGTCTCAGTAGCAGGTCATGGTTTGAGTTAAGGTTGGTACTAGCTACAGCTGACAAAGGAGTCAACTTTTGATCGCTTAATATCTAACTACTTTTGTAATCCCAAATTCACAATTGTAACTTTTCCTCTCATAACGGTTTTATCCTTATCAATAATGCAAACTAGTTTTTATCACTTTTTTAATTGCTATGCAAATTCAGCGAAGTGCACAGTTAGCATTAGCCCTTTTCAGGAAATCCAGTTTGGAAGCTTTCTTTGTTTCATACAGTCCTGTCCCCACGAAGATGAAGAAGGATGACTTCTAAGGTTATGAGATGTTTTTTAGGGACACTTGTTGGGCCTGATGTGTCAAAAGCACACTTCATGCTCAGCGGCCATAATTCCCCTTCCAAAAACAAAGACCTTCAAATGCTTGTGTTCAGGACAAAGTTTGCAAAGAGGGAAATTGTCCTGTAGACGGCGCCAAACATAAACTTTATTTTTGTTGAAATAAAATGGATTTAAATGTTAAAATTTCAGGCTGGACCGCTAGCCAAGCTGCTTTATAAGAGAAGTGGAAAATTTTAGATTTATGTTGAGGTGTAACTAGAAATAAGAGAAAAGCAGTAAATGTTTGAAACTAAAGATGCCTCAGATGTACAGAATCTCTTGGTTAAATTAAGCAAAGTGTATTTTCTTTCTCGCATCTGAATGTTTCTCTCCTCCAAGAGCCCCTCTTGGAAAATTGGATGCCATCATTTCTGCAGCCTCTGACTCAAGCGAGGAAGGAACAGTGAGTGTCGGCTCAACACTAGTGGTTCTTAAATGGACAAACCTCTGCACAGTCTCATAGCAAACAGAGACCAACAACCTTTCTGTTGAAGCAGTGTTATCATTTAAGTTCAAAGCAATACACTCTGTCAAGTCAGATTTTGTAAATGTGAATTTATGCAAAACTTTTTAAAGGAACATTCCACCCTAAACATTGGGACCTCATTACAAACAGCTACAGGGGGCACTCTCTTCCTGCTTTTTCTTTCGTGGTACAAGAGATGTGGGAACATTTGAAAAGAAAATAAGAGTATAAAGAAAATATGAGTACTGTAACAAAATCTAACTCATTTCAGCGCTTTACTTAAAAACAATAAGTGAACCGCTCTGTCGTCAGCATGTTGATTGTTCTGTAGCATTTTAAGCACATAAAAGGGTGACATTTTCCTTTAATGATCCAAAAATAATCCAGCTAGTGTAGCTCCTCCTTTGCTTTTGTTGCTGCAGTCTAATGCCTTGTCAGCCATCCTATGCAAACTAATCACATTGATGTATTGTACATGTGTGTTTTTATGTTTAATGTGATGTGTTGCTTTACTGCCCTGGAAGATGTGGAAGTGCAATCTGACCTCAGATCAGACCTCAGCTGTCTGTTCGTAATCCTCCTCACTGCCTCTGCACACAATTCTGAGAGTAAAACGGTTGTTCTCCACAGACAGTATTCTAATTAACAGTGACTTTGAATGTATGCTGACTAGAGAGAGTTTATTCTTAAACTGTTCATTAAAACAAGAAAAATAACTCTGACTAAATCTGATTTTGAGGTTATAATTTTAAAATCTTCACATTTTTATTAGTTGGGAAAACAATAAAAACAAGGCTTAACAAAAACAGAAAAAAATCAAACTGAAATAAGATCACAGAGAGAAAAACCTTCGTTTTTGTCTTTGACACACAGAAACACCCTGGAGCAGCACCAGGAGTTACATTTGGGTCAGACCTGTTAACAACAGAAGATGAAACTGTTTCTCTTTATTATTCTAAAGGGTACTTTCAAAGAGTTTGCTTGCGGTCTTTCTGTGAAACACGAACAAGACAACTTTTTGTTCAACCGAAGACTATAAATTTTCTGATTGATATGAAGTGCAGCTGCTGTTCTCAAAAAACAGCTCTTTGTTTATATTAATGATAGAGCAGGAGAAGATTGGAGACTGGTGATCCACATGGACTTAAACGGAGATTAACACACATCCTGTAAAAGTTATCCATCTTTAATCGAACTGATACAGGGAGTATGAAAAACAATAATAATCTATTTTATAAAGAGGCCTTGAATAACCTTAAAAGTTGGCAATTGTAAGCATTTGAACTCCAGTGTCTTTTTTCCATCCCTCAAATGTCCTAATCCATTACTGCTGCATTACTTTAATGCGGATAAATTCTGTATCCATTCAATTCCCTCATGCTGCTTGTTTATACAAGCGTAGCTCAAACTGACTGCTGCTCCTTCACTGCGATGTTTCTCTGATAGAAATATTTCATCATTATATCTGAGTTGAAATCAAAATTTATGACGCAACATTTTGGCGTATCAATCACATCTAATGGCTTTAATCTGCTTGGTATCCTTAGTGTGAACTTGGCACACTCAGACGCCTGCAGTAAATAAGACAAATAAAGTGCAATCTGTTGTTAAATGAGGAACTAAAGGACTGTTGTCAGACTGATAAAACACAGTGATCTTTGTGTGATTAATGGTGGGAGGTGAACAGTATTTCCTGAGTGTTTAGTCATTGCTGGAACATCCTCACAGGGTTAGCGTTGGCTAGCTGCAGGCTGATTTGGAAGCAGAGTCCTGAAATTGTCTTTAAAATGGACATTACTGCAAGAAAATGACTCTCCCAGTGAGCCCCAAATGACTCTACTCCATTACACTTTACACACACACACACACACACACACACACAGAATCTAACTCGTACCCTGTCTGATTTGGGAATTTAAGGGAGTTGTCATGGCAACCATTTAGCAACACATCTGTGTGTCTCTAAGAGAATCTGGGAGTGTTGGGATAAAGTGAACCCCCACTCCCCCGTCTGTCTGTGAGTGTGTGTGGTCTGGTGGCTACCGTAGGTGATTTTCCATCAGCGTCGCCATCACTGACCTCATTTCACACTGACGGATTCTGTCTCTTTTCTAAAAAGTCGCCATGTGATTGAGGGGTGGGGGGGTGTCTGAGGGGAATGGATAATGAGTGTGAAGTGTAAAAGACGACTCAGTCCATCTCCTTCATTTCCGGTTCGAGAAGGAACCTTATGTCCTTATCTATTTTTATATCCTCATGCTAGCCGAGCTCTGTCACATTGTTCCTTATCTGCTCTCTGTGTGCGTGTGTGTGTGTGTGTGTGTGTGTTTCAGAGCACATTTGTTCTATGAATTGGGGAACATCACACGCTTTGACTTGTTGCTGTGTTCAATTCTAATGAATGATTGTACCGGGCACCATGACTGTGACATGAATGGTTGAGTTTTTATAATAAATGTTGATTTTATCTTATCTCTGCTGGTTTTATTGTATTCGTTGGTGTGTGAAAGCTTGACTTATTCAATCTGCTTTTGATGCTCATGCTTCTGATGCATCAATATCAGTTGGGTTGCCTTTTAATAAAATATTGTTGTGTGGGTTTGGGAATCATTAAAAGCCTGCCTCTTATTAAAGGGATATTCTGGCATTAAATTAATTTAGGGTCAAACACACCATAACACCGAGTTAGACACCCCCTCGAGAGATGAATGTTGCCGACTGCTTGCTTCTCTAGTTATACCAACTTTAGTCATGACCGTACAATAGTGATACACAGCGGTCTGAGGAGCCATAAACAAGAGACTAAACACAACTCACCTACTCTCTTTCAGCAGCCGCTTGTTTGTAGCGAAACCTCAGGCCAGTCCATGACAGACTGCTGCGGGGTGACACAGCTTAAGGAAGAACATTTATGATCATTTCTTCATGGAAATGCAATCAGACCAAGACGCTAAGGCAGAAGAACTACCACGTCTGCAGTGCAAAATGATTAATGTGGTGATTATTACTTCAAGGAAATGATAAAGAAATGATCATAAATGTTCTTCCTTGAGCTGCGTCACCACGCAGTAGTCCGTAAAGGACTGGCCTGAGGTCTCGCTACAAACAAGTGGATGCTAGAAAAGAGCAGGTGAGTTGTGTTTAGTCTCTTTGTTAAAGAAATTAGGCAAAGTTAAACAGATGTTTTGTGGCTAGCGCTATGGCTAGGACCCTATATGTACTGTTAATGAAATTCGGTGCTGTTCTGTGCATTATTTGTGGCTATAGAGTGGTGTTTTGGTTGAGGTTTTTGTGTGGCTCCTCAGACTACTGTGCATTGCTATCGTGCGGTTGTTACTAAAGTTGGTGTAACTAGAGAAGCAAGCGGTCAGCAACATTCATCTCTCAAGGGGGTGTCTAACTCTGTGTTATGGTGTGTTTGACCCTAACTCAATTTTACGCGGGAATATCCCTTTAAAGCCTGTCCTAAACAAAGGAAGAGCGAGTTAAGAGACTGAAACAAGAGACTTTAGTTTTTACCTCTTGGGAAGTCAGTTTTATGATAACACAAGCACGTCACACTGTTCTGGCCATCACTTTGTCTTCCAAGTAAAAGACATTATGAAGTAGACCAGTTGTTATAGCAACCAAGCAGGAAAGGCCTCATCTGTACATTTTCCCCGTAAAACATGGCTACTCTCTGGAGGAATCCACCAGTTAAACACACAAATCTTAATTATGGAGGGATATTATTTGTTTGTGATTGTACTTCCTACAGCAGGACAAGGACTACCAATCATCCAACCCCACCACAAATCCCTTCAAAAGGCGGAGGAAGCCTTCAGTGACACATCAGTTCTTTGGCAGGTGTCTCCAACGCTTTAATCAGGTTTGGACAGGTTTGGATTTTTGTCTAAAACTTGGGTGGACCAAACCTTTCTCTTTCCAATTTCCCACTCTCCAAATGTTTTAGATCTCAGTCTTCCAGTTTCCGCCTCTCCCCCTTTTCTTTCCCTCTAATGAGGTTCTTTTGTAATGGATTAAAAAAACCACTCCGTCTTAATGTAAGATGCAATGATGAGTGAGACATGTATCTTTGGTGTTTCAGAGCTACAACTTTACAACTTCACTACACTCAGTCTGTTCTTGGTCTTTCCTCTAGCTAGCACAAGGCAAATATAACTTTCTTCAAAATATCAGAACTCGATTTTTATCTGTTATTTAGCCAGAGGTCTCAGAATTTGTAACACTCAGAAGTAGAAATTCAGAGGCAGAAATGGTTTAAATATAGGCAGTTAGTTGGGATAGCTAAAAGAGAGGCGTATATTTAACTTTGCCAAAACAAGATTATCTCCATCAAAAAGAAATCTAAAATGTGTAAAACAGACTGTCATTTGGTAAAAGCCAGCAGCATCCAGAATGGATGGTCCTTGAAAATACAGGGCATGTCCATTTCTTTTGGCAGACTCAGTCTTGTTCAGCCAGGATGACTTCTGTGAAGATATTTCAGATTTTACCAAATTGAAATGTAGCTACGCTTGGCGCTGAAGGCTCTCCTCCGAGGATGCTGAATCGGCCAAACAGTACAAATGGCTTTCCCGAAGTACAATGCCAAAATAAGTGAGAGAGTAAATAAGTAAATAGGAATTGAGCAAGCAGTTTAGAAAGAAAGTAAGTGTGTAAATAAGCCAAAAGAGAGAATAGTGTGTAAACAAAAAAAGTGAGTTAGTGAGTTAGCGATAAGTTTACAAGTAAATAAGCAAGTGAGTTTAAGTAAATTAGCATGTGAGCCAATCAATGAGGAAGTACAAGTAAGTCAGTAAGTGAGTGAGTTTTCTGGTTCAAAAGAAAGGTCAGTAAAAAGAGAAAAAAAGGGACCAAGTGAGAAGAGAAACAAAAAAAGGACAGTAAGTAATTGAGCTAGTGAGTGAGAACATAGTGACCATGTTATAGTATGTAAGTAGGGAAGGGAGGAAGGAGAGAAGGAAGGAAGGAGGAAAGAGGGGAGGACAGGTGGAAAGAGAGGACTATCATAGGACAGAAGGAAGGAATAAATTAGCCAGTGAGGATGAAAATAAGCTGGTTAATGATTAATAGGTTAAAGGATAGGCTAATAAAGCAGTTTGTATGTTAGAAACTAACAAGCAAGCAAGACAGTCAGAGGGCAGGAAAGTTTGAAAAGATTTAGTCCCATCTTACAATAAGTCTGGAATCCAGGAGGGAAGGAAGAAAAGTGTGAAGTAATAAGTTAGCCAGTAAGTGAGTCCGTCAGTCAGGCAGCCGGTCAGTTAAGCTTACTTGCTTAAGCTTAACATTGCGGTGTTGCTGTTGTTTTAATGTTGCTGCTGTCCCCTGTCTCTCTCTCTCTCACACACCCTTGTTCTCTTTCTCTCCTCCTGCCCTCTCTCCTACTCCTCTCTCTCTCTCCCTCCTTATCTCTGTATTTCTCCCCAACCCAGCAGCGGCTTGGTGGCTGTCTTACATGAGTCTGGTCCTTCCCAAGGTTTCTGCCTGTTAAAAGGAGGTTTTTCCTTGCCACTGTTACTCATGTTAGATGAGATGGGTCAAATCTGTACTATCTTAAGGTTGGGTCTTGATAATTCATCAAACAATGAGCGTGGTCTAGACCTGCTCTTTTTCTGTGCTGAATGATAGAGGACTAAGACAGGAGCCTTGTGGAACACCTACATTTTGACTAACAAAGTCCACTTAATGTAGAGCCTACTGTCTGATCACAGCATTGGTGGGAGTTATAAATCCATACGTCATTCATGTTTTGTTGATTTGGTAAAATGACACAATCAACGAAGTCAAATGCTCTGAAGTCTGGCTGCTCTAGCTGGAGTATTAAATTCACTACATAAATGGCTGTCCTTGGACATCACATCAGCTCTGGACTGACTTTAGGAACCAGCTAAATACTGTCTCACTTTGTCAGGTCCACTCAATCCGAGCCCTGTTTCTTCAGAAAACCCCCTGCACTGAATCAGTCCCTGCAAGTTTGCACAATAATCAAATTTTAACAAGAGTGTGTCTGTTTCCATTCTGCCTGGGCTTGTTTAAGTATTCATGTGACACAGTTTGTGCACGGCCTCGTTAGAAAGCAGAAACATGTTTTACTCCCAAAAACGCCCCCTTGATTCTGTTTGCTAAACTGATGATGATAACTCTGACATTTATACATCACTTCAAATTTAACCTTTCTAAATGTTTGTCTATCAGAACAGACACCAGTCTGGATGTATCATCAGCTCAGCAAACAAACAGCTAAAACAGAAGACAGAAAAGACACAGAGCCAGTGAAACTGCTGATAAGATGTGGCATTTCCACATGCAAATATCAACACAATCATCTTGGACTAAACCCAACTCATATTGCATTCAAATTTTTCCTCTCTCCGTGTTAAATTGGAGATTAGCTGGTTTCAGCAGAGCCTGGGGCAGTGAGCAGGTGGAGAATGCATGCTGGAGGACTCGACTGAAAACAAACGGTTGTTATCGGACAGAGACTTAATGTGAGACTGATTGCTTATGTGGCGTTCTGGTCGTTGGAGTAGCTAAGATTATGCTGAGGGGAATAGATTATCACTCTGTCACCCAAGTATTACTGATTTTATTTATTGAGGCTTCTGGTGTACAACTTTTTTTAATTTTTTTTTTATCACTGTCACTTTTTACATGTTTGAGCCTGAAGCAGCAGCTGGGTGTTATCAGGAAATGAGGATGAAGTGTATAAGTCATGGCTTCTGAAGGCCAAGTCATTCCCATTTGGTTCCACGTCTGCCTCTTTCTGGCCTCTACTTGTAGTAGATATTGTTTTCAGTTTTTCACATCTCAATGAATCTTGTGTTGAGATTTTGAAACTGCCATGTGTTCAAAAAAAAAACCAGTTTTCAGTGCAAATGTGGACATGTTAAAAGCCTGGTTCAGAAAAAAAAAAAAAAAAAAAAACACTGCACAGGGAGTGATTTTTTGTAATAACGTGGAGACCTGATGAGCCACAACTGACTCGTCTAACACGCTGATGCTGTTTGCAGGTTGAGTCAGCTTTTCCACTATGGTGACCACTGCAGATTGGCTCTAAAACTTCCCTCTAGAAACAAACAGGACATGTCACCAGAACTGCATCCATGTATTATTCAGTCTATGGATGCATCATGTACAATCTCTTCAGCCTGCAGACGCACTTTCATTCAGCTTTTCTGGTTTCCTGATTAAACTTCTATAGTCAATAACATATAACCACAGGAAACTCTGAGTGATGCAGACAGCAGCTGTATGTGAGCCACTTTTGTCTCAAGAGATTTTGAAATATTGTTGTTACTAAGTCACACTCCTGACAGAAAGTAGTCCCTTTAGTCTGTGCGCACAGCTGCACCACCAGGTAACCTGGGATCTCTCCTGCTCTCTGATTAGCACATTAGTTTCTCTTCTGTTTTCTCTGGTCCACTGGGTCTCATTCTCCCTCTGTAAACTTTGATTCATATGTTATT